ATAGCCATTCTGAATCAGTTTAAAAGAAATCCGTGCACTCTGGGACTAGCTTACTATAGGCTTGCTCCCCCCCCCCCTCCATTTACCTGCAAGGAGTTGGCCAGACAGAAGATGAGCTGGAAGGTAAAAGGTGCTCCTTCGATGGCCAGGAACCCAAAACACCAGGTCAAGCCCATGAGGGCGGAGATTCCCACGGCATTCTGGAGGCGTTTAGAGATCTGTTGTGAGCGAGATGCCTCTTTGACCTTCAGGAGACTGCGCATGACCAAGATGAACGTGATGATGTTGTGGATGAGGATGAGACCAATTGGAGCAAGGAGGCCGAGGTACAGCACAAGACCAGGCTTAAGGAAACAGCTGAAAGGAAATAAAATGTACATGCAAAACAATAGGAAATTTAACGTCTAGCTTCTTTAAGAACAGAGAGAAAATGTCTATTTTGTGATTTGTTTTACTTACTTATCCTCGTTTCTGTAGTGATCAGTTGCTGCAGCCAATCGTCAGAACAATCGGTGGAGATCCCGCAAAAAAAGTGGATGGGGAAAATGTTAACATTGCAAGGTACGTCGTTCATGGTGAGTCATGTCTTAGCCTTTCCACATATGCTAATATTAAATGATGCCGAAGAAATTGAAATAAACTCACCCCAAGCGATGAGGCAAGCCTTGAGCATGTATCGAGGCGTGTCTTCTGGGAACACCTTCACCTTACTGACGTACATGTTCCTGGCTTCAATGGCCATCCACATCATAGTGGACAGAGTTATCATGATAGATCACAGCGCTGCCTGAAAATACAACCAACAGTGAAGTATTTTGGCAAAGAACTTTTTGTTCCTTTCGAATAAAACTAGGTAATCGAAAGGAGATCGGTAATGAACGTCTAAAGAAAACTGCTAAGACACCAAATACGTGTACTCTTACCTGATACGGAGATATTAGCGAGATTGCCAGAGTATGATTGACAATGCACAGCCAAGTTGAGCCAATCTGGCCTTTTACATCCTTCAATGAACAAACCAGGAGACTACATGTACCTTTTATCCAAAAAAAGAGTGGTGCAGTTTTAAAGCAAAGGTAATGAATCTCGAAGAGTTTCACGACGAAACAGAGTTTAATTGAATTCACTCAGCGTTTTCCTACTTTGATATATTTGCTACGAGGATGGCGAAGTTGGTGGCATGGTTGCAGTGACAAGATACTTTTTCATTGGTCAATCCTGCACGCGCGCATCCAGCCGTCGACCAATCACCAACTCCATTTTCCTGACCAAAGTCCCAGGAGACACACTGGGCAGACCGAATGTGTAAATCGTCGGAAGATGATATATGAGTTCACAGGTGACCGTTTGAACGAATGGAATGTGAACAACGATCGTCAGGTGACAAGAAAACAATACACGAATAGGCTCTGCAGAAATACCACCAAGAAGGAGCTGTGTAGGCTGGAGCAACCGAGCAAGGATTTTAAAAAGAAGCAAGTTACCAAGAATTCTATCACGACTGGTTCTGTGATGTTGACAAGTTCAACATAAGATAGTTATGCAACTGAACATCTTTTTGCTGGTTTACTTTCTTCGGATTTGTTCTCGAATGTTTACTCTTTCAATATTTAAAACATTGCATAATTTCATCACTTTGTCGCCTTTATTACCTCCGCCAAGGAGGTTATGTCTTCGGCGTTGGTTGGTTGGTTGGTTGGTCTGTTAACAAGATAAATCAAAAAGTTATGGACGGATTTATACCAAAAAAATACAACAAAAATTAAAACAACAAACGAACCCAAAAAAACAAATAAATAAAAGGAAAAACAAACCTCCAAAAAAATGTAAATTGGAAAACGAACCGAAAAAAAATAAAACGAAAAACAAGCATATGAAAAAAAAATAACGAAAAACGAACAGAAACTATAATGGTGTTCCTAATCTGCCATCTTGCGTCTCGCATCTTGCGTGACATGTGGTGACTTGACCAATGTGTTGCGTTTGTAATATGTATATGTGGAACAAAAATCAACCGTGTACTAATTAAATACAGAGATTTGAGACATGATGACGTTAATATCCAATATTAAATTAAATGTGATTTTTATTGAAAAAGTAAATGATTTGTTTCAATCATAACTCATGAACATAATGTCTCGTAGGCCTATCTCTGTATGTAATTTGAAAACGGTTGGCTGTATCAATTAATAAGCATTCAAGTTTCGATTAAATTTAAAAAAAACTTAATTACTTGGTTCATGATCCGGCGTCGCTGGTCACACGAAGTGACGTAACTGAATTTGTGACGAATGGTACATTCTGATAAGGCATGACGCAATCTTCATTTTCTGAAAATTGGTAGCTAATTAGGCTAATTAAAAATGTTGATCTATCTTTAAAAATCAAAATGGTTATTTCACGAACTGACGCCTCGCGATATACGTCACTTCGTGCGGTACGTAAAACGGCGATGCGTTCGACCCAACTCTCTTTTCCTTGCCGTTGAGGGGGGACTTGTGCACGGATCCCATGGGTTTAGAAAGACTGAAATGATAGTCCTTAAAAAAATCTAATTTGAAAAAAAATGTAAATAGTTCCCCATTAATGCTGACATGTTTTTTCTAAAAAGCAAAATAAAATAGCTTTTCCGGTAACTGAATGGTTGATTGTCAGTCGTTTGCCTTATTTGTGTGTTGTAGTTTGTGATATAAATTCGAATATTTTTGATTTGTCTTTTACTTTACCAGTTTTATTTTTACTTTGAATTAATTAAAACCCTTGCGGACAGGAACCACATAAGGACCCTTGGTTAACAATTAATAAGTACATGTTCCTCCGCCCTTGTACACAACCTGGACATCATAACGTCCATAATTTCCAAGAATATTCCATAACTGAAGTTTTTCGAGGGGGGGATCACTTTCCTAGGTACAAATTATTTTCTCTGTACTGGAAGAAGAGTGTACTGCTCCCCCCCCCCCCCCGTACAAATATATGTGAGGTTTAGCGCCCCCACCCCTTCACCCAGCCTTGAAGAATAATGTCCCATTACTGCAGTTTTTCGAGGTGGGGGTCGATCATCATTTTCCTAGGCACATTTTTTTTCTGTACTGGAAGTAGAGTGTACTGCTCCGCCCCCTCTGTGTACAAACATATGGGAGGTCCACTCCCACCCCGGCACCCACCCCCTTCACCCAGCCCTGATCCTAGGAATCATGCTTTTGTTCTTGGCTGGAACCGCCCTCTGGAATAAAGTGATGATGGATTTTGGCTGGCAGAGATCGAGTTGACAGGCTCCTCCTTGGGCGAACTTTGCAGAGTTTGCTGGGAAGTTGTTCTGAAAATATTCATAGGGTGGAATTTTGCGTCGGGGTGATGTAAATCAAATTAATTTTGCCCTTCACCGACGTATAAACACTGTATACTCAGTGTGTTACCTCCCGAGTGAAAGTTGAAAAAAAATCACTCGGGTGGGACTCGAACACACGACCTGCTTTCTAGTGCAGATGTCTTACCACTCGACCACCGAGCTAACGGGATCGGTTGGCTGGTTCGAATCTGATGTACATAGCATGCGGGTACCGCATAATACTATTCATTTGTGAAATTGTTGGGGACAAATTACCACATGCAGTCAAGCAGATATTACTGAGACAAACAAATTGTATATACACACATATTTTATTGTTTATTTGTTAATTAACTTTGGGATGACGTTGGTTCCTGTCGTAGGACGTTTATATAACATAACCTGGGTTAGGCCAAAAAAAAAGTCTCCGGTTTCTGGTATGCGCGCGCGTCGCCGTAGCCATGCGCGTCGGCAAAATGAAAAAGGTTTTTTTTCAATGAAAGATGATGTCTCAAAACCGCCAAACTCACTGGTTTGACTGGAATTCTGCTGCTGCGCAATTTCAACGTGTTTTTAGATAGGGTTATGATCGAGAATAAGCTTTTTGTGGCCTCTCTGGACTCCCATATATTTGTTAAGTTTAGTCGGGCACCATTTGCAGTCATCAGCCGACATTTCGTGAAGCAAAAAAGTCGGGTAAAAAAAAAAAAAAGCCGCGTCGCCGCACCACTTTTTGGACAAGCTCCATACCAGAAACCGGAGACTTTTTTTTGGCCTTAGGGAGGTTTTGTATAAATATAGTATGCGCATTATTACTCATAGTCTGGTTCCCAGACCAAAAGATTCCGACTATTCCTGATGAATCTTAGGTCAGGTAGCCTCCGGTAATACAATGTATTACAATTTACATCACGTGACTAAAACGGGAGGAATTCCTCCTTTTTCCGAAACTGTCCGAAGGTTGCCGAATTCATTTCGTAGACAATCGGATAGTATTTCCGAGTATAATATGTTTTATTAACTGCTAATTGCTTATTAAAAAACTTAAAAAAAACTAGTTGATAATTAATATCCATTGCTTTTATTTAGAAAACTTGAAATTCAACGACGATTTTGCACTCGGATCGTATACGAGGGGCGAACTTTTTGCTGCGTCATGCACTAGTTTGAATTTGACGACCGTTACCGGCATTTTCCAAAACGCGGCGTGGTCTCAAATTCGGCTCCGCCCGCTAACGGTGCTGTTTGGGTGTCCAACTTTGAAGATTCGAGGTTAAAATTAGTCAATTTTTTTTTACAGAAGTATTAAACTGTATATCATAACTGTATGATATATGAAGCAAGTGATTCATTTTTAAAAACATTATCGGAACATTAAAAGCTTTATGTGATAAAGCGAATTCGGAAACGAAGTCGAGCTTTGAAAAAGGGCCGTCAATGTCGTCATGTTTATTTTGAGCCACGGAGGCTGCCTGACCTACAATTTAGACGTGTAGACGTCGGGGGAAATTGTCAGGTCGGGGAACCAGACTATATTACTCACGCTCGCCACAGTCACTAATCAGTCTGATGTTTATTCATCAAGCACGAGCCCATTGATCTCCATATACACAGCCCAACTTTTAGTGACCTTTGACCGTGTCGATAATGACGTCATCGGAACCTGATTATGAGCATTTTTATCAACAAGCTGCAATATGCTGTGCGAACGTGAGGGGGAAGTAAATTTTAATGAATTTTAGTCTTGAATATGACCGCAAATGGTTGTATATATGATGCTTTAGTGTTGCTGGTTGTCGAGGCTCACGGAAGATAGGCTGGTTGGTCGTAATGTCTGCTGTATCGGAGAAAAGAAGAGCGTAAGTTGGTTCGTAATTCAGTCAAAACTGTACACCGTGCACCGTACACGTACAAAATGTAGTGTGTGCTTGTGGGCAGGTGGGTAGGAGATCATGATCACCTGTGTGTAATTGATTGACCTGTAAACATTGCTGCATTTCACATGATTGCATTGGAATGGTGCGTTAGTATGGAGGATTCCTCCATTGTCAATGATGGCTATACTGTTAAGCATGTTATTGTTAAGGTCAGTTGTGTAGTACTAGTAGCACAGTCATATATATTGGGGGTGGGGGGGGGGGGGGGTAGCCCGACTGCGTCTGGCCGTACAGTACTATCGCAAGCTCTGTAGTACGGCCAGACGCTGAATGCTTCCAAAAAGACTGAATTTTTTTGGCCGCCGATGTAGCGATTTTGCTACATCTTTCGATCGCAATTATCTTTTCATCCAGGACACAAATTTCCAAAGTTAAGGTTCGTAGTCGTAGAGCAACTCATACCTTTTCGAAAAAACGTTGTTTGGTCTCAATATTTTCATCCATCTGGCCACAAGACGAATTTCAGTCATCAGATTCCACAAATATCGTCCCCCATGCGATCCCCCATGCGATTTCAAAATGGCGGCCGCGCTGTAATGTATGCAATATGCAGGCGCGCCCGCGCAAACTCATGAATATGCATAACAGTCTGTGACGTACGACCTCGTGTTTTTGGACGTGCGTGCGGCGGGGCTGTACGTCCAAAAACACGAGGTCGTCACAGACTGTTCATGCATATTCATGAGTTTGTGCGGGCGCGCCTGCATATTGCATACATTACAGCGCGGCCGCCATTTTGAAATCGCATGGGGGATCGCATGGGGGACGATATTTGTGGAATCTGATGACTGAAATTCGTCTTGTGGCCAGATGGATGAAAATATTGAGACCAAACAACGTTTTTTCGAAAAGGTATGAGTTGCTCTACGACTACAAACCTTAACTTTGGAAATTTGTGTCCTGGATGAAAAGATAATTGCGATCGAAAGATGTAGCAAAATCGCTACATCGGCGGCCAAAAAAATTCAGTCTTTTTGGAAGCATTCAGCGTCTGGCCGTACTACAGAGCTTGCGATAGTACTGTACGGCCAGACGCAGTCGGGCTGGGGGGGGGGGTAATTAGGCCTAAAACTTATAAGCTTTTTTTTTTAAACGGCACTTGCACATATCCATCATGTCCATGGTTAAAAGTAGACACTTTTTTTTTCTCGGGGGGGGGGGGGGGAGTTTTCAGGGCGGTACATGTTTGAAATTAAAAAAGGCCACCTGGAACGGCCAATGGCACAAAAAAAAGGGCACCACTTCTTTTTACAGGCATGCATCTTTTCCTCGGATCAGCTGATTTCCTCATTTTTTACTTCCCATGTGTGCCATTGAAAATAGAAAAACACTGTACAAAGTCTGGGAAAAATTTGAATTTCCTCTTTTTTTGTGATTTCCCAGTTGCATGCCTGTTTTTAAAAAGGGCAATTGTTCAGAAAAAAATGGCACTTCTTCAAAAAAAGGGGCACTCTTTCACAAACTATTGGGGGGGGGGTAGTTCAAGCGCTGGTCAAGAAAGGGCATTTGAATGGAAAAGGGCAGTGTTTTCAAAATATTGGGGGGCCGGGGGGGGGGGGGATAAATACCTCTTTTTACCCCCCCCCTCCCCCTGGCCACGCCTATGAACATGGCTATTGTTACGGCAGTCATAACACGATTTTCACCTGCTATCGTTACGGTGTTACAAAATAGCTGTTGCGAATCTATAGGCCTATCATACATCGATAACTACCCGGCCAATCAAACCATTCTTTTTATTTCAGTAGTTTTCATTTTCTTTTTTTGTAGGCCTACTATTAATGCCTTAGAATGAAAATATGCATTCTTAATTCCCTTGAGCATACATGTACCATCTCACAAACATAACTTTGACAATGTTTGAACTTGTTAAATATGTAATGGCTCCCTGTTCCTACATGTACATGTCCTATGAGAAAATGAAACTTGAAATTCATTTCATTCTACTGGACCCGCTAAAAACAGCTAGTGATGGATGCTGAAAGAAACAGAAATGTCATGGAAGGTGCAAAGAGGACAATGTGCATTTGCTCAAAACTGTGTTAATATGAATGGCACAAATTGGAAAAGTGATTGAGAAAATCTCATTTTTTTAAACAAAATACTGTTCAAAATAATAACAACAAGACATTTATTAGAATTCAAGGAAAGAGTGCATAGGCTAATTGAAGTCATTTTGACCAGCATAAACGCTTTTCTGGGAACTTTAAATAAAAAAGAAGAAGAGAGGGGCACGTGAATTGAACTACACGCATGTATCCTGTCACTTCTTTATAAATTTGTTTTCCAGGGACATAAAAGTTGTCATCATCGGTGATGCGTTTGTCGGCAAAACCACCTTCATCCGAAGGTACCTGGAGAGAACGTTCTCTGAGAATTTAGGGGTAAGCATTGAAATTTATTATCATGATTATCCTTAGAAAAAGCAGTACACATGTACACAAATTTTCAAAACTTTTGTACAGAACCTGTCCATTATTTTGTGCGTTGTTTTTTTTCCCCCAGACTGTTGGTGCTGCTTTCTTTCTCAAGCATTGGCACGACTGTAATATAGCGATATGGGTGAGTATCAAGCAACCATTGTTTACAAATAGATTAAGCATGTCCCAGAGGCAAGGGTGCAATTAATCGCTTCTCAAAAGTGGGGGGGGGGACCATACCTTGATCAGAACTTATGCAAGCGCGAAGCCCTTAGGGCGTGGGATTCAGGGCCCGCTTAAGGGGCCCAAAAAAATTTTAATTCTAGACAAAAATTTGATTCTTAGCAAAAGATAATCATTTTAACATCATTTTCGAGGTTGAAGTAATTGAATCTGCTATTATATTCTGAGCTAAAGGCATAGGGTTCGGGGCCCTTTTAAGGGATTGTAGATGCTCTGTGGTACGATCTGAGGCAATTTCTGACCACTTTAACCAACATTTTCTTAGCAAAAGATACATGTACCTTGTTCATGGCCCTGTAAATGAGACACACGAGTTCAAAAATCTGGGGGGGGGGGGGGGTACATCTGATGTTGTCATGTGTTCCCCATCCTTCAAAAAGTGGGGGGGGGGGACCTTTTCTCCTGCCCCCCCCCCCCCCCCCCCCCCCCCAGGATTGACACTCATGCCCAGAGGGCCAGCCTAGTGCCCTGTTTGTAGTCACTGACTGTCCTAAATTATCCTGGGTTCTGCTGGGCAGTGCTGTTGTATAGGATTACCCCTTATGCCAATGAATGAGCCAAATCCTTTCAATTGTGTAGACCAGACGCATGAAAAGACTTCCAGTGAATAGCCATTCCGAATCAACTTGATTGAATTTTGTGTGCTTTGGGACCAGCACTAGGCTTAGGGTCTGTCTCAATTCATATCTGGGACGAGTTCCGGACAAGTTGCGGACATTGTATCAGGTACGAGAAAACTTGCAGGATTCTGAACAACTTCCCCAGCAATCTTCCAGCAGTGAAGTTATCAGTATTGAGGAATCAAGCAGTTGCTGATGAATTTTTCCCCGAAACATGTCCAGGACAAATGCAGACCTTCTTCTGGACAAAGTGAATGATTCTACCCGCAACTTGTCTGGAACTTGTCTCGGATGTGAATTGAGACGCGCCCTTACCTTGTCTTGTTTTCGGATTCTGATTTTTCCGGAGTGCTGTGGCCTTGTGGTCTGGAGCATTGGACTTGTGGTCTGCGAGTAATTCTGCAGGTTGTGGGTTTGAGTCCAGCCCGGGGTTTTGTTGTGTGTGCCCTTGGGCAAGGCACTTTGTCACTCATTGCTTCTCCCCATTGCACTCCCTCAGCTGTCTTGCGCCAAAATGGCTGCATTGAGCTGTATACTCCCCAGGGAGCTGAGATTGTATTTGGAATGTTTCATTGCCCAATGATCAGGGGTAATAATAATCCAAAGTGCTTTGATCTTAGTTAAAAGTGCTGTATAAAAACCTATTGTTATTATTATTGCTGTGCATGTAGGACACTGCTGGAGAGGAGAGATTTTCCGGTCTGAGTTCCTTCTATTGTCGCGACGCTTCAGCTGCCATTGTTGCTTTCGACCTCTGTAACCAACGTTCGTTTGATCTCCTCTCCGAGCGCTACCTGCCGCTTCTCGACGCCGCCAAAGAGGACTGCCTCTTGTGCGTAACGGGCATGAAACTGGACCTTGTTAAAGACAAAGCCCGCGTCGACCGGCATCAAGCGGAGAAATTCGCGATGCAAGTGAATGGCGCGCGGTACAAAGACGCGACCGAATCGGAGGTTCGAAAGCCCTATTTTGAGACCAGCTCGTTGACTGGTGAAAATGTGGACAAGGTTTTTGAATTTATCTTCTCAACACTTTTACCACTTGGGGAAGACGGGAGTATTCAGCACAAGGCCAGCCAGCAGAGCCGGGGAGTTGTGCATGTAGATGCGGACGATCAGTTAGGCAACACCCAATCAGGCAGATCAAGAAGTTGCTGTAAATGAGACTTTTTTGTTTCTGATTTTTAAACATACTTTCATTGTCGAAATTGGTTTGATTTTGTTAACCAGAAAAAACGATTGATCTATGCCAGAAGGAAAGTAACATTGCATGTTTGGGTCAAAATGGAACCATTTTTTTTTCAGCTGAATTTACTAAAACGCAGACAGAGCCCTTTTACTGAAGGGTTTTCTTATCCTACGTTTTTCAATAATTCTACTCCTTTGTTGTTTTTGGCCATTTGAGCAGAGATGGGGTGTGTTTTTGATAGTGAGCCACAGAAAATTATGTTACTTCTCATCTACAGTCGAGTCTCGTTAATTCAAACTCATTCGGACCTAGCCAAATTGTTTGTTATATCAGAATTTTGTATTAAGAGGAACATCAGTCCCATTCATTGTTCACATAAATACACAGTCGGGACTAAGGCTTTATGTTTGTTATAACCAGAATTTTGTATTAACAGAGTTTGTACTAACGAGATTCGACTGTACATGTATTTGCCCAGATATGTGTATACACATCATGAAATTCATGTACACGTACTTAACCAGTTCGCGTCGGAGGACGTAATAACACACACTGGCTGTTTTTATACACAGGCACGGCTGACAGGTTAAAACGTCAAGATTGCCTCGACTCGCCTCCGGGTGACGTCTAAACACGCTAATCCCTCGTGTCTTTTATACGCACACACAAAGTCTGTAAAGTCTGTGGAGGCAGACCGTGTGTTGATCTTGAATTGGCCGCTGTGCACGGCCTGTTGTTCTACAATTTACGCTCCAGTGCACACCTCAGAGTATTGAGAAACATGAGGTTTTGGCAAGAAATATTGTACAAATACTGTTGAAATTACTCTTGTGAATCAGTATTTGTGGCCTTTGGCTGTATACATGTATCCAAACTTGGATTTGGCTGGACAATTTTGCCTTTTACGAAAATCCACATTTTCTGCAAAATAATCCTGGCGCGAAATGGTCAAAGGGAATGTACAACATTTGCTTTTGCTGCAATTATCAGAATAAATGGATTTGGGGGATTAGTATGTTATAGCAAATATTGTTGAAATGACTTGTTTCACATTTTGGGCTTGTAGATGCTAGGAAATCCATGAAAACCAATCATGTTCAGATTGTAGTCTGGTTCCCTGACCCAACTTTAGATGAAACTGGGAGCAATCATGACTTTGGGAAATTGTAAGGTCAAAGGATCAGTCTAGCAGGCTTGTACCCCTTCACAGCTGTGTAATCAATTGCAAAGAAAACGTGGAATAACTAATTATGAAAATTAGGAGCAGTTTTTGAAAAAAGCCAGTTTTCTCTAACGCTGGTCGGCCGAAAAATACCATTTTCTTGAAAATGACAGCACACCAGGAGCCACAACTGTACAGCATGCTTTATGCTGTCATTCCCTAACAACCTAGTGAGGTATTTCATGATTATTTGATCATTTCGTTTTGTGATGTTTGCAAATGTTGTATCTTCCCTTCAAAAGGGGAATAGCGAATGCTCTGGTAGTAAAATGTATTGTGCCTTGAAAATGCAGAAGAAAAATAAGAAGAAAGTGATACAAAAAAAAGTGAACTGAAATGCATGTCATTGTATTCAGGACAATTTATCAAATTATGTTCCAATTATCAACTCATGTACATATACAATGTATTGAGATGTTTTAGTGACTTTTAATTGTACAAAAATTCCATCATGAAAAAAAAAATTAAATTAGGATTTTTTGTAGGTGAGCAATAAAATAAATTGCGATTTGCTTTCCTAATCTATATTAATCTTTTTTAAAAACAACTACATGTTTTTGATGGTAAAAACCTTCATTACTGTCCTTTTACCATAACTATTTTTTCCAAACAATAACACAACTGCATGTTCAGTGTAGTTTGTATTGTAAGTGAATTCTAAATTATAAAATTAGAAAGGTTCCTAGTTTAAACTATTTATGAAAATGAAGACAAAATGAACCAGAAAGAATGAATGATTTAAAGTATAAAATATAAAATAATTGAGGGCTTACAAAAGTGTCACAAATTGAAATTCAAACAGATTCTATTTTTAAATTTATTAGACTTTCTACTGTGTTTGGCTTAAAATTAACTAAATGAAATTGCAATTTGATTTTTGACGGAATAGTAATATCTGTAATACTGATTCTGTTTTACATAAATGAGGTGCAAATAAAGGTACACACCTGTCACAACACATTTTTTTATTTCTTACACAATTTGTCTCTTTGACTCTTGATGCTCCTCTAGCCTTCCAAGGAATGTCTGCGTTTTGGGGAGAAAAGCTAAATTTGTTTTGCCGAAAAGTTTGTTAATAATTTAAGGTTAACCCCTTGCAATTTATTTCAATTTTGAGGGGAAAATTTAATTCCTTCAAACTTCCTTCAAAAAGAGGCCTAAAGGACCCTAGAACACTTTCCCATGGAATTTCTGGACGGATGTGCTTTTGGAAGGAAAATATCGTCGAAAAGTTGGGCTAAAATCACTCCTAAACATTGATTTGTTTTTCGCCACAAAAAAAACACGATTTTTTTGCCCAAATTTTCAAAATGTTGGATGTTTGAATATTGATCGAGGCTCCTCTTGCCTCCCAAAGGACTTCTGTTTTTTGGAGAAAGGTCAATTTTTGCCAAATTGTGTTAAAATGCAAGGTATAATATACCGGTAACCCGTAACCCCTTGCAATTTTTTTTTTCAATTTTGGCCAAAGAATGAAATTCCTTAAAACTTGCAGGGAAGATGCCTAAGGGACCCTAGAACACAATTCAATTCGATTTCTGGACAGATGTGGTTTTGTAAGGATAATATTCACCAATGTTGGGGGCCAAAATCAATCAAAAATGTATATATATTTTTTTGGCCAAAAAATGAATACTTTTTGCTCAAATCTTAAATTTTCATTGATATTTGAATGAATAGATTGAGGCTACTCTTGCCACCAAAGAATTCCTGCGTTGTTTGGAGAAAAGTAAAAAAAAGAAAATGCCAGATTGTGTTTAAAATGTTAGGTGCATTTTCTTTTCCATTTTTTTAATTTTGCATTTTATTTTCAATTTCCGCAAAAAAAAGAAGAAATTCATTAAAACTTGCAGGGAAGATGCCTCAGGGATCCTCGAACACATTCCAAATGTATTTCTGGACAGATGTGCTTTTCAAAGGAAGAACTCATGGAAAAGTTTGGGTAAAATTATGATTTTTTTTTTAGCCAAATACAAAGATGATTTTTGCCCAAATCTCCAAACTGTTTTGTTTGTTTGAATTTTGTTTGAGGCTCCTCTTGCCTCCCAAGAAATTTCTGCGTTGTTAAGAGAAAAGTTTTCAAAAGTTTAAAAAAGGAGGATTAGAATTGTGGCCGAAAATGGAATTCTTTGCAACTTACAGGGACGATGCCTAAAGGACCATAGAACACATTCCAATTGGATTTCTGGACAGCGCTTTGAGAGACAATTTCACCGAAAATCAGGTAGAATCACTCAACATCGATGATTTTTGCCGAAATATTCACAAATTTGGATGAGAATACCGAGCGATGCTCCTCTAACTCTCATCTCCCAATGAATTCCTGCGTTGTTTGGAGAAAAGTCAATTTTAGGCCAACTTTTCTGTAAAGTGTAAGGTTAACCCCTTGCATGTTTTTTTACCCCCTGTCAATTTAGCTGAAAAATGAAATTCCTTCTAACTTGCAGGGAAGATACCCAAAGGAAGCCTAGAACACATGCCAATTCGATTTCTGGACATATGTGCTTTTGAAAGGAAAATGTCATCGAAGTGTCGGGGTAAAATCACTCATCAACATGACTTTTTTTTTGCCCCAAACATGCCAAAACCCCGATGATTTTAGCCCGAATCTTCAAAATTGTGGGTGTTTGAATATTGATTGAGGCTCCTCTTGCCTCCTAAGGAATTCCTGCATTGTTTTTGGAGAGAAGTCACTATTTGGCCAAATTTGTTAAAAATGGGGTTTCTTTTTCAATATTTGGCCGAAAAGTGAAATTCCTTGAAACTCACAGAGAATTACAGAACACATTCAATTTCGATTTCTGGACAAATGTGCTTTGAAAATACAATTTCACCGAAATATTGGGGTAAAATCATGAATTTTTTCGCCAAAAAAAACACAATGATTTTTCCCCGCAACTTCAAAATTTTGGGTGTGAAATATATACTGATGCTCCTCTCTCCTCCAAAAGAATTTCTACGTTATTTGGAGAAAAATTCAATTTGTTGCCAAATTGTGCTAAAATTTAAGTTTAACCCCTTGCAATTTTATTTTCAATTTTGGCTGCGCTGAAAAATAAAATTCCTTGAAACTTGCAGGGAAGATGCCCGAGGAACCCCAAAACACATTCCAATTGGATTTGTGGACAGATGTGCTTTTGAAAACATTTCACCGAAATAGTGGGGTAAACACAGCCAAAAGCATTACTGTTTTCACCAAAAAATTGATGATTTTCGTCCACATTTAAATTGTGGGGGGTGTTTTAACATTGATTGATGCCCCTTTTTCCTGTTAAGGAATCTGTGCGCTGTTTGGAGAAATGTCAACTTTTGGCAATTTTTTTTTTAAAATGTAAGGTTAACGAAAATCATTGATTTTTTGCGAATAAATTAATGTTTTTGGCACTCTATAATTGTACACAACTGTCACATTTCTGTTGTACCATCAGCATACATTTGTATTTATTGTGTACATTTCTATAAGGAACTAACATGTACAACTTGTGCATCTTTTTGTCTATATTAATTTTATTAATTTTCTCTTTTAATTTGAACTATAATTTCTTTTTATAATAATAGGGTAAAAGTAATTAGTTTACTACAAATAAAAGTTCATTGTGTTTTTTTAAGCACTAAGTAGCAAAAACTTTGCTTATTTAGTATCCCAGCACCTTTACATTTATAAAATTTAACTTTAAAAATAAATATAAAAATACAAGGCAGAATAAATACACTGGTATAAATTCAAGCTGTGAAATCATATCAAACACCAAAAAAAGCAAAACTAAATGTCAGAAATGTCAAACTAAAATTCCCAAATACTGCTGCTACTTGTACAAATAAATGGAAGAAATCTCTCTCCTTTTGTGAAGGTAAGCAGTGCTCAGAAAACGACTACAATTTGACAATTCATGAAACTTATGGATTAAATTTCCTGATTTGTCTGTACTTAAAAATAACATTAGGAAGAATTTGTGCACATTATATAATACCTTTACCACTTAAATAATCATGAACACTATGTTGAATATTAATCTTAAGTTAATTTCTTCATGATCAATAAATGGAATATGTTTAACATTAAATTATCACAAAAAGCTGACATGTGTACAATGCAGACTATCCCCAAAAATCCTCAACCAGAGAAATACGGCCCATCTCAATTCATATCCAGTGTCACGGTCTCACTTCTCCGGCGTGCTAGCTTCTCCAAAGGGGAAATTTCGCTTCAACACGCATGCACAAAATTGCGCAGTAGTATACATTTTCGTCACTGTCTTAGTGTGCTGAGTTCTTCGGGGTTGTCCTTGTGCACGTAAGATCTTATTTGTATGAATGGTTACAGCTAGGGTACCAGTCCAATCCAGAATTTTCGTGGCACGCACTATTAACTCCCAATAACAAAAAAAGACTTGAAATGCACATTTATTTTAAGCCACGGTTGCCATAATAAAGACAAAATGGACCACAAACGAGCAAGGAACACGGACCAAGGAGTTCGTTCTTAATTATTCCACATGAACACCACACACATGCATGACGCTGGGAACACAAATCAGAATGCTTGCAAGACCATGGAATGACTTGACCCACAGGAAGTGGTACATAACACATTCTTGGGTGTCCCTCACTGTGTTATTAATGGGCTTGGTAGACTTCAGAACACAGCCCGAGGAAAAGTAAGCACAGTGGACACATGAGCATGAATCGTGCTCATGTAACGTACACTGTAACGTGCTCAATTATCCGCCGAATCCACCCGGAGAAGCTAGCACGCCGGAGAAGTGAGACCGTGACACCGGGACGAGTTCCGGACAAGTTGCAGACATTGTATCGGGTATTTGCAGGATTCTAAACAACTTCCCTGCAATCTTCCCGCAATGAAGTTATCAGTAATGCTATGTCTGTATGTCAAGCAGTTGCCATGTCCACGGATCTGGAACATGTCCGGGACAAATGCAGAGTTTCTTCCAGACAAAGCGAATGATTCGACCAGGAACTTGTCTGGAAGTCGTCCCGGATACAAATTGAGACGGGTCCTTAGCGAATCGAAATTGTGGAACCCCTTGCAAGAAAAAAAAATCAAAATTGTGCTATGTTTCCCAGAACACCAGCTGTGCAATTCACAATTTTAATTCTAAAAATCTAAAATAAATGGCCACACTTTACCTTAATTCGTTGGATTTTTACAAATAAGATCAGATTATTTGAAAGTTTTTTTGATAAAATTAATTTTGGACGACATATCTCAATAATGGAAGCTCTATAAAAATGTGTACAGTCGAGTCTCATTAATACAAACTCGTTCGGACCTAGCCAAATTGTTTGTTATATCAGAATTTTGTATAAAGAGGAACATCAGTCCCATTCATTGTGCACATAAATGCACAGTGGGGACCAAGGCTTTATGTTTGTTATAACCAGAATTTTGTATTAACAGAGTTTGTACTAACGAGAGTCGACTGTATTCTGATGGAAAATCTGGAAAGCCTAAATCAGAAGTGCAAATATTTGAGGGGGAAAAAACAGAAGTTTTTTAGTCAGTTTTCTGTAAATTTTGAGGTTTTGAGTAATATGTGTACTCATTCATCTCATAATGCCCTTTCACACGAGGCGCAAAAAGTATTATAATATAAACTTATTTTTGATGAAATTATTTTTGGATGACATATCTCAATAATGGAAGCTTTATTAGTATTCTGATGGAAAATCTGGAAAGCAGAAAACGGAAGTGCAAATATTTAAGGGGAAAAAATTGAAGTTTTTTTCAGTCAGTTTTTTGTTAATTTTGGGAAGGTTTTGAGTTATGTGTACTCATTCATGTCATAATGCCCTTTCACATGAAACGCAAAAAGTACCAGCGACGAAAAAGTCCTGTAAAATGTTGGAATGAATTGATTGTCCTACACGTGTGATTTTCAACACAATAAAGATCAAATTTGGCCAAAAAAAGTCACAGAGTTAATTACGGCACAGAATTACAAGCAATATGGCATTGGCCACCAGCCCGACAACTCCAAATGAGAAGAACCCACACTGCGTTATCAGGATGCCACCGATCGTCGGAGCGAAGATGCTGACCAACGAACTACCAGCACTGCCAAGACCCAGCATGGTTCCTGAAGAAGGGAACAATTTGACAAAGATATCACGAATAGTTACAGGTTGTCTTGGATAATGTTATTTCATTGGTCTAAAAGTCACGTCCTTACATGTTATAACACCTCACCCACAGATTCTTTGTCTTGATTGGCCGAGAGCGAGTCACATACCTGTAGCAACCAAAGTACTATACCATTAGCAACCAAAGTACTATTTCCACGGTGCGGTATTTGTGTGCAAATGCATGCTGGTGTGTGCGTTGCGCGTTGCATGCAGCGCGTTTTGTTCCAAAGAGAGCGCCCCGCAGAGTTGGGTTCAAACATTTCGCGAAGGGGTAGTTTGGAAGAGAGAAATACATTTTCCACCAAGTTTGTATTGAAATTGAAGTTTATTTCAACTGTGTTCAAATTTAAATGATTTAAATATTATAGCCAAGCAGAATCTGTGGGTGAAGTGTTATAAAACAAATATTGAATGCTTTATCTCGTGGTGAAGTAAAACTAGCCTCCCTCGGTGATCCATGGAGCATTCTATTCTAAGAATGTGTTGGATACTGTCACTTCATTGGTCCATCTTAGTCACATGTCCAGTTTCTAAAAATGTCTTAGATACTGTAATTTCGTTGGTCCAGAATGGTCACATGTCCAGTTCCTTTTATCCTGTATTGCACAAAGCGATAAGCATTTACAATTTTTACATATCAAAGCGTCATGAATATGCATTGCATACCAAGTATGTCAGTGTACGTCCTGTGTTGTGTCACTTGTGTACCCTGTTATTTTTGCCCTTCACTGACATAATTTCATCATCACTGTTTTATACTCAAAGCTAGCAAAAAATTCACAACTAACTTGGATGGGACTTGAACCCACGACCCCCTGCTTACTTGTGCAGACGTCTCACCACTCGACCGCAGAGTGTGTTCAGGTCAGCTGGCCAGTTGATTGGTGAAGGGCAAAACTTAACCCTAGCCACCCCAATTCCATCAAAATCTACCCTTCCATTTTGGTATATTTTGGGGGACTTGGTCCAGAAGGCCTGGCGTGACTAAATATTAACCCTAACCGAACTCAACCCATCAAAGTTCAACAGCAGGTTTTGTTTAAATCTGTTGGGATAGGTGCTAGTACCCCAAAACTGATGGCCTTTTACACTGGGGTTGGCATACCTCCAGAAACTAAGTCCAACAGTGTGTGTGTACAATTTTCCATGTGGGTGTTGGAATTTGCCAGAATGGGTATGGTTCCTAGTAAATTAGGCTGGGGGTTAGGGTTAATGGAGTATGATGGACTTGGGCCTAATGGCCTGAAGCAGGGCTAGGGGTATCCGACTAATTTTGCCTAGCTTCCTGTACTGCTATTGACCTATCGCAGTATAATCGCATTAGAATCTTGTCACCGCAGCTTGTGAAATATTGTCTAATTACATAATATACAGATGGACGCGCGACACGCAAAATCTGAGACAAACACAACTTAGTGTACAAAAACTCATTAGGGTTGTCTAAGGGGCGTGGCTAACTCGCAAACGGCGATAGGTCAATTGTGATAAAAGCCATGTGTAGTAAGTCCATGAATGTCAACTCTCAGTGGTGGATTCCATTATGTCATGTACATGTACAGTTTTGTATTAGACGCACAGTGATTGATATATTTTGATGGAATTGGTCCAGTTCCTAGTAAAAGACGCCAGGGAGTTAAGGGTAATATTAAATTCATATCTTAACCCCCTAGGCCCTTGTTGCTTACAACCATCCTCAATCCTCCAAAATCCTCCAAAATTTTCCAAAATTTTGCAACTCCGCCTAAATTTTTCAAAATTGTCAGACAGTCCTACCTCAAACTGCATTCATCCTCAATCCTCCAAAATCCTCCTCATCCCAAAACTTTGCACTCGTGTTTAAATGAAGGATAACCAACGCCAAATCCTTCAAAATCATCAGACAGTCCTGCCTCAAAATGCATTCATCCTCAATCCTCCAAAATCCTCTTGTGCTTCAATCACCATTCATCCTCAATCCTCCAAAATCGTCATGTGCTTCAATCACCATTCATCCTCAATCCTCCAGAATCCTCATTTGATTCAATCACCATTCATCCTCAATCCTCTAGAATCCTCCAAAACCGCCAGGAGGATTTTGGAGGAGTGAGGTGGGTTAGGGTTAATGTACAAATTCCATCATACCAAAAAATGATTATTTGAGATATTCGCTTACCCGTGTCAGTGGTTGAAACAATCTTGGTCATCACCGTGTTGAGAATGATCCTGATCACGCTGTTACCACAAGTCAACGGCAGCATAATGATAGCCAGGTGAACAATGTTCTGAGCAAAAGCCTACAAATGCAATCATTCCAAAGAATATTTCCACAATCATGCTGAATTGGTGAGCTCAGCATTAAGGGATTCTAAACTGTAATTTTCTTGTGCAGTCAAAATTTCCAAGAACCTGAGAACTCTTTATACATGTACATGTACTTCCTTTGACCAAGCCAAACCGACCCGAATCCTTACAGATATAAACCGAATCTGAACCAAAACCAACCTGAACTCCCTAAAACCAACCTGACCCGACAAAAATTCAAACAAAACCAACCCGAACTGACCATAAACCAAACTGACCCGAAAAAAAAAACTGAATATCTGGATGGGAAAACTGTGTCCACTTTTTGTGCCTGAACTGACCTGCGCAGCATGAAAATCGTCGTCTCTCAGCAACTGAATCATACTGTACGGTACTAATTAACGAGACCTACAGGCATGACACGTGGGTCTACATGTTATAGACTGTGTGTGATAGACAACAAGCCATACCGGGCACAGCGACTCTGCAATAAATATTGCACCCGTGTGAATATCTGAACCGTTTCGTTTATTTGTTCTTTCGGTTTACTACGGTTTATTTCGCTTTTTTTTTCCAAAATGGCTTAACTGACCCAACCCAAAAATCGCAAACGCAAAATCGAAACATACCCGACCCAACTGAAATGATGGACAAACCGACCGACCTGAAGTCGATTTCAGGTGGGGTCGGTTTCGCTTTCGGGTCGAGTTTGCACAACATTACTTTTGACACGTAATTTGAATTGTGATTCACGGTTACAATTTTAGTTGGAAAAAATGTCTTACCATTACTGTAAATGACACAATCAGGAGAACAGCTGACGCTCTCAGTAAGGCCATGTCGCTGAATCGCTTGGTGAGTGGTCCTATGCACAAGCCCTGTATCAACTGGAATATGCCACCAAAAAAAGCAAGAAAAAATACAGAAATCTATTTAATTGTAATATTAAGTGATATACAAAGTATATAACATGTCAAAGCTACATTTATGTCATGAAATTGCAAAATACATTTCTGAATCAATTATGACATTAGGTAATTACAATGCATTTATTTTAAGATAAGATAAGTTTGCGGTAGCACCATGTGAATAAATCTCTTTTCTGAGTATGTGTGGTTCTGAAAAGTAGTATTAACATTTATTTCAATGATGTCATTCATAACAATTATGTATACATTAGAAAAAAGTCACTAGTATAATATTTGATAGATATGTACACAGTAATTAATTATAAAGTGTGAAATTAAATGACAACATTTAGGTATAAGGTTAAGCAGAACGCTTTTGTGCCCTTACCTATGGACAAACATACGACCAAAGGACAAACAAAACAATACGTGAGACAGACAGGACCAGCGTGAGACAAGGCCTAAATATTAATACACAAAATAATGGAATTTCAATTTATGAATATGATTCGAGAAAAAGAGTTTTTAAATTTTTGACAAAGACATATAGTGAAGGTAACAATTTAAGAGAATCATCTAAACTATTCCAGTACAAAGTGCCGGAGGGACTCAGAACCACACATACTCAGAAAAGAGATGTATTCACATGGTGCTACCGCAAACTTATCTTGTCTTAGTATCTTTCTACCATGCAAACCTTCAAATCTCGCATTTATTTTAATCTGTGATACACTGAAATGAAGAATGACATTCAGTAATATCGTAAGGAAAAAATTTACCAAGCAACACATTCAATTTTAAACAGTTTTTTTTTTTTTTTTGTAGGAAAGATGAATGCAGCTGAAGAAGACATAATTTCTACACACGACCTGCAGCTTACTAACGATGCCCCACAACTCTGTCATTCAGCTTACTCAAGCCACTTCAATTCCAATAAACTGTTTCCAACTTATGAAAAACAGCCGTCGCAATTTTATATTCAGAAATATCTGGCAGCAAGTGGAAGTGCATTTGATGTCACAAAACATTTGCTGCAAGATTTGCCGGAGTTGAATTCAATAGTTAACCCTAACTCCCTAGGCCTTTTTGCTAGGATATAGCCTCACTCCTGCAAAATCCTCCAATTGGCCTCATGGACAAATAGCATATAGCCTCAATCCTGCAAATTCCTCCGTTATTTTTTGAATATGGTCCATGGAGGGATGACCACTGCCTGAATCCTGCAAAATCCTCCGGCTATGTCTGTCAATAGGCTGAGGCAGAGGCAGTGACATCTTGGAGCAGTGCGGAGGATGTCAAGTATAATCAAGGACTGAATTTATGCTAGGCTGAGTATAAACAACACAAGGTCCGGCCCAAGACCTTGACACAGTGCGTACTCCGAAATCAGCAACGCACTTTTGCCATGTAACCTCAATCCTGCAAATTCCTCCAATTTGCAAAAAGGATTTTGGAGGCTTCAGGGCGGTTAGGGTTAAAAAAAAAAAACATAATGTTGCTAGCATCAGCAGTTTTTGATGGAGTTTGTTGATGTCAATTTGTAACGCTGGGTTTTGTCGTTCAGCGACTGCGGTTTTGAGTGTCCCTGTTTTAACTGACATGTAGAAAGCAGTGTTAAGAGCAAATTTAACGCATCTCTGTGAACTATCATTTAGCCCTTGGTCGGCCCCAAGCCATCCTGTCTGTTACTCCTCATACTGCTCCAAGCTGCCCCAGCACTCTATGATTTTTATTGATTCATGGAGTTAAAGCTACAGTCCATCATTTGTAATTTGTGCATTTTGTTCGTTTGAAGCAACAAAAGAGTTCAAAATCTAATGAAGGATACTGAGCAACTAACCTGATGAAGTTTCAGCTAAGCTTCAGCTGTACATTCCGAGAAAAACAGCATTCTAAGATCTCAATTTCAAATCCAAAGTTACTGAATCATGTTTTGAATTGTTTTGAATTGCAGCTATACGCGACGTCGCGCACTGATCCGACGAATTATAACAACCGCGCGCGCGTGTGCATCGTTCCAATACTTGTGCGCGCTGCGCTGAATAACAAAACGAACTACTGATTTAAATTTCCTACGGTGCTTCTTAAGAATCACCGTTGGAAGTGCCTTCTTTCGTTGATAACTTCAAAATGAAAGCTTCCCAGAAAGAATAATTTCACAGGGAGTTTAGTTCCCTTACTATCTTTCAACCAAGTTTGTTTTTCAACAATAATTACGCCAGTTACTTTTCGGATGGCAAATGATGGACTATAGCTTGAATTACTCTTTTTTTTTACCAATGATTCCATTAAACCAAAATTACAGATCATGTAAACAAGGCAGGACAAATTCTATGGAGGGAGTTTCATCAGCTTTGTGCAAGAGGGTGAGATTTAAACCCCATACGAAAAAAAATACTCACTTTCAGAATGTCAATACTTTGCTAGAGACGGTGGCGGAGGGCGTGTATGTGCTGCGGCCAAAAAAGCTTCTGAAGAAATGCAGGATCACCCCTGATGTCATTGCACACCTCCTCGACCGTGTGTTGCGCCAAACGATCGCGGAGGTGTGCAATGACATCAGGGGTGATCCTGCATTCTTACAGAAGCTTTCTGCCGCAGCATGTGCCTTCCGCCACCGTCTCCAGTGATGTATCAACATTGGAGGATTCTGAAAGTGAGCATTTTTTTTCATATGGCGTTTAACTATCACCCTGAGGAAACTCGCTCCACTCGTGCCTTGTTTACATGATCTGAAATTTTGGTTTAATTCCAGAGTTATTTAGGATTAAAAGTAGGACATGCGTTTTTTAAACGTACAGTGGAACACCGCTATAATGAACATCGCGAGATCCACAGAAATTGTTCGTAATAGCGATCGTTCGGTATAGCGATTTTAACCCTTTCATGCCCACATTGTTTATTGACTTGGCTCTCCCCAGGACCAAATTGTTTGCTCAGTCATGCGGAAATCACTAGAGCGTGAAAAAATGAGCACGAGTCGAAAACTCACTTTTTTCAACCCAGATTTTCACTGCCAAGGAGTGATTGAAATCATAGGTGTTGTGTGTAAAGTTTGTTCCTTGAACCTTACTCTTTTATGTGATGTAAAAATGAAGTCCATACGTGCAAATATAAGAAAGTTATGCCTTTTTGTTCATCTGGTCCCAATTATCAAACTGCAAGCCATTTCACCACATGACCTAATGGCACTCCATACCTCAAATTGTGCGTGGATACTTTCTGAAGCACTTTTCTCATGTTTTTGTAATGGTAACACTATGAATAAACCACACCATTAGAAAGATCCGAAACACTCTTTTAGCTGGTATATAGTTGATGTATGGGCGGCCAAACATATCAACATGCTGCCTTTCTGAAAAGTAGTGAATATATCTGTGCTGAGGATGTTTTGTGTGTGGTTTCCTGGTCGACTAAAGTCGCCCATGGGAACCAGCAGGGGGGTACTTCTTGTCGACAAAAGTCGCCCATGGGAAGGAAAGGGTTAAGCTGCCGGTGCTCCGGTCAAATTAACTCACTTTTCAATAAATAGTGCCCTTCAGAACTTCACCCTGCACGCCCTGGTAGTTACTGAAAGATGACTTTGAACATGTGTCGACTATTGAATTATGTAATTACACATTTTGGAGCTTATTTCCTACAGCAATGTGGCTTTCCCTTTCTATCCCTTGGGGAAATAATAGCAACTTGTCACTCTGCTGGTGATATTTACAAAAATCAGAAGCCAAGCACGATGTTCGGTACAGCCGAATATTTGGTATAATAACAGTGTCGGTACAGCGACGTTCCACTGTAGTACAATTTAATACAATTGCTAAAGGGATCCCCCAACGGCACTTGTCATGCTTGTGTAACATTGTATTACATTGTACTAATTCACTGATGAATTAATAAAACCACACAGTGCTGGGGTAATTTTAGGCGGTATCTACACAGTAACACAAGGGGCCGCGGTACAAGAATTTATGGGTTGGAATAGTGACATTCTCACCATGCTAACGATGGCAAGACTAGACAGCACATATCCATTGTACACGGCACTCAGATCAAACTTCTCCATTAGGATCATTGGAAGCATACTCTGGAATATCGCATTGGGCAACCCGGACACCATGGTAACGAGGAGGAAGAACAGCGCCCCCGGCGTCTGCGTCACCAGAGTGATGTACTTCTCCAGACTGAAGACGCCGCTTTTTGACTTCTCTGCAAAGAAAAATATCAAATATAACTGATAACGCAGCCTTTTCCTTAAAAAAGACCAATTACTTTCCTCATACATTTCAGTTTCAAAATTGAGTCTTGTTATTTTTAAGCTCAACTGTCTTAACCCTCCTGCTGTTTGAACAGTCACAGACAGTCAAAAAAATCAATCCTCTTCCCCTGCCATGCCTTTTACACAGGCTAGTCACCAACAGTCAGACCATATTTCTAGCATGTGACTGGTCAAATTCAGACAAAAGCTTATCAATCACCTACAGTCAAAGCATAGCTGTATCAAGTTACATTTCAGTCGCAGCCAGTCAATCCTGCTTTATGTGGGCTGGGACTGTTCACTTGACTGATTTTTACTGAAAGGACAACTTTGCACAGAATGTATGTGTGCGTAGGAGGGCTAATGGAATTCTTGAAAGTGAAAAAAAAAAACCGAAAGGTTGTTTAATAATAATTTGAATAATTTGGAAAGCTAATCATCCTTACTGGCAGCTGGGATGCTGAATTGCAAAGGACGCGGCTACATCTTGGTCGGGCCGCTGGCACGTAAAGGCCCATACATTGACCCATGTATGACCACGGAGCACAGCCTGAGTTCGAAAGTGTTTGATTTTTCCGGAGGGAGGAAAACCAGAGGGCCCGGAGAAAAACCTTCGTGGCACAGCAAAAACCAACGCACAACTCTACTCATCACATGTGATTCACGGCCGGGCCAGGATCCGCGGCCAGGATTCTAACCCTGGTCACCTTGGTGAGGGGCGAGGGCTTTACGCACAAGCCACCCATGCCACCCATGGGTGGCTTGTTTGCTACCCCTTCAAGAAATTCTTCATAGTTTCAAATGTAACTGAATAAAATGTGATGAGACAGGGAGGTCTGCTCTGCGCAGTTATAGACCGTCTGCCTAGATGTGGCTGAGGTCACCCTAAACTGTGTGCTGGGTAGACAATGTGACGAAGTGGAGTGGCAGAAGTGTGGAAGAGCCGAGAATAGCGGTGATTGAAAGAGAACAGGTGATGGCGGCGACCCAAGGGATACGCCGAGGACGAGGCAGTGGCGGACTCAAGTCTATGCCGAATTATGACGATGAAGAATAAAAGTTTTTAATTCAAACTAAAACCATCTTGATTGAATGTGATTTTTTTTTTTCAAAAACATGCAATCAAGACTTGGATTAAAACTGTCTGGTGTAAAATTCCCGGATTTTTTTGGCCGGTCTGAGAGCGCCAGCCTAGTGGATAATCTCACTAACTGACTGACTGACTGACTGACTGTCACATGTGAGCCGGGCAGTGCGCTTGTAAAGGATTCCCCCAACATACTGATGAATGAGCTAAATATGCCACTGTGTAAACCAGATGAATGAAAAGACTTTCAGTGAAACGCCATTCTGAATTAACTGACTGTGCACTCGGGGGCCAGCAGAGCCTTGACCTGTCTTGTTTTACTGACCTTCTGTAATTGTTTTGCGTACGGTGCCGGTTACTGGCTCCAGGCACACAAAATATCACTGCACTAGTATACATTCTGTGCAAAGTTATCCTTTCAGTAAAAATCAGTCAAGTTAACAGTCCCAGCCCTTATAAAGCAGGATTGACTGGCTGTGACTGTTTATGTAACTTGATACAGCTATGCTTTGACTGCAGGTGATTGATAAGCTTTTGTCTGAATTTGACTAGTCACAGTGATTGCTGGAAATATGATCTGACTGTTGGTGACTAGCCTGTGTAAAAGGCATGACAGGGGAAGAGGATTGATTTTTTTGACTGTCTGTGACTGGTCAAATAGCAGCAGGGTTAAGACAGTCAATGCGCGTAGACTGGTTCCCAGACCAAAATGATGCTGACCACTGATGTTCAATTACTGACTTTGCGAATACGTTTTCAATTTTGGGAGTATTTTGAATCGCTAGCGAATTCTATGCGAGCACTCTGATTGGTTCAGATTCCAGAACGTATTCTAGGCCGCCACGGAAGATCGTTGTCACTACTTCGAGGGTTTGTACTTTGTGTTGTGTAACATTAAAAAATTCCTTATAGGGCATGCATGACTCAAATATATCAAGTATATCACAATGATACATTTTATTTCTATACACAATTGACCAAGCTAAGTGAATTGGTCGTTAAAACGTCGCCCGATCTGCAAACATGTCCCTGACGTACCGAAAAGAAATCCCCATGTAACGGAATGAATGACTCCTCATTTGCATAGCGGTGCGCGATTGGATATCACCGCAAAAATGCACTGCATATGTATTGGGCTGCTTGCATACATGAATAATGGTGCAAGAACGCAATCGTCAAGTCGTTAGATTTGTCACAACCCGGCCAATTACGTACTAGTCTTATACCAGCCGCACCGATTGGAGTTCGACTGAAGTTCACGGACAAAATACGACTATCTAACGACTTGTCATCAAGTCTACTGACCTTCTTGTATTTTAGTGGTGGCCACTTTTTTGGTCTGTACAGGAATGAAGAGCTGCACCAGCAACACAGAGAGAAGAGAGCCCATGCATGATACGAGGGCTGCATGCTGCTCGCTACAACAACAACGAGAAACAGATATGAAACACATTGATTGAACTCCCTAACGTGTTGAAAATGTTATTGATCCGGTTGCCTATAACTGGATCAACGATAAAACAAATACCAATGCAAATGATCAACCTGCAGTGGCCTAAGGGGCTTCAACTTCACAACCAATCAGTGAATAGGAACGGAGTCCCATGACCAACTAAGGGGTGCTTTCCCTCCACTTAGTCTGGTTCCCAGACCAAATGGTTCTGCCTTTGTCTGATGAATCTTAGGTCAGGCACCCGCCACGGCATGTGACCAAAACGGGAGGAATTCTTCCTGTTTCTGTAAATGTCCAAAGTTTGCTGAATGAATTTCGTCGACACTCGGATAGCGCCCGGGTATATTTCTGGGTATAAAATAAGTTCTATTTACCTGCCATGCTCATAACAAATTTATAAAATGAGCTGATAATTGATGTTCATTGCTTGTATTTAAAAAACTGAAAATTCAATGACTTTGTGCATCAAGCATGCACTCAGATCGTACGAGGGGCGAGCTTTGCTGCATCTGTTCTATTGGAATCTGACGACGGTTAAGCTAGGGGTATTCCAAAACACAGTGTCGTCTCCCCTTCGACTTCACATGCTATTTGGGTCCCTAACTTTGCAGATTGCAGCTCAACATTAGTCAAAATTTCTTAAAGAAATATCCAACTGTATGATTTACATGTAAGAAGCAAGTTTTTTTTTTAAATTTCATCAGAACATTAAAAGCTTTTAATGTTAAAGCAAACTGAAAATGAATCCGAGCTTTGAAAAAAAGCCATCATGTTTATTTTTAGCACGGTGGCAGCTACCTGAACTACGACATAGACATCCGGGCGTCAGTGCACTGTCAGGTCAGGGAACCAGACCACACTCCACTGATCCGTGGACAACAATTAAACTGAGCCGCTAGGAGAGTCTGATTTCAGCCTCCCCCGTGACATAATGATAAGCCTTTCTCACCTGTAATATTTGGTGACCATACCGCCAATCAGAGGACCGACGATCATGCCCAGACCATAGGACAGTCCCAATCTCCCCAAAGCCTCGGCTCTCTGCGTGTCATCCGTCAGATCAGTTATCACCATTTGGGTACCTTAAAACCCAAAAAAAATGATCACAAGTTCTGTTAATCCCTTGTCCTCTTATATCAGCCTTGTGCTTTAAAGCTGTTTCTGAAAGTCTTAGTTCCATGGGCGTCCAGAGGGGGGGGGGGGGGGGGGGGAGGGGGGAGGGGGGCGGCAAGGGGGGCTCTTGCCCCCCCCCCCTCCCTCCCCCCCCCCCCTCAAAATAGAAAAAAAAAGAGGAGAGAAAAAGGACAAAGAGGTGCGAAGCCATATTGCTGTTAAATTTGATGGGGGGTAGGCAAATGCTCTCCTGCTCAAGCACGGAAAAATTATAAATTGAGGATATTGCAAAATTTAAGAAATTTTGGGGAAAATTTTGCTTTGCCCCCCCCCCTCGGAAAAAATCCTGGCGAAGCCCATGCTTAGCTCAAAGGCAAAAATGACACATAAATGATGACAATAACTTTTTTTTCTCAGCTCGAGAAGTGGCGATGATCTGCGTCCAAAAACCCAAATCTATCAGATACTGATTTTGATATTCTAATAATAATAATAATGCGGTGTTTTTATATAGCGCTTTATACTCAAGGTCTCAAAGCGTTTCACAATTATTTCCCCTTGTTTATCAGGCCGTGAGACCAGTTTCTGCAGCAGCTCGATATCATCGCACTCTGGTCTCTGCCTAGCACAGATACCCATTTATACTCCTGGATGGAGAGAGGCAATTGTGGTAAAGTGTCTTGCCCAAGAACGCAAGCCCCATGCTATGCGGTTCGAACCCAGGTACCATGATACGAGTCGAGCACCGTAACCACTGGATCACAGTGATCCATGCTGTCGTCCATGTTCTGCTCAGCACTTCAAACTGGCACTCAACTGTAGACATGTTCTATCTACAAACCCATCTTCTTCCACACATCTTAAATCCAACAAAATCCTGCAAATCCTGACATCAGATTCTGCAAGATTTGTGCTGGTTACAACTAGGCCCTAAATTATCAAATTCATTGAGCGAGAAATACCATGATTAGCGCTGAGAAACAACGCAGGCACTCGGGACAAGAACACAAATGCTCCAGTTGTCGCCACGCCCAGAAGACCGTACATGGACGCCGCCATAGCGTAAGCCAACGTCAGCGCGGCACGCCCACCGTAGAGGTCCCCAAAACGCCCATATATGGGCGTGCCGACCAGCTGAATGAAGTTGTAGAATGTCTGGAGGTAACCGTAGACCGCCATGTCCATGCCTAGTTTCTTTGTCAGGTACTGTGCGAGGAAACACAAAAACATTTTAGTTTGGTTACTGAACCTAAACAATAAGTATAGACCTTTATCATGCCGCCACCATTTCAGTCATGTTCCCTGTATCCACTAACAGTACTGAATGATAATACTTTTGGGTGCAATAGGGAACCAGACTATTTTTCCTTCCAGCCTCGCTTTGGTTACATTGATTTGAATGGGAAAAAAATCAAGATGGCCGCAACATGGTAATGGTCTATAGTGTGGAAAACGCATTCCTAAAGTTTAGTTCCTATATCGCCCAAAACTGCCCTGCCTATTACTCCCTGTACCGCCCAAAACCACTCAAGCGTTCTATAGTTTTATGGATTCATCAGGAAATAAATACAATATAATACAATGGTAGTACAAGATGCTAATGGGTAAACAGCTTTTGCTTTTAACAATAAGGTTCTGGATAGGATAATTTAGCCTTTTAGAGCATGCAGAAGAACAGGGCTCTTCCATTATTGAACTGCCAAGCTCTTTAGTGTGGGAATGCTGGCAGACCTCCTAACTAATGTTGTGCAAACCGTCCCGAATCCCAAACCAAAACCAACTTTGGGTCGGGTCGGGTCCACTTTGCCATCTTTTTAGTCGGGTCGGGTAGGTTTTGAGTTTGCCTTTGCGATTTTCGAGTCAGGTCGGGTCGGTTAAGCCATCTTGTGAACAACCTGAAATAAAGCGAAATGAACCCCAAAAATTGAAACAGTTTGGAAATTCTCGCGGAGCGATATATTACAGAGTTACTGTGTCCTGTACAACCAATGTCAACCCACCGCACAAATGTGCATGTGGTTTACGGTCTAGGACGCACAGTCTATAAAGTGTAGGCCCACCAGGAGGTAGGCCTACAAGTACATGTAACGTTATGGATCTTCACCGTACCGTACAGTATGATTCTTTACCGAGAGACGACGATTTTCACGCGACGCAGATACATGTAAGTTCAGGCACAAAAAGTGTACACAGTAAGTTGCCCAAGCCAGATAATCTGGGTTTTTGGGGTCGGTTCGGTTTTTGCTTGATATTTTTGGGTTGGGTCGGGTTGGATTTGGGGAGTTCAGTTCGGTTTTGGACTTGCCGTGCGGATTCAGTTTATTATGTTTTGGATTGGTATGGCCTGGTTAACCCGACCTGACACACAACATTACTCAGTTCTTGTCACTGCTGTCATTTGTGGCTCTTGGTCAGGGGAGCTAGTCAGAGGCTCCTCATGATTTTTGTTTTTAAAGTGAGAATAATGTTATAGCAGCTTCCATGAAATAGTCCGAAATTTCGGGCTCATGAGGCGTCGGACTTAAGAGGCATACATTCCGCCTCATAGATCATAGGTCTGAGGCCTCATAAGTCCGACGCCCACTGATCTCTATATAAAGACTGGATAGCGGATATGCAAACAACATTCACACAGTAGACTTTGCATATTGACCAATTCGCCCCCGGTCTCACGAAGATGGCCGCATATAGCACGAACGTTCTACGCGTAAATACGCGCGCGTTGTATCAACAGTTGACGCGCATTTTGGTCACGTACACATATTATGATGTTCTAAAAGGGACACATTTCCGTAGTGATTATTATTTCAAAACGCCGAAAAAGTGGTATTTGCGGCATTTTAGTAACCACTACGTTAGAAAAATTGTAGTTAACCTTGGTCAGTGGTGGTGGTCAAAATATAAGTCAAGTGAACCGCGACGTTACAAAAGAAATCGTGCTGTCTATAAAAACGGCAACTTGTCTTTTGTAGATCACCAGCCGGTCTCACCAATATGGCGTCAAATTCGTTCATTGTGCGGCTCTTTATTAGCTATCCAGTCTTTATATAGAGATCAGTGCCGACGCCTCATAAGTCCGACAATGGACAAACGCTGTTTCAGAATTATGAGGCGTCGGAGCTGTGAGGCATCAGACTTATGCGGCGTCGGACTTATGAGGCGGAATAAATAAATTGTATGTCTCATAAGTCCAAAGCCTCATAAGTCCGAAATTTCAGAATAGGCGTCAGACCTATGAGGCGTTGGACTTACATACGAGCGGAACCCCTCTGTACATGTATGTACTGTATGTTGATCATTCAGGTTTTCAAGACAGAATTTCTTAAAAATGGGTTAGTTAGAGGGGCAGGAGGGTTACAAACTATTGAGAGCAATTCTTACAGGCAGGACACCCGTCTGCAGCCAGAAACACGCAGCATAGAGGAAGATGTTGAAGTGCAGTACTCTCTTAGCAACCCCCCAGGATGGTGAAGACAAATTATGATCTCGTTTAGTCTCATCGTCACCGTTCAACAATTCACTGGGCGGTGCCATCACAGTAACTTCTGGAGACGAGCCTGACTCCTTGTCCTGTTTCCAATCTTTATCCTCTTGATTCTGATGATTCCCGTTTGTGTCTCTTCGGTGATTGGTCGTGTCCTCCATGTCTTCGGTGGGCTCTTGTCTGGAAGAGCTAGTTCTCAGCCGGGATTGGCCGGCTGGTTCTGTCGCCGTTTGTCGGTTGGAGCGGAGCTTCATGTCTCAACTTCAAGCATTGAATCTGTGTATCCTGTAATTTGGGATCATGAGAAAAGAACCGACATTTTTTGCCATGCTGCCTTCAAAATCAATGTTATTATTGTTATAATCTGTCACATGTCCTAACAAACAGAAATGTAACCAATAATGGGCTCTTCTTAACAAATTGAACAAGTTTGAGAGAAGTGATCCCACACAGGCAATTCTCACCATTTGGTGACTGTGTGTTTAAAGCTAGAGTCCATCATTTGCAGCCATCCGAAAAGTAACTGGCGTAATTATTGTTGAAAAACAAACTTGGTCGAAAGATAGTAAGGGAACTAAACTCCCTGTGAAATTATTCTTTCTGGGAAGCTGTCATTTTGAAGTAATCAACGAAAGAAGGCATTTCCAACGGTGATTCTTAAGAAGCACCGTACGAAAATTTAAATTAGTAGTTTGTTTTGTTATTCAGCGCAGCGCGCACAAGTATTGGAACGACGCACACGCACGCGCGGTTGTTATAATTCGTCGGATCAGTGCGCGACGTCGCGTATAGCTGCAATTCAAAACAATTGAAAACATGATTCAGTAACTTTTGATTTGAAATTGAGATCCTAGAATGCTGTTTTTCTCGGAATGTACAGCTGAAGCTTAGCTGAAACTTCATCAGGTTAGTTGTTCAGTACCCTTCATTAGATTTTGAGCACTTTTGTTGCTTCAAACGAACAAAATGCACAAATTACAAATGATGGACTATACCTTTAAACATGGATATAAACATGACAATTTAATTTTGCAGTGTGTCATGTGTGTCCAAATGAAATCTTCAATTCAATGTCCTTGATTCCTTTTTGATATAGTCCCCATGTGTATGCATGTTGTCAGCTTGAACATGATAAAAATGAAATTCAAAATCAAACTGTCAACATACTATTTTACTAGTATTTTATTAGGTCTAACCATGGTTAGTTCTACCTCCATGGTCTAACAGTAACATCCTCATAATAAATAAATATTAATATAAAAAGACATACAATCATGACAGTTCAATGTAGCTCAAATCAATTTTTGCACAGTCACGTCATACAATACACAGTGCCTTCGCATTAGTTGTATTAAAATTAGCATTTACTAGCAGTTAGTCTTACCCTAGCCCCATAAATGTGGCCTATTTACTGGACTGCCTCCGTAAACATAGGCCACACATCCACATGTACAAAAACGTGTCGACTTTGCCAAATTTTGATTTTCACATTTAGGCTTACTTTGTAGGTTTTTTTTGCTTTAGAAGCATTCTCACCCTCTATATAGGCTAATCGGAAAGTGCTGCCTTTTTCAGATGTCCATGTTTCGTGAAATTTCCAGATACATTTGGACACGTTTGCGTATCAAAATTTCAACATGAAATTTCACAAAAATTAGACATCTGAAAAAGGCAGCACTTTCTGATTAGCCTATAATAGAGGGTAAGAATGCTTCTAAAGCAAAAAAAACCTACAAAGTAAGCCTAAATGTGAAAATCAAAATTTGGCAAAGTCGACACGTTTTTGTACATGTGGATGTGTGGCCTATGTTTACGGAGGCAGTCCAGTAAATAGGCCACATTTATGGGGCTAGTCTTACCAATACCTAGCCGCAGATAATTATAGGCTGAAAGTGAAAATGTTTGGTTCAACAACGAAGCTGAGCTAGCTGTTGACTCGATACGCATGACTGACTTCAGATCAGACTATGTAGCTAGCTGGAACTTTTTGCAACGCGTACTTACGTACGAGTACAAAGTACATGTACTTCAAGTGACGTGTACGCGTGTACGCGGACCGGATAAGGATGTACATGTATTATTCGTGCGTGCGTGTATCGGATTTATCGGGAAACTATTTCTTAAAATAGGGGTGTCAATTTCGAGAGGTCGTTTCAAAGCAAGCATATAAACAAATATCTGTGTCTATAAATGTATCACGTTTTGTTGTAAAACAGAAATTAAAGATAAATTTGCCGAGAATAACATAAAATTACCTTGCTATTCATCCAAAATGTAACCTTTTTTTTTAAAACCTAGACAAACAATAAACTACATAATATACTGGTGTGGCCAATATATAAATAATTCATTAGGCAGGCAATTAACTGGTAACCAGAAGTCCATGCAGGTTTTATTCACGTGTGATGCATCCTGGGGTCAGACTATTTATAATTGATTGGTTTTGTTTACTTAAAACCATCCAATCTAAAACGGCAAAGAAATATTTTTTACTCACAAATCTCTGATAATTTTCAACAATTTAAGCAATGTGAAGGTTGAAATTATATTTCTAACAAATTCGCTTTCGATGAAACAATTGCACGACTGAATAACAGCGGCTTCTTTCGTCTTGCAAAAAAGGGGAAACACATGTCACGTGACCACCTTGACAACGGCATAAGCAAAACACCTGCTTTGCTATTCTAATTCTTCATCGATGGCGAAAAGGAAAGCGAACCGAATGGGTCGCTGAAAAAATATGAGGAAAGAGTGATTCCATACCATTTATAAAACCAGAGTTTTCATCTAAAGAAGCACACATCTTGAAGACCAAGATTCAAAATGTCACACGTCGATTCTGGGTAAGTTTTAAGAGGGAAATTGGAATGATTTTGGACGATCAATTGTTGGCATGTTTGTGATGCATTGCATTTTTATGTGTATACATTGTATACATTGTAATGCAAATGTCAGTACATGTACATTGTTCATGTTTGTGATGCATTGCATTTTTATGTGTGAAGTTTTTAACCCTAATTGTTTTTGGCAGTGGATATTTAGCCGGCACACCGCACAGCTTTCTTTTATGTTTAATTAAGGCAGTGGATATATTTTGCCGGAGACGGCAAACCTTCAGTAAACGTTAGTTTGCCGGATATGCACTGAAATTTAAATGCGCAGTTACTGTTTTTTTGTACTTAAACATTTTCCGGTGACAAATTTTAGTCTGGCTCCATGTCAATATTATCGTTGTATTTTTGTATTTACAAGATGGGAATCAGACATTTTATAATTTCAGACTTTATTTCCCTTTAAAAAAAATCATCCAGAGCCACAAATCTGAAAAAGAAAAAGTAATACTCTGCAATAAAATGTTTTGAGACATTTTAAAATAATAAAAGAAGAATATTCTTATTTATTTGGGGATGGGAAAAAAAAACCCTTAAAATTGTGGCGGGGATCAGGATTCGAACTCGGGACATTCAACTCACTAGAGCCATTGCTTAACCACTGCACCGACTGTGCTACACAACTTTGATGGGAATTTAATACATGTTATAATTCAGCCCTATCTTAAAGAGTACAGCGCCCTCTGTTGATGTGGATTGCTGCCGGCAAACCTTTAGTAAACGTTAGTTTGCCGGCGTTACCTCCGGCAAAATATCCACTACCTTTAATTAAACGATTATAATATTTATCATGTAATAATGAGCTGGCACAGCACTGAACATGCGCAGTGACCGTTTTTTGGGGACTCAAGACATTTTTTCCGTGACAAATCTTACTGCGCCACGCTACCAACATTGTCGTTGTGACTTCACATTCACGAGAATGGAATCAGGCCAGGTTGGCCGATTTCAATCACATTGATTTAAATCACTGATTCAAATCGCGATTCAAATCAAATGATTTTTTTTTTTAAATCACTGATTAAAATAACTTTTTTTTGTAAAAGTCATATTTTTGGCAAAATAAATTGATTGAGGGCTACAATCATTAAAATCAACTGATTCCACTTACATTTTACAAAGTGTAAGACGTTAACTCATTCAAACACCTAAACTTATACATGTACATGTCTGAAATTCATGTATTTCAAGTATACATATATTGTTTTATGATCAATAAATAATTGGCACAATAAAAGAATGGTATTTGAATAGAATTAGGTCAATTAAAAAAAATTCCAGTTGACATCGTCCCCGCCCACTTACTTTTTTGAGGCTGCATCAAATTTTTTTATTTTTTATTTCAGGCGTAACATTTTTTTAAAGATGTTTTAGTTCAGATTCTTCTAATAATACTAATTCTAATGTTCAGTGAAAGGTTTTGTGGTCATCAACCATCAACTACATTTACATTTAAATTTATTTTATTTTTGTTACAACAATTACAAACAATAACATTAAATACTCAGAAATACAAAAGAATATTCTATTCGCTGGATCACCTAAAAGAAACATGGTTTCTGTCGAGGGGCTCTCTAACTGATTAAATGTGACACACTAAAACAATGTTAATAAATTATGGCCTACAGTAGCATGTATTTAACTTTTTTAATTTCTTTTATGATGATTGACTGTTACCTTTTGTGCTTTTTTCTTGTGTTGTTTGTCTTTCTTCGTGTTCATGTAACCATGGTAACCGGTAATATCTGTGCTGGATGCAATGTTGGCCCAGTATTTCAAATGCCATGAATATTTTTTACAAGTATATTAATTTTATGGGGCCTAATACCAGATTTATTTTTACACTAAATAGGCCTACAGGTTTTAGAGGTGATAAAGTAAAGAGTATGGTTATCTCTACGACCTGCATGCACATATTTGGAAAAGAACGTGTTTTAGCCACTCATTGGTAATTTGTTTATTTACAACATGTCCATGTAGTTTTATGGCCAAAAAACAACAAATTGTTCTGCTTCTGGTTACTCTACCTACACATGTACCCTATTTTGACAGCCCCTACCCTAATTTTTTTGGGGGGAAAATGAGGGAAAACAAACCCGAAAATCATCAGTTAGGCTACTCCCTTTGGAAAGATTTTCCCATGCATGTATCTGGCCATCACTTGTCACCCTGTGCACAAAACTATGTGAGACTGGTCTGACAATTTCTAAGTGTTTACTCAGTAAATAGGCCTACTTCAATATTTCCCTGCTAAATTCAACTTTTTAGGACATATTATCACCTTCTGATGGCTGATAGGTCACTGAAGGGAAATATTAGTGATGGCCAGATATGGGAATCTTAATTTCTGTGCCTTTTACCCTCGATTGACTATGCAGACACCTCCATATGATGGTGCAAAAAATTAATTGCCAAAAAGAAATTCCCCTAGCTACCTACATGTGTACCTATTTTCAAATGCCATGTAAATCGGAAGCATATTTTTTGGGGGCCTAAATGGTGCACATAAATTCTCAATAAACATGATAAATAGTTTGTAAACATGTACAGTAAGTAGGATTAATGAGGAATTCATGTGCTTGAAAAAAAAGGCACGCATTAATTCATTATGTTTATCACATTATTTTGAACTGTTTACATACATAGTATACATTTGTACATTGTACATCTATATGGGCAATTCCTGTGACCATGTCGACCATTTAGGTACATGTAGGGCCTATTATGTTCTTGACAGGGATTTTTAAGAGCTCAGTGGATAAACCTGAAAAATTGCTTTTCAAATCTTATCATCTAGAAATGGTCAACATGGTCAAGGAGATTACAGACTAAGTGTTCCAGATCATTTCTCTAAATCATAAAACGTGATTAAATTCCATCATGGTTATAATTGGCTCTGACATGGACAATTCACTTCCATTCACAATGCTGGAATATGTATGTTTACAAATTACAATGTACATGTACATGAAGGATTAGGTACACGTGTGCTTGAAAAAAAGGGTACATGTACATTGTAGCATTCAGCTTGTTCATCAATGTGTTAATTTTTAACTGTTTACGTTGTGTACATGCTGCAGAATTGCTCTTGTTTTTCTTTTCCATGTTTGCAACATCAGGCACATACATGTACATGTACATTTCACTTATTTCATACAAGCTGTTCTTACCTTCAGTTTGTTCTGGTAGTGCATCTTGATTGTTTCCCCCTAGTATCATGCTGTAGACCTAGTAATAGTATTATGTTGCTGTAACCATGTAGTACAGCTGTAGCACACACCACTTTCAATCTTGTTGAATCCAAATATGACATCAAAATAGTCTCAAACATGTCAAAGAGGATGAGTTCAAAATATATGTATTTGCCTATATTCACTAGCTGTGGTCATGGTAGTACTGTGCAGCAAGAGCAAACCATCTGTAATGATTTTTGTATCATTATCATATCTTGCCAATCCATAGTACTTGACAATAAATAGAATATTTACAATCGATATTACATAAATTTACATACAGTACGGTACCAACACCTCAGCATACATGCAGATTACAAGTTCTGTATTTTCCATGTTATCATGGTTATCCGCAATTTTTTTTTTTTTCGCAACTACTTCAATTGGGTTATAATTAATTAAAAAAGGGTGGAAATTTTTTGAAAAATATTAATAATGGAGAAATATATCGATGATTGTATCCGTGTATTAATAATTATTCACAACCTAACAAGCTACTCGTATGCATGTATTCATTAATTCATTGTAAAAATGCAAGATAGAAAAACTATATTTTAATGTCAAAAAGAAATTGCAATGTAAGCTGGTTTTATATCCATGTAAACTGTACATTTACTTTTTTTGCCCAGTTTTATACTGAAATGTATCAATAGTAATTCTTACCTCATTCTGTGAGTCTGTGTGTCCGCAACATTTGTGAGAATAAGCCAGTGTGAGTTAAATTATTGGAAAGCACGTATACGTGTACAAATGTACATGAGTTTACAGTAATGAAATGCAACCCCTGTGATACTACTAGTAGACCTATACATGTATACAATTGTGAGGGTTTTAATACAGTCAGTAAAACCAATTAAGTATTAATGGCATTTATACCAGCAGATTTCTAACCCTTCAATTTAAGCCTTGTATCGCTATAATTACAATGTCAGATACAGGTATACTTGTACAGATGGGGCAATGTTCTAAATGGAGAACTATAGATTAGGAACAGATCTAGAATGTTCTAAATGGAGAACTATAGATTAGGAACAGATGTGATCTGCCTACATATTACATAGTAGGCTATTTACATACATGCATGATTTTGATAAAAAAAATGAACATTGATCTGTTTTGATCATAACAAAACTGGTACAGTGTACGTGTACCGTACATATAGCTAGGTACATGTACAAATTAATATACTGAAATAGGTGGAATTTTTTAGACATGTATTTTGAATTTCAGACATTTCAATTGAAGGGGCATTTAAGGGCCTAAGGTACAATTTTTGTTCGTTCTAAAACAAAGAAATGTAAGATATTTTGCCATAAATGTATTCTTTAAATATCCTTATTATCTAGTTGGAATCTCTTGGGAATCGAGGGGCCTTTTTAGTGATTATTTTCTAACATGATTGAATACAATGTATGCCACATTATATGTCAGACCCTAGCTGTCCATTTGTAGTCTTTCACCATACATGTACATTGTGTTCACTTGTACACATATGCCAGCTGAACATTCATTGCCATATATTTCTTTAAAAACAAAAATTGGATTCATTATAAATGGACTTCTAAAGTTTCTGAAAAGCCAGAGGCCTTCTGTTGCATTCGTGATGTACGTTAATGAGGCTCGTGCCTGTTAATGATGTGACGTACGTCAAAAACTCATCAGAGTAATAATTCACGTGCCAGCCATTAGCTCCATTCTCATCATCAGTTCATCCTTGATGTTCATCAGACATGTAGGAAGTTAATCCTTTTGCTCTGAGAATACACCGAAGCTGCAGGCCGGCCTGTTCCCAAAATGATTTGAAGATTAATTGATGCACATTTGTATACGAATGCATTTTGTACCAGTATATCTGTATCTCAGTCACCTATTGGCTACTGGTCAACAGAGTTTCAACCTTATTGTGTGTGGAGGTTTTGATGGGGTTGAAGAAAGTTGGTTGATGTCCGGCTGAGCATTGAACCCTACGCCCACTTCAGTCCTTCATCCATCTCCAACAGATCTGGCCGGCCCAGTGATTCTCTTTCTGGGACCTTAATTGCATTTGAAACAACTCTTTTCTCCATTTGACATGTTCGAGAAGTCTTCAGATGCTCCCGTGTGTATTTAAATTGAACTTCCAAATAAGCACTCTAATCCAGTAAATCTTCCAGCCCTCTTTGTGAGTGACGTACTATGTTCACATTTGTATGCTGCAGCTCTACATGTGTGTAGCTACATGTACTTCAATATTTTTGCATCCAACTGACCGACCAGGACTTTTTGAGATATCCAGGCGTCTCAGTAATTTTTTGACAAGTGTGTGATAAGCAGACATCCAAATTGTTCAAAAGACAGCTCTTATTCGACTTTGGTGTTTTTCTCTTCGTCGAGCCAAGATGTGGGTTTCCCCATGCAGCATTGCTTCCTCTCGTAACCCGTATGGCATCACGCCTCCCCCGCCCTGCAGCAGGTGCGTCTATCACTGCCGAAGGATGGATTGCAGGCGAGGAGCCTGTCATGGAGAGAAAAAACCACAGCCAGAGATGAAATCTTGTTTGGAGATCAAGTACAGGAAGCAAGAAGAATTGTGGGATGCTAGGTTTTGTTGTTATGAGAAAAAGTTTCAAGGGTATTATTGTATTTTTATTTACTCTTAAATTGTACAAATGCTTAATGCTGACTCAGCAGTTTTCAGTTAGGCCAAAAAACTTAATAAATTTGCTTCCGGTTACCCTACCTACCCTATTTTGATAGCCCCTACCCCAATTTTGTTTGGAAAAAAATAAGGGGGAAAAACCCGAAAACCATCAGTTACTACCTTTTACCCTACACGTAGACACCTCCATATGATCGTACACAAAACAAATTGCCAAAAAAAAAAAATTCTACATACCAGTACATACATTGTACCTAACCTATTTTCAAATGCCATGTTATCAGAAGCAGAATTTATTTTTAGGCCTTATCATCAGATCACAATGTACGTAATGTAAATAGCATTTTTCAAAGAAATTGACTTTTGGTATTTTGAACTCCAAACTTTATGACTAAATATTGTTTAAGACTCTTTTTATGTACTTCATTCTTTTTACCATATTTTCTCAATGTTGTCAGGAAGTTGAACTTTATATTGGTTAAATTGCTTGTACCATGTGTACAATGTATCTTTTTTTTCCAACAGAAAAACGTTAAGAAATATCTCCACTGTTATTCAGAATTCTCATAAGTCTTGTTTATTCATAGTTTGAAACCAAACATTTCAGTAACATATCCGCTCCGTTCACAAGTACCCCCTCACCGGCAAAGGAAGTACAGTTAGGGGTGCGCGGCCACTGCGTGTACATACACGCGCGTCACACACAAGGAACGGTGCACGTCAACCAGCGAAATGTACCGCCCATGGGACGTCGTTGCTAGGTAAAAGGGCGCCCTCTTTTGGTAGCGCACGGAGCTCATAGCTTGCTGCTTGATACTCCCATGTATACTCTGCTTCAAGAGTGAGTACGTGTGCTACATTTAGCACAAATATACAAACTAAGAAAGTTTTCATCAAATCTGAGTCAGTAATTGAGACCCTTCTAAACCTTAAGTTTGTGTCTGTTTTTTCCACAGCCCACTGTCGGCCTACAACAGCCTCCAGGACAAGCACCTGATTGGCTACTTCAACAATACCCGCATGCGTCGCCACCTCCGACGCTCGGGCCTCATCACGCGCGGCGGCGAGATCGTCACCGAGAACACCTTCCGGCTCAACATGGCGCGCCGGGAACACCAGAAGCATGTGCGGGACCTGATGGCGCAGGCCATCGTGCACAAGGCGCTGGATATGGAGCGTCATCGGCAGGCGGAAATCAAGAGGAAACTAGAGGAGATTGGCAAGGTGGAACTTGTCCAAAGAGTCAGGGTAAGATATCCGAACCCATCTGTCACGTACGAGCCAATATGGCACATCAGGCCGGAATTTATCTCTGTTTTCCTTCATCAATCCTTGGCATGAAATGACTGAGATATTTTTATATAACCGACACACAGATCCTTGTCATTTGATTGGTGGAACTCACATCACGTGACATTCGTTATTGCTCCCATTCATGCCGCGGCTCAAAAAGTACTATCCGCCCATGGGGAATGGGAAATACTATTCAACAGTTAGGATCATGACGCGGTATTTGTGTGCAAATGCATGCTGGTGTGCGCGTTCAGCGTTGCGCGTATTGTTCAAAAGAGCCAGCGCTACAGCATTGGGTTCAAACGTTTTCGTGAAGGGGTGGTTTTAGAAGAGAGAAATACATTTTCCTCCAGTTGTGTATGGGCAATTCCACACCAAAGTGGACATGACACCAAAAAATTCAAATACATGTGACTTAAACAAATTTGGCATCAAATGAAAGCTAAAAGTCTATATTTTCAAGATTTGAAGTCGGAATTTTATTTTTTATACATTTCGGTACCAAAAAATAGGATTATGTAATAATCCTGTTTTAAGCCTAAAAAATGTGATTAATAGTGATATGAAAGTATTCTACCAATAGACACACAAAAATATGTACTAATGCCATCAGTTTTTGTCATGAGAATGTATTGGTCTTGAAAAACCGACTAAAACTTGTTTTTAGCATTTTGCGTAATTTGTTTCGCTTCAGTGACTTCTAATATTTCAGTCTTCGAAAATGTCCTTCCGTTACCGAAAAAATACATATTTTTAATTTATTTTTAAAACTTGCAGTATGAATGCATTGAAAGTTATTGTGCAAAGCAAGTTTAGGTAGGCCTTCAATATGACATTATAACTGACACTGCTGTACTTCTCGTTTTTTAATTACAATTAATTAAATCACGTCCTTCCGTTACCAAATTGGTAACGGAAGGACGGTAACGGAAGGACAAATCGTATTTTTATCAAATGTTACGACATTTGCGCTCATGTTTGAAAAATGAAAATCACTGCAAATACATGCATGTATAATGAGCATTGAAAGGACATTCATGTGACCCACCTTCACAAAAGCGGGATAAGCAGGGCAAGGTGTTTATTACAAAGGAAGGCACAGGCATGTACAACATGTACAATGTACATGGACATATATGCCGATGTACCAGTACTTGTACATGTATGGAGTTGTTGCAGAAAATCAAATCATAAAGTTGCTGCCATCAGCATTCATGGACAATAGAGAAAGATACGAATTCTGTGAAGCCATTCCAGAAGCAAATTAAGTCAAAAATGAGATGGCAGAAAGTACCGGTACTTTGGGGCACTTTCATTCAATTTACATGTGTAAGACATGTGAGGTGCAATCTTTGACAAATTATGCCCAAGTTAACAATTTCAGTTTGGATGTTTAAAAATTAATTGTTACTACTCTAAATCATTGTAATTTGATTTCAAACATTGATTTTAGAGTTCAATTAAAAGCAACACCTAACTGAAGCCATCAGTTCTACCGGTAGATGTTTTTACCTTAAATGTACATGTAGGCTGGTCGCCCCCCCCCCCCCCCCCCCCCCACCCTTTAGGTAAACCTTTGAACCTACTGGTATTATTATTAAAAGTTGTTGGTGAACATGTAACCAATATACTCAAGAGTTCAAATACTGTGTATTTCAACTTTTAAGGATTGAGGTGATGGGTTTGAAGTCTATTTCTGTAGTAGTCCTGTATTCGTGAATTATGTGTTTTGGGTTGTTTTCGTTTTTCTTTTGTTATCATTAATTAGCAGGCTTTTATCTTTATCTCAATAGTTTCTTGGGTATAATTATTTATGCCAGGTCTGCATATTGTTGATTTCACATTCAGTTACACATTTCAGCAATTTGTTTCACTTGTATAATTAGTGTAAATTCACATTTTGTTCATGCTATAATTGAGTAAACCTTTTGTCCTTCCGTTACCGTCCTTCCGTTACCAAATTATAATCTGCTTAAAACGTTGTAATTATATTACCGAAACACTTAAAGTCAAATGAAAGGCGGTATAGTATAGATAAAGCTTCAGGGATTCCATTTCCTACCTTTAAAATATAATTGCCCCATAAAATTCACAGAGTTTACGCAAAACGCGAGTAAGTTGGAAAACCCTTGTCCGTTTTACCGTCCTTCCGTTACCGACCTCATTAATATTCATAATTCATAAACGGGAGGCATTCATGCCCCCCAAAAGTGTGGGAAATGAAAGTAGCATTATAGCAATACAATTGTGACATTTGTTTACTGTAACTATGAACAGTGTCTGTGATACACACATTTGAAATTTTGTTTAATGAGTGAAAACGTCCTTCCGTTACCGTGGAATTGCCCGTATGGAAAAAAAATTCAAATATATCAAATGACAAGGATCTATATGTCAGTTATATAAAACAAATATTGAGTGGCTTTAAATTGTGAAATGGGAGGAATATTATCGCTCGGTAAAATCTGGACTTTTCCAGTTCACTCGGCTTCGCCTCGTGATAATGGAAAAGTCCAGATTTTACCTTGCGATAATATTCCTCCCATTCCACGCTGAGCCACTCAATATTTGTATACTATTCCCCCTGAATGGGATGCTAGTCCATAGCAGGTTACTGCCTAGTCTTGGCCCAAGACGCTAGTGATCCAGTGGACGGTGCATAGTGCGCCCTCTAATGGCACAACAATTAGACCAGCAGGCCTACTCGCACTAACGTCTTGTCCATTTCGTATCAGCGGTTTACCTTTTTCTTTACTTTCTCCCTAGGCCTTCCTAGGGAACCAATCAGCGATCGAGAAATATTGCATGACGTTTCTAAACATTTGCGACGCAGTGAAACCTCGGCGCGACCAGCAGGCCTACTCGCACTAACGTCTTGTCCATTTCGTATCAGCAGTTTACCTTTTTCTTTATTTTCTCCCTAGGCTTTCCTAGGGAACCAATCAGCGATCAAGAAATATTGCATGACGTTTGTAAACATTTGCGACGCAGTGAAACCTCGGCGCGACCACTGCGGCAAATGGGAACTGCCGTTTTGTTCGAATTGATACAGATGGTCCTATTTACATAAAATGGCCACGCCCCCGTTGCTACGAAATGACCAAGACGTTAGTGAGAGAACGTAAAAAATCAATTATGCAGGGGCGCTACAGAAAATTGCAACTATCGCTCTTGATCACTGACGCCTTGGGCCAAGACTAGTTACTGTCTAGCCAATGCCTGTAACCAGAGAGGCAAGTGGGGGTGAAGTGGCTTGCCCAAGGACACAACATCTAGCCAGCAGCTGGATTCGAACCCCTGACCCTCCAATCATGAGTCACGAACCCAAACTCTAGGCCACACTACCGCACATTTATTTACCATAAACCCTCAGGATCTTGACAGATGCCTCTCCCTTCGTGAGTGCTGTGGGACCTGTAGCTGATATACCACACTTATAACAAACATTATACAACACCTGAATAAATCCCTGTCATCTGATTGGTGGATCATTGATCACATGTTATTGAATTATTCGTCCCAACGCACGGCGCGCGCGCAGCGTACAGTGCAATGGAAGTTCCATTGCACGGTGTCATCGCTGCTGGCAGTGGCGCTGTTTTAAATCGAGATTACTTGAATATGATGGTTAATTAAATATGATGAACTTCCTTGTCAAACTTTCAAACACTTTTTAACCTGAATAAATTGGCTATTAAAAGTCCACCAATCAGATGACAAGGATTTATTCAGGTGTTATATAAAATAAATAATGAATGTTTGGTGACAGATGAAATGTTCCATTCCACTCGGCTTCGCCTCGTGGAATGGAACATTTCATCTGTCACCTCATGAAATTATTCTTACCATTGCTCTCACAAACATTCATTATTTGTATATTATTGCATATTATTTGCGTGTTAAAAAGATTCTGAGATAATCCACGTCTAAATATCTGCTTCGCGAAGAAATTAACTCTCTGTATTGAGTCAAAGAAAGTAGAAATCACTTAAACAGTGCAGTTGTGACTGAGTAAATTCCATGATGGTGTTTAACTAACATGAGTACATGAAGTAATTAGGACTTACTCAAGCAATTAAACAAGTAAGATAACTACATTTCTTTTCCAGAGCACAAGAGGACGTAAAGGTGACGAAGACATCACCCCTTACCTCTCCCCGAGAGCTCCTTCAGGACGTCCCAAGTCTGCCAAGCAAGAACGGCCTCGCTCGGTGGTGTCTGGTCATCGTCCATCCACGGCCCCATCTAAACACACTGGAGCTACCAAGAAAAAGGTACAGTCAATATTGCAGTAGTAGTTAACCCTTCTAGAAAAATTGATGGGCTTCTTAAATTTTTTCAATTTATAACTTTTAAAATCTTTAGTTGGAGTATCATGTATGTAATTGTTAGATCCGTGGGGAAGGATGCATATACTCGTTCTAGTTTATTATTTAAAGTATAAAAAGCAAAGTCTGTCAGCAATATGGCCCTTCAGGCCGGAGTTTATCTCCAGTTTCATAAGTGGCATGAAACGATTGAAAATATTAGAATTTCACCCTGGACAAATGCTGGATGGAATAGGTCATCATAGGTTATTGCCCAGCTACTCCTAGGTAGAGAGAGGCAAGTGGGGTAAAGTGGCTTGCCCAAGGACACAACATATGTGCCAGTAGCTGGATTCGAGCCCCTGACCCTCTAATCATAAGTCACGAACCTTAACCATTTGGCCTAACTCCCCCTTTGAAAGGTTCAACCTTAAATGAATGAGCAATCTTTTGTTTTTCAGAGTGCAATATACGTAGACCAAGACGGTTTTCCCGTTCACCGAGAGCAAGCTTGGGGAGGTTCCGATGACGGCATTGATGAAGTCGACTCTCACAATCTGCGGGAGGTAAGGAAAGAAGGAAGACTTACCACACATCATTATCTCTAAAAAGAAACCTTTCTAGGATTCCATTTTTAATGTAGACACAAATTGTTCATATCTGATCGCTAATGAGATTGATGCTAGTGACAGAAACTAAAACTTGAGTGACATCTAGGTATTGTGTGTTTGTTTTTTGGTTTTGTTTTTTGGTGGTGTGCTCTTAACCATGCCTCGCCGTCTGCCGGATATAAGTTGGCTGCTATATTTTGCCTTTTTAAAAAAGCGAAATTTTCGACAAAAATAATCCCTGGTTAAAGGAGTTGATTTGGAGTTGAACTGGGCAAAGGAGTGAATTTGTTTTTGGTTTGTTTGTTGTATTCTTTTTTTTGGGGGGGGGGTAAAAATGTATTAAAAAATAGCGTGTATTGTATCCAGTGCAAAAGAAAAAATCTTGCTCAGCCTACCACAACTTGTGTTCCCTGTTCACGAATATCTCTGTTCGTGCTGTCTTAGTATTGTTTTCCCTGCATTTGAAGTAACAGACAAAATAACAGAAGATCTAGAGAAATAACCAGATTTCAACAGTACTTTGCTTAGAATTTGAGTGTGTTCTCTCACAATTCAGACTGATTTCTTTGTTTTAATCCACTTGTAGCTGGACCCTGATGTCCTGAACAACATCACCCTCAACATGTCGCCCGAGGAGAAGCAGAACAACTCACCTTACAAGGTCGACCTGACCCCACGAGAACCCAGACCCCCTCCTCCCCGTAGCTCCCAGGGCAGTAAGAAGAGCCCCAGGGGCACATCAAGGACCGTGATTACGAGAGACGGACGGCGAGTCAGGCCAAAGTCTAACAAGGTATAGCTAGGGTAACATCAAAGCTATATAACGACAGAATTTAGAATACTCCATTCTCTTGCAAGAAATGCTACACATAGTCAATTCTAATAGTCCATTGCAAGTTCTTTAGTCTCGAATCATAAAGTATTCCTTTATCTTTGATAGGTTTATGATATGACTTGTGATTGACTAACTTAGGCCAAAAAAAAGAATAGTTCTGCTTCCGGTTACCCGACCGACCCTATTTTTAGGCTGCGACCCTAAAAATTTTATCAGCAATTCTAAAAAAAAAAAGAAAAAAAAAATATTGAATAAATAAAAATGAAATCTTGTTGTCTTTCTGTCTTCACAAAATACCTCTCAACAACCCTTTTGCATCAAAAAAATGCTTGTATTATTTGTTTTCTTACTTACATTCGCTTTTTTTTCACTCATCAAGCGATCAATTCACTTCAGGCTATGTTGCATGGTGAGGCATTCACCTCACAAATGTACGTGTACATCCACCGAGATGCGTAAATGTCAGGTGTAATATAGATATTCATATCCTCCTGATTCTTAGCCAGAGTGCTCTGTCCAATTTTGGTTGCTGTTTCTATGTCATGTATAATAATAATAATAATGATAATAATAACTAATTCTTGTATAGTGCCAAATCCGTCAAAATTGACGCTCAAGGCGCTTCACAGAAATACAAATAAACAAGTTTATTCATGTGTGCAGATTATTCAAGTCTGTGATTGGAATCGACATACACGCATATAAGGCCAAGGATGCAGGAATCGTTCCTTATCGTTGTTATTATACCACGCACTTCACGTAACCCTGAAACAGTATGCGGTAGTTAACGCTGGTGGTACGTGCAGTACGCGGTGGCACAGGCAGACCAAAGCTGGCCATCTACCAACTTGAGTTCAAGTCTATTTCAATACCTGCCTTCCAGCTTACTGCCAAAAAAAAAGAAACATGACGTGACGCAAAGATACACGTCAATGAAATATTGTTCAAAACAAAAGTACCAGCAGCTCTCTGAAATACAGCGCATGTAATTATGTCCAAATTATTGTCAACGAGTGTTAGCATTCACCGTGCATATTTGTTTTCACACGTACACTTTCTGAAAGAAAAGAATCTGGGAACTTGCTAAAGAATGCTTTGAAGTTTTGACAGTGAAGCAAAGTTCTTCGTTTTACTCCTTGTGCTGTTTTAGGGTTCACTTTCTTTGCATCGGAAGGAGCCGGCCTACCCGCATCCCGCCCAGCAACAGACCCTGTGTGATGTCACGATCCGTTACCGTGGCAGTAACCTGAAGCTGCAGTATGAGCGGCAGGACAAGCGAGATGAGATCATCATCAACCAGCAGCACTGCGGCGGGGAGAACCTCGTGGTGTTCCACGGACTCGTTGAACCTGGAAGTAAGTTTTGTTTTAATTCCTGTATTTCTTACATTTAACATTCGGATTTGGCCATAAGCCTCGGCCATTAGCATAATAAGCCTTTGCCATAAGCCTTGTCCATAGCGGTGGCTATAACCCGTGGCCATAAGCTGTGGCCATAAGCCTTGGCTATAAGCCATGCCCATAAACGGTTATGGCAGTGGCCATAAACTGTGCTCGCCTTTGGTTTGTATACATTTCTCACATTAAAGGAAATGGTCACCTTAAAAAAATGGTCTGTTGGTAATTTAAGTCTAGATTTGTACCTTGGGTAGACCGTTTTAGTATTTTGCACTTCATTTATTAACCCTATGCCTCCAGGGTATTTTGGCTAGAAACCCTGCCAAATGTAGCAACATGCATGGGCGGCTTGTGCGTTAAAGCGCTGGCCTCTCACCAAGGTGACCACGGTTTGAATCCTGGCCACGGATCGCATGTTAGTAGAGTTGTGCATTGGTTCTCTCCTGTGCCACGTGGGCTTTTCTCCGGGCCCTCCGGTTTTCCTCCCTCCAGAAAAATCAAACACTTTCGATCTCAGGCTGTGCTCCGTGGTCATATATGGGTCGATGTGGCCGGCAGCCATAGGCGCCTTTACGTGCCAGCGGCCCGACCACGTTGTAGCCGCGTCCTTCGCAATTCAGCATACCAGCTGCGATTAAGGATGATTAGCCTCCCAAATTATTATTATTATTTGTCTAAGTGACAAGCCTGCCCAGTGTAACAAGATCCATCAGGTCAAACGTCTCAATGCCAAACTGCCTCAGAGTCTGTGGTCCCCAAACGCAGCAGGATACAACTGAGACATTGTTGAATGGGATTAGCTCTCATTGAAGTCAAGTCACACACTCCTCAAATTAACTTTGACAAAGGCATTCCTTCGTCATTGTTTATCCCACCTCACTTGTAACTGGACTTGTGAAAGGAGTTGTGACGTTTGACCGGACCGACAACATCATAGAGATGCCCACTTAATAATTTGAAATTTCCTTTCTTTCCACTTCAAGCTGATCTCGTCTTCACATCTCGCCGTCATCGTGGTTACCCGTTCAGCTTGACGTTCTTCGTCAACTCCATCCAAGTCCTACGTCTCAGCGCCTGCTGTGAGTACAAGTATGGCCCGGGGGTCATGCTGGGAGGTCGCAAGGGACACTTCAAGTTTGGCAGGGTGGATGGTGGTTCACCTTGTTACAGGTACAGATCTCTTTGGTATTTGCAAGTTTTTGGGAGGTTGTATGGTTTTTAGCAAAAGAATAAAAGCAGGATATTGGGTTCTACACTCAAAAATTGGAGAGCTTTTATACTATAGGGTGAGTTAAAAATAAAATGTCCCTTCGGATAAGTTTTTGTCTCCCACAAAAATGAAAAGGTCACCAGTGTTTTCTCTTCAGCCAACATTGGATCTGGGTATCGACCACATTCAGTAAAAGTGTCACTGATATTCAGCAATGCATGAAAGGGATACAGGCCTTTCCAAAACACTACCAACACACTGTTCAGAATAGGCCTTTTGCTATGAACACAATGGCAACAATGGGCCCAGGACAATGAAGGAAATAAATGGAATAACAGAACAGGTCATCAATCAAATGGAATTACATTTATTGAACTTTTTTTTTTTTTTTTTTTCAATCTAGTTTTATTTCATAACTTCATAATGAAAACATATAAAGTACGTAACTTAATAGATAAACAAAACATAAAAGTAAATGACAAAGATAAGTAACAAAGAAAAATGAAAAGCAGAGAAGTTATAAGGAAGTTGTAAGAAGTCCAAGGACTTATGAAACACTCCCTTTTTAAACCCTCACCATGCCTAGATCGACAAAACCGATCCACATTGTGGGCAGGCATTGTTGAAGTTGAGTCCCCATGTCCTCACAGGTCATCCAGTCACTAGCCAAGGCACAAGCTATTCAAACTGACTGTGAAAAAAAGCAGTCCTGTGTTATTGATCATCCCCTGTTACTTGTGACTGGACTATTAACCAGTTTGCGTCGGAGGACGTGATAACACACACTGGCTGTTTTTATACATGGGCACGGCTGACAGGTTAAAACGTAAAGATTGCCTCGACTCGTCTCAGGGTGACATCTAAAGGTGCTAATTCCCTCGTGCCTTTTGTACACACACACAAAGTCCTTGATGTCTGTGGAGGCGGACCGTGTGTTGATTTTGAATTGGCCGTTGTGCACGGCCCATTGATTGAGCATTTACGCTCCAGTGAACACCTCAGAGTATTGAAACATAATGAGGTTTTGACAAGAAAGACTGTTGAAATGACTCTTGCGAATCAGTATTTGTGGCGTTTGGCTGTATATCAGAAGTTGGCTGGAAAATTTTGCCTTTTGCAAAACCCTGGCAGCAGGTTGGATTGGAACCAGGAGGCACACAAGAGGTGACAGCACCACTGGCCAAATGGGATATCAGAGACTTAATTGAAACACCTGTTTCTTGACTTGCAGGTGCATGGTTGAAGCTGAGCTGGCCCGCAGGGAGCGCCAGCGCTACAAAGACACCCAGACCGAGGAAGCCAAGCCGGAACCAGAACCAGAACCGGTCCTGGAGAGCCAGGGGACGCAGAGCGACCCGCCGCCCCCTGAGACCAGAGACCAGGCAGAGCAAGCAGAAGGTGAGAGGCAAGGGATGCAAGAAGGGGTGGGGGAGGGAGGGCGGGCTGGGAAAGGGCGTTGGAGCATCTGTAACCAGAACAGAGCCAAAGGTATCGGGAATGGAAGGCTGAAATCTAAGGGCAAACAGGGGTCTACTAAGGGCAGGAGTGAAGGCAACGATAAAGCCACGGGTCTTAGAAATGGACCTCTAGGGTCTGCTAGGGAGACATCCTTAGGCGCAAGGGGTGATAACCAAAGACATAGACCAGAGAAAAATGGAGGTGTAAGTAACTCTTTTATAGCTTCCAGGAAGGTGCTTGGAGGAAAGAAAGATCAGATTGAAAGTGAAAGTCAGGTCTCCGTTTCTGATAAGGAAGCACATAGTGGGAATAGTCAGGGCAATGCTCAAAGAGTCACAAATAGGAAAAGGTTGTCACAGGCAAATGGTGGTGGCTCCCAAAATTCTAATGGAAACAAGAGCACTAGGGAGCTATCTGCGGTCTCAAGTGATAACGGTTCAAGTAAAGATCATCTGGGTAAAAATGAAAAGGCTGCTTCTCAAAATTCGAAAAAAGACGAAGAAAGAGTAACTAAGAAAGAGGTAGGGAAAGTGGATGGTAGGAATGAGATGGACAGTGAGAGAAGTGAGGAAGGAAGTGTCGTGGAGGATTTATTAGGAAGGAGCGATGATGATGAATCGGACAATGCTGAGAAGCAGAGTGCGTTGTATGGCAGTGATACTAGTGTGAGTGAGGACCTGTCTTCGAGCTTCCATTATAGCTCCTAGAAGCTGAACTGTGAAACTCTTAAATGTGATAAATAAGCATATTAAATAAGCATATAGCTATATTAAATTACTAGAGCGCCAACTCGTCATTCTGCGCGCGGAGACGCTTTGAAGCCGTCCTGGGTGCAGACATTTTGAATTCATGCGCGTGTTTGTAGAACATAATGAAATTAGATGGATAAAATTTTGAAAGTGTACTCTACATGTACATGCAATGCGCAAGTAGAACATACGCAAACAACTTACGCGCGTCATTGACGGTTCAAAAAAACGTGACGGCAAAAAGCATCTGCAGCGAATACGCGCACGCGTTGCGCTGTTTGCGTAGAGCAAAATGACACGCTCATTTGCTGATCGTGCGTTTTGGTTTTGGGCGTATTGGCTTCGATAACGCACCGGTATGGAATACAAACGCAGATATGCAAATAGCCGTACAAATGCCGTACAAAATTTCTAGGTCTCCATGGGTTTGTGCACAAACATGAATGCGCCCAGTAGGCATTATTTTGTACACAAAGTTAGCGCTCTAGTAATTTATTATAGCTCTATGGAAATAAGCAAAGTTGACATGTATCTAGTCATCACAACTTATTACAAATAACGCTCAGGGCAGTTAAACAAGTCATCCATTCTCAAGTGACAAGCTAAAATAAATGCAACAAAGGCATCTGCTTGTCAGCTCTCTTAGCTACACAATGTAGGGCTGTGCATCAGAACCGGGTACCCGAGTACCCGACCGTTGATGTCATGAACCAGTTCCAGATTATGGAATCAAGTTCTCGTATCCAACTTTACGTAACTTCTCAGACAATGAAAAAGAAAGCTATTGAATGTCATTCGTGTGGAATTTTCAAAATGGAAAACAGGCCACATGGGAAAACAAAACAGATTCCACATTTATGACGGTCAGGAAAGTTGCAGTTTCACCGTAAAGCTATAAATATTACTGTACCCACTTGTATCTTGCTGCATTGATGTACCGATGTGGTAGTGTTATCGTGTGGACCTTAATAAACAATCTGAACAGCAACATCCGAGATCTGAATTTTGGGTTGAGTTTCTTTTAACAGGTACCCGGGTACCCATAATTCTTTTTTTCAGTCAGGTACCCGGTTCCCATACTACCGGTACTTGCAAATGCACACCCCTACTCTTAGCCCTGTCCACACGTTTCCATCTTTAATTATGACAAATTAGGGACCGTGACCATTCAGCCCTGGTATGAAAAGGGCCCCCCAGTACCTCATCCGGTCCAAAGCCAGTCCGGTCTTCAGCCCAGTCTCGTCCAGTACATGGTCCTGTCTGACCAGAAGTTTTGAAGTCAGTCAGGCACATCAATTTATTGCCCTTCAGAGAACGTCCAGAGCAGAACAATAGCAGAATTACCGGATTAAAGATAAAATCCTTCCAAACGCCTTGGTAATTTACGGGCCCATTGTGTGCGAAACTGCACGGCAGGGGGTTTGATCTGCGCCGATGAAAGTGTTCTATTGTTTCGTGCTGAGAGATGAAAACAGGTTTCGTGCTGAGAGATGAAAGCAGGTTTCTTCTGGGATATTTTACATGTGTCAATACTTGCAAACAATAGACCCCAGGATAGAGGAGTTCCTGATTAGCAACCAGACCAGCTCCTAGGCCGGTAGCTGGGACGGTACGAAAGGACTTCTTGGGAGGGGACGAGCGTACCGGGGGGCCCTTTTCATACCGGGGCTGAATGGTCACAGTCCCTTAAGTGTTGGGGTTTCACAGTTTTGGCTTTCATGTTTCTATAACAAGATGTCTGCAATTTAGCACTTCTCTTGCCGAGATTTAAAGATATAGTCCATCATTTGTAATTTGTGCATTTTGTTCGTTTGAAGCAACAAAAGTGTTCAAAATCTAATGAAGGATACTGAACAACTAACCTGATGAAGTTTCAGCTCAGCTTCAGCTGTATATTCCGAGAAAAACAGCATTCTAAGATCTCAATTTCAAAGCAAAAGTTGCTGAATCATGTTTTGAATTGGGCCTGAATTCAGCGTCCGAGACGCGTTCTCACTGAGCCGATTGCAGCTGTTGTGTTTAATAGGAAGGGGCGTAATCATACATGTCGCCACTACATTTTAAGTTAAATGGAATGGAGTTTGGCCGCCACCATGCATTTAAGTTTTTATCAGACTTGTGTTTTCTTAAAAGGAAGTGGTTGTGTTTAATAGGAAGGGGCGTAATCATACATGTCGCCACTACATTTTAAGTTAAATGGAATGGAGTTTGGCCGCCACCATGCATTTAAGTTTTTATCAGACTTGTGTTTTCTTAAAAGGAAGTGGTTTTCTGGCTAGAAAAATAGCAAGGAAGAACCGGTTTTGTGCAGGCAAAATTCAGGAAATAATCTGTTGATATTAATAACTTGTTGGAAAGTTCCAAGGTCATTCCAAGAAGGTTGCCGCCGTGAATTAGGGTTAAAACATGGGAGGGGATGGGATTTGCTATCAGCATCAGCAGGGCCGTTCCTCATTCTTTTCTTTTTATGGGATGTATGATAACATTGGAGTACGAGGGGCTCTGCGAGCTGATGAATCTTTTTTTGAAAACATTGTGTTTGCAACCAGCTAGGGAAGATTTTCGTTTATTTAAAACTTACAAGCACTGGTATGGATACCTGTGTAGTTATATGACTAAACTGCCTAGAGCGTATTTGTTAAGGTTTTTTTTTCCTTTTTTGGAAATTCAATACGCATATAGGGAGTAAGATCAGTTCCACTGCTGGGTTGCGGTAATGGGTGGGTTATAACTTGTCAACACATACCTCGCCAGCGGGCCCATTAGATTGGTGATAACCGGAGAGCGGGAGTTTCAAAAAAACTCATCCGGTGTATAGGCGACGCAGGGACTGGTTTGTGTACATGTGGTTTCTGTTTCTAGTTCACTTAATGTTTTGATTTATACCGGTGAACTGATCCGACGAATTATAGCATCCGCGCGCACGTGTGCGTCGTGCCAATGCTTGCGCGCGCTTGGCCGAATAACAAAACAAACTACTAATTTAAATTTTCCTTTGGAAAGGCCTTCTTTCGTTGATTACTTCAAAATGACAGCTTGCCTGAAAGAATAATTTCACAGGGAGTTTAGTCCCCTTACTATCTAAATTCAACCAAGTATGTTTTTCAACAATAATTACGCCAGTTACTTTTCGGATGGCTGCAAATGATGGACTATAGCTTTAAGAAGGACTTTATAACAGTATTGACAATTTCTTGCCATGTGGCAAAAAGAACACTCTAATTTGTTTAACTAAAATGTTTTGGAAAGCTATGTAACATATATTTATTATTTAAAATGTCCTATTAAAAATGGGAAATGTCTGTGACTGTGTGAGTGTTTAGGGGGTACTTTGCTACATGTAGTTACTTTTAAAAGGGTAAGCATGTCTAAAAAGGTTAACTACATGTATGTTATATTTATTTATTTGAAATCCTTAAATCAAAAGAGATATTTTGTCTGAATGGGGACAAATCATGTACATGTACCGGTATGGCTTTACGATAGAGGACAGACACACAAAGGGAGAACAAAAGATCCTCTCAGTCCTCGAGTGTTGGGTCTTTTGTTGAAAACGGTCCTCGATTGTAAGGTTATAGTGTATGGGAGAGTGTTATTACAAGGACAAAGGGAAACACAAAGCATTGTCCTTGGGCATATAGAAAACACGATTGAGTGTCTGTCTGTGTGTTTAATGGAGGGGGTAGGCCTATATTTTGCCAGTAGATATTTTCAAAAGGGCGCATATGACTGAAATGGTTTAGTTGGGTACCTACATCTTTCTTTCTGAAACAGTATTAGGAAGCACGTGTAAGATTTTATAGTGTTGAAGTGTCAGCCTAACTCTAAATTAATATTGGGTCAAACATAGAATTAGTCATGTTAGTGGAAGAAAAATGTGTTATCTCACAAAATGCACCAACAAAGACACGAAGCACTCACGAGATCAAAGTGGAATTAATATCACATGGATTATAAACTGCAATAGAAAATTTAAATGTTCTTTTGTACAAATGCACTTAAAAAAAACTTTTTAGTGCCGTCAAATCTTGTTCTCAATACTCGTGTAGACATTCTCAAAGTTTCCTCTTCTGGTACATGTAGCAATACTCTTCTTTAATAAACTGTACTTTCTGAAGTCCCGGTACATGTATTTTCTCAGTAGTTTCTCAGGTACAACTGTACTTTCTCAAGTAGAAGTAATAAATACACTACAGATCACCGAGATTTCTTGTCTTTTTCTTGAACGGCTCTTTCTGTCATCAAATAGAACATTGCATGGGGTCCTGCCCAAGTTTCCTTGATCTCACTTTTATCCCCTAACCTCTTCTTACCTTTAACCTTTACTCCTTCACGGTCACTTTGGTAGCAAAAAAAGCAGATGGTGTTGTTTCACGATCTCTTCTGTAGTCTCGGAAAGCACGGTAGAATTTAGCTTTTATGGTTTCTCTTTTGCTGTAAACACAACAGTGCATGTTCTTTTTTGGTTGCATGTTTTGTAGACTTGGGTGTCAACCTGTAGTTGCATGTACCCATTGTATGGCATGAGGAGTTGAAAGTGTGTAGAGAGAAAGATTATTGTGTGGAGCATTTGTGAACCAAGATGAATTGACTTTACAGATTTGGAGGCTTTAAGCAAGTAGAGGAAATTACGTATTTGGAGGCATTAACCCTAACCCTACCAGACGCAACACAGTGCATCAGGTGGAAAAGTCGGGTGCACTTTGATGCATTTTAGCTATCAACACCAGTGCATAAACGGCCAGTTCTGGAACAATGAGAGCTAGTCCCATTGAACAATGCCACAATTGTATCCTGTTGCATTCGGTGACCACAGACTCTGAGGCAGTTTGGCCTTTAGACTTTTGACCTGATGGATCTAACTACAGGTGACAAGTGTTGCATGTTGCTGCGTTTGGAAGGGTTTTTAGCCAATATCCCCTGGAGGGTTTGGGTTAAGCAAGTAGAGGAACCTTAATATAAGGTTTGGTTTCATGTGTTGTTACCCACGAACCCGTCAGGAACAACATCTAGGGAAATTTGTAAAATCTCCCCCCGAAAAATGGGGGAAGCTAGTGCACATGCGCTACTTCTGCAGACAATTACGGTCCATTTTCAGTCCCACGCACACTACACACCACAAAAGAGCTGACCAGTGAAGTTGCACAAAAGTCTTGCTGCATCTTTTATACTACTGGAAGAATTTTAATAAGAGTTTGGTTCGGAACTACAATGAAATGTTTTGAATGCGCACTGCATATATTCAGATATTAGGCCAAACAGGTGCGCACACATTACACAACCGATACGAATTTCCCTGGACGTTGTTCCTGACGGGTTCTTGGGTGATATTGGTTGGTCGTGATAACGCCCTCTCGCGGCGGCAGGTTATCGCGTATCAAACCATAACAACGTCTAGCCCCTAGACTAGACACAAGCTAGTCCAAGACACTCCCTTGTCAGTGTTTGTCGTTACTCATGACCAAACGTGAATTGACTTGTGATTGACTCAATTACAACTCTGACCACATGTGGTGCAATGTTCTCCAAAAAAAGTACCGGACAAAGGACTATACAACAGACACAGTGGGCAAGTGTATTACGTACACAAATGTGTTACTTGACTGACAGAAACAAATTGATATGGTTGAGAGTTTTGATCTGCGAGATATTTTTTTTGTTTATATACATACCACCTGCTAGCTGCATGATTGCATGACCAACCCTAATCCCTTTAATCCCTCTCCCTTAATACCAGCCGCTGATGCCGAGGCAGAAGCCTACGATGATGAGGATTTCGAAGACGAAGATGACAAACCAGTTTCAGACTCAGAAAAAGGTCAGTCACTTTTCTTGGTCAGTACAGAAATGAATGTCATAAGTATTTTGGTTTTACCCACACAGATTGATAGCCGAAGATGTATAAATGTCTTTGGATGTCATGCTTTCAGTTTAGGATTCCTTCAAATGATACCCAGGAGTTCGAAGAGAATTGTCAAAAGTCTTTATTTTTTGGTGATAAGACGACTCAACTGGATATGCAAACGAATTTTAACAATATAGCCCATGACTTGCGGACACATGGGTATCAGCTTTATAGACAGCATTGAGTAAAACCAAACCAAATTTTTATTTGCTAGCCTTACCTTTTTCAACCCAATTTGCCATTTTGTTTTTCCAACAGAGACTCCAAAGGCAGAAGACAAGCACTCGGATCATTTCTTCTCGGGTCCGGAATCAGACGCCGAGCAGAAGCAGCCTCAGGAGGCCGATTACGGAGAAGACTCAGACTTTGAGGCAGACTCCAACCACGAGAAACAGGATGAGGAGAAGGAATCTGACAAGGAGGTCCAGGAAGAAGCTGAAGAGATCCTTGAAGGAGAGGGGAAAGTTGATGATGCTCCGGCTGATATTCCTGAAGAGGAACCTATCAAAGATGAAGCAGATAGAGATGAAGACAAAGCAGAAGAGGTGCCGGAAGAGCAGGATGAAAGTCCATCAGTTCCTGAAGCCTCTCCTCAAAAAGATGACGACCATCAAAGCTCAAGACACGATGACAGTGATTCTAGCAGCGACAGTGAAGGACACAACAGAGTCCTATCTTCATCGTCAAGTTCATCAAGCTCCTCTGAAGATGAAGATGACAGAAAGGAGACAAGGAATGTCCAAACAGCTCATGCCTCGAGCTCTGAATTCTCTTCTGAAGATGAAGATAACGCAGAGAAGAAGCGAGAGGATAAGACGAAGGAAGACCCCAAGCCTGAAGAACCAACAAGAGATGATAAGATTGCTTCTGATACTGAGAAGAGAGATGACACCAAGGAAGTTGATGACCTTCGTGGTCAGGAGGAAGAACGCCCACTCTCTCCAAAAACTCTCCAAGAGGTCAAAGGAGAAGTGGACAACAAAGATGAGGACAAACCTGAGGAAGAAGATGAAGAAAAAGAAGACAAATCATTTTTCGGGAAATTGGCAGATAAAGTCAAAGGTGCATTTACATCTTCAGATTCAAGTTCCTCAGAATCTGGCTCGGATGATAGTAAAGAGAGGAAGAAAAAGAGAACAAAGCGAAAACCAAAGAGCCGCTCTTCATCAGATGAAGAGAAAAACAAGAAATCTGAGAGTGACAGCGACCCAGAGAAAAAGAAATCATTCCTTGAGAAACTGAAGGACAAATTCACCTCATCTGATTCTGACTCTGACTCAGACGAGGAGAAGAAAAAGAGGAAGAAGAAAGATAAAACAATATCCGAAAGCAGAGATGATGCAGATGAAGGGACATCCCAGAAAGACCCAGAGCCAAAAGAGACGACAGAACGGCAACCTCGGAATGTAGAAGATGCCAAGTCATCAAGAGATGATGAAGAGGAAAAGCAAAGTCAAGTTAATGAAGACAAGAAAGAACCTGAAATTTCACCTTCACATGATGATGAGATGGGAGAGGATACGACAAAGCAAGAGACCGCGCCTGAAGAGCCAATTCAAGATGACAAGATCACCTCTGATGCTGAGAAGAAGGATGAAACCAAGGAAAACCAGGAGAAACGACCGCAGTCTCCAAAAGCATCTGAGGAGGGTGTTCCAGAGACAGCTGGTGACGAGCAACAGGAAGACAATAACTCAGACAAAGACATTACCCCGAAAGAAGCAGAGGGAGACACAGACAAACCATCCTCCCAAGATCAGGAACATGATGAACAGAAGAAAGATGAGGTCAGAGGAGAAGTAGAAAACAAAGTTGAGGACAAACCTGCGGAAGAAGATGAAGAAAAAGAAGACAAATCATTTTTTGGGAAATTGGCAGATAAAGTCAAAGATGCATTTACATCTTCAGATTCAAGCTCCTCAGAATCTGGCTCGGATGATAGTAAAGAGAAGAAGAAGGAAAAGAGAAAGAAGCGAAAACCAAAGAGCAGATCTTCATCAGATGAAGAGAAAAACAAGAAAAGTGAAAGTGACAGTGACCCAGAGAAAAAGAAATCATTCTTTGAGAAATTGAAAGACAAATTCACCTCATCTGATTCTGACTCCGACTCGGACAAGGAGAAGAAAGACAAAACAAAATCTGAAAGCAGAGATGATGCAGATGAAGGAACATTTCAGAAAGACCCAGAGCCGGAAGAGACGAAAGAACTGCAACCTCTAAAAGAAGAACCTGCAGTGTCATCAAGAAATGATCAAGAGCAAAAGCAAAGTCAAGATAATGAAGACAAGAAAGAACCCCAGACTTCACCTGAAGAGGAAAAGAAGGAAGAAAAAGGATGGATTGAAAACCAGGAGAAGGGAATTAAAGGCTTCTTTGGATCATCTGATTCTGAAGGTGAAGACAAGCAGAAAAAGGAGGATGTGAATAAGTCAGATGAAGAGGGATCAACAAAAAAAGGTGAAGAGTCTGGAGACGAAGCAGCACCTAAAGAAATAAAGGAAGAAGGCATCACTAAGCAGCAAGAGAAGCCAAGTTCTTCAGAACCTGAAAAAGAGGAGAAAGATGAAATGCCTCCAGCCGACAAGGTGGAAGTCAAACATAATGACATGTTTGGACCACCGGACTCTGATTCTGAAGATGACAAATCGGAAATGCAGAAAGATGAGGTCATAAAAGCTGAGATTGATACAGAGACCGGAGCTGTTCCTGAGACCCAAGAAGAGAAACCAGAATCCTTAGAACCTCATGAGGATCCAGAGATGCAGTCTGAAAAAGAGGATGGCAAGGAGAAAGATGACTCTGCCTCCCTGGATAAAGACTCTGAACAGGTGGATAAAGGTGAGGATGCCTCCAAGATCGAAGACGATGTCTCACAAAACGCTGAAGATGAAGAACAGGTAGAAAAGACAGATGAAGCAGAGAAGATACCATCTGAAAAAGAGGATGGTGGGGAACAGAATAACTCTGCCCCTGTTGGTAAAGACTTGGCACAAGGAGATCATGGCGAGGAAGCCTCTCAGGTCAAAGACGATGTCTCGGAAAAAGCTGAAGATGATGAAATGGAGGACAAAAAAGATGACGCTGAGAAGCCCAATGAAGCTAAAGATGAGGATGACGGGAATAAAGAGACCGGGGAAAGAGGTAGCCTCAAGGAGGACAAACAGGATGAAGGAAGTTTGTCATCCCGGTCATCTGCCTCAGACTCTGGTTCCATCGCTGCTGGGCTTGACAAAGATTTCAGGGTAAGTTTACTCTGCATGAATCTGTCAGGTTCTCAAAGGAAACTGTTGTCATCTGTCATGTCTGTATACCAAATTTTACTGCCATTTTTTTTCTTTGATGCATGTACTGATATACATGTACCGAGTACAGGCGACTGTTGCTAATACAAATACAAATGCTGGCTTTAGCCAATATTAGGCCTTGGTCCCCTCTGTGCGTATTATGTGCACAATAAACATGATGAATGGGATTGGCATCGTTTCCACTAAATAACAAATTCTGAAATGAACTTTTTTTGCTAGGTCCAGCTGAGTTTGTATTAGTCAATGAAATTTAGAGGAAAAAATATATTTTAGCCTGAATTTTGTATTAAAAGATTGTGAGTTTATTTGTAAGTTGAGAATGGATTTTTAAGTTGAGAATGGATATAGGAAGAATGCAAATTGAACAAGAGTGAAATCAAGGTCGAAACCTGAGGTACCTCATAACCCCATAAAACCTGAAGAAAGCTTGAGATATCGCCAGTTTAATTTCGCATTCTCCCCTGAAGCATTCTAAAGCCTCGTATCTTTTTTTAAAGAATGAATTTGTTTAACATGAATCGCTTTGTCAATTTCATGATGGCAGGTCCTAAATCTCAACGCCAAAAGTCTTGACGAGAGTAAAGCAGCAAGACTGGTGAAGGCACTCAAGCATCGCAAGTACCGTAACCTGGAGTATCTGCTGTAAGTCTTCGAAAGTCTTAGATCTTGGATAATTCGAAATGTGAAACCCTTCTTGCTGTCAATCGAAAACCAAGGCTTCATTGCAACTGCATTGTTCTGAAATTTACAAGGACCATTTGTGACTGGCTCCACAAAAAAAGGGTATTACATGTATGTCGCAAAAAAATGAAATTGAGCTAACATGGTTGGCATGGTTGGAAAGCCCAAAACGTAAGCTTGCATTTGGTATATAATAGAGCTCCATAGTCCCTACCAATCTGGAGATATGATGTATTTGCATATGAATTACTTTTTTTGAGTTCAAATTACACAACTGAGAAAACAGGCTTTAACATAGCTGGCTTTGTTGTAGAACAACAGAATGATGCACACAAAATGGTTGTTTTCTCCACTTTGTTCATCAAAATCAACATTTCTGTGAATGAAACCTGAAACAGTAGGTATTAAAGATGTCGTTCATGATAAAAAATGAAAATCATATTTTGACAAAATGTTCACTCTCTCAATGTTGAGCGGGTCATTACACAATAATGCTCAGCGCAACTTAATACCCTTTTTTGTGGAGCCGGTCACATTTGTCCTTAACTCTATTTTATTTTCATTAACCTTTTCATACTCTCAGTTACCTGTTAGCTCCAGCTGAAAGAAAACATGACAAGATAAAGGCAACTTTTGAGAATAATTTGTTAATGCTAATTCAAAAACAAAACACCATGTTTAAACAAAGTGTATCCAAAATCTGCCTCTAATGCTTTCTGGTCTTGCAGCTTAAAGGTAGCTAGAGTAGGTCATTTGCAGCTACCCAAAAAGTAACTGCATGACCAAATTATTGTTGAAAAGCATACTTGGTTTTAAACTCCCTGTGAAATTATTCTTTCTGGCATGCTGTCATTTTGGAGAAAACAGTAAAAGAATGTCATTTCCAAAGATGTGTCTAAATGTAGACGCGTTTTTAAAAATTTCTGTGAGCAGTTCATTTTTAATTCAGCGAAGCTGAGAATGGGTGCGCGCAAGCGTTGACACGACACACACAAGCGCGCGGTTGCTATAATTCGTCGGTTCAGTGCGTGACATAGCGTAGCTGCAATCAGCTGAATGAGAACGTGTCCTGGACACTGAATTCCGGCGCAATTCAAAACATGACTCAACAACCGTGGGATTGAAATCGAGATTCATTATTGTTTTTCTCGGAATGTACTGCATTCACCGAGCTAAAATTTCATCAGGTTAGATGTTAAGCAACCTTCTTTAGATATTGAGCACTTTTGTTGCTTCAAAGAAAAAAATGCACCCAAATCTATCACAAATGATATACTCTATCGTTTAAGTTCAGGTCACCAGTTGTAATGGTAAAGACCTAGCGAGACCAATAATTTCAACCAGTCTATAAATCTGTGATTTTATGTCTTGAGATGAGTGGACTCAACTCCAAAGCTGATAGTCAAGTACATTTTACATGTACATGAATGAAATTACATCCAATAATAATTTCGCAATTATTCATCCCACCTGCAGGTTACGTGATAATCCCCTGACTGATTCAGGCATAGCCACCGTCATCCGATCGCTTATTGAGAACCACACCGCCACGACCAGCGCGGACAGCGCCCTCAAGCTGACGCATTTCGATCTGGGCAACACCGGCATGGGCGACGAGGCGGCCACCGAGCTTGCCAGGCTCCTGGCGCTAGACACGCCTCTCTGTAACCTCAACATCAGCGAGAACACGCTATCGGCGGCTGCGTGGGAGACTATCGTCCAGGGGTTAAAGGTCAACAAGTCCCTGGTGACCTTAAGCGCAGAGTACGCTCACCTGAGCGACACCAGCTGTGTGATGATGACAGACGCGGTGATGGACCACGAGAGACTCGAGGAGCTAAACATCGAGGGGAACAGTCTGGGGGAGAGGGCCGGTAAGGCCCTGGCTCAGCTGGTCAAAGATAACAGCGTCATCGTCACGATCAACTTGGAGAGGGATAATTCAATCCCGTTGAACATTCAGACGGAAGTAAAGGAGATATTGGAAACGGGATCATATGTGCCTTAGGTGAAATGATTAGTTTGAAGCATATTTAGGTGGGACAGAGGGACTTGATTTTCATTTTGGAGATGGGGTTGGACCGATGAGAAAATCCCTTTACTTTATATTTTAAAGGACAGGAGTGTACATGTACAGGGTGGTCCCAAAAAAAGTTCAAACATTTTCAAACGTTGATTTCTCAAGATTGGGTAGACATGTTGATACCTTTTAACATGTTTAAAGATATTCCTATTATACTACAAGATCTTGGTGGTACAAATGGTAAAAATGGTATTGCAAATAGAGTCTAAATTAAGAAATGGCGGCCATATACAGAAAAATAGTTTAAAAAACAGTTTACTCACATGCGTGTATGATCATTGTTGCATTTCTTTTGTGCATGCTGTTTAGACCATACCGGTATCTCATAATAACACACGTGTGGACAAACTGATTTCTGACCATTTTTTTCTGTGAATGGCTGCAATTTCTTAATTTAGCCTTTATTTTCAATGCCTTTTTCACCATAATAATAATAATAATAATCGGCATTTAAGAACGCCCATTTTAGTAAACTAAATCACGGTGCTTACAGTATTATTATTACCCCTGAACATTGGGCCAATTAAACATTCCAAATACCATCTCAGCTCCCTGGGGAGTATACAGCTCGATGCTGCCTGTTAGGCGCAAGCAAGCTTAATCAATCACATAACCATCTCTGCCCTCCCAGGTACCCATTTAACTCCTGGGTGGAGAGAAGCAATGAGTGACAAAGTGCCTTGCCCAAGGGCACACGCACCATGACCCCGCCAGGACTCGAACCCACAACCTGCAGCTTTACCCGCAGACCACGAATCAGTGCCCTTAACCACGAGGCCACAGCACTCCAAGATCTTGTAGTTCAGGAATATCATAGAACAATTTCAACACGCGTCTCCCCAATTTTGAGAAATCTGCGTATGAAAAAGTGTAAACTTTTTGGGGGGCCACCCTGTATGTGCCTTTAAGGGGATGAGTCCAGTGTAGTATATGGCAAGGGGAGTAAGAGGAATATATTTTTAATTATGGCGATGGGGTTGAACTGATGTAGAGATGGCAAATTTTATTATTTTACTTTGTGTTGAGGAATAACAGTGATCCGGCTTTTCATCATTGTTTTAAGTAAAAATATACAAAAATTGTGTGTGAAGAAATTTTAAAGTTGTATTTCTCATAATGCTCATATCTACCAGTAATCCTTGGCTTCTTGTGTTTTTTTAATAGTATTACTGTGCAGAAGTGCCTTAAATTGTAGTCTTATTGTAGTAAAATTGTCAGTACTTTAAAGGACTTGCTTTGTCATGATGGGAACAATTATGTCACGTGTACAAAATCCAAATTCAAATGGCGTGACAATTATTCCAGTTAGTGCCTGTATAATTGTAACCATATCAATGCATGTAAATTCTACAAATTCCGTCCAGTATATTAACATGATTACATGTCATGTACATTGTATTAAAAATCAGATTGTGAATGCACCAAAGTACGAAATTGGTGTATGTACTTAACTTTACTATCTGAAATGCAGAAAATCTAGCAGGCCTTAGCCTTGGTCAAGGCGTTCACCGGTATGCTCGATGATCGATGGTTGACAGTAACATACACGTACACGGCAGCCGCGCGCTATGCACTTGCACATACGTACTGTATGAAGCGCGAACACCGACCTCACGCGGCTAGGTTTCAATATGCAAATCAGGTGGTGCTGCATGGTTCACTCAGCCCCAACTGATTTGCATAGTGTGGCCTAGCCGCGAGAGGTCGCTGTTCGCGCTTCGTACAGTACATATGACGCCAGTGCACTGATCATTGGACTCTATCGTCGAATGCCTTTAAGGCTAACTGGTATACCAAGGCTAAATAGTATATTAAATATTCACTGAGCCAGCTTAGTATTTCAAACTTTCATAAAAGTGTTTCAAAATGCACCAGGAGTTTCTTTAAAATATTGTTGAACATGAAATAGTTTCCACTTTTATCTGCAACTTAGCCTTTTTTTCCTCACTTTGTTCCATTGTTCCGTTTTTGTGTTTAATTTCAAGATTTTATTGTGTTTAATTCGTTATTTACAAATTGAGGCTGAATATTAGTGTGTGTATACTGGGTGTTAGTGCAACTGCCACCATCATAAAAACAATTCTGTTTTCTTTTTTTAATAAATTATTTTGTTGAATTTGTCTGAAACTGTAGGTAGTGAAAATTGAATGTTAAATTAATTGTGTAAAGAGCTGATTTTAAAGTGATTAACCTTTATGCAGAATCATTATGGAAATACTTATTTTTGGTAGGTCAACTTTTTTTTTTGCTGCTTTAGGTTTAGAAGAGGTTGCCTTTAAGATAAAAGCCTGTTATACTTCTGCCTTTAATGTTAACTTCAATTTTCAAGGATTAACTACATGTACAATGTACATATATTATTTTTGAAAAGTACGTATAATGAGAGTAAAAGGCTGTAATATGGGAAATAATAGAACTACATTTACGTCGATGGAAAACAATAATTATGTACATTTTAAGGACAAGTTGCTTGCTGGAACATTAAAGTAGTGCTTAATGTAAATTTGGAATTTGTTTTTCAGTGAATTTTAATTGCATGTGACTTTAAGTCTGACGCCGCTGTTAATATTAACCAATCAAAACTAGTCTTATAAACAACTAGGTTTCAGTATTAGTGTCATGTCGCATCATTTGATTGGACCTCATTAGCTTTAAGATGTTTGCACATCTTTCACATTGCAGTATTGCTTCAAGCAGCGCCTTTCATTAATAACGTTTAAAGTTAAGAATGTAGTTGTATGAATTCAAATAAAGCAAAGAGTAAAATCAAGTTCACGAAGCAAATGGTTTATTTTTTCTATGTGTGCCTTTTCCAATTTTATTTTTTTCTGTTTTGCTGATCTGCTGACAACGGTGTGAACATAAACACTAATATGCAGATAAGCATACATTTGTACATATACAGTCGACTCTCGTTTTAGTACAAACAATGTTAATACCAATTCTGCTTATAACAAACAATAAAGCCTTGGTCCCAACTGTGCTATGTGCACAATGAATGGGGCGGGCACTCCACTTAAGGCCAAAAAAAAAAAAAAATCGGTCTCTGGTCAGACCAAAGTTCCGGAATTGACGCGGGGACGCGGCTTTTTTTTTTTTTTTTTTTTTTCTTCAAGCTTGGATTGTACAGACAAGGTGGGGTACTATTTTGCTATTTGGTGTCCTCATGTACATTGGTGTCCTCCATAATTTGCCTTGGTGCTCTCGATCATTTGCCTTGGTGCAATTTCCCATTCCTTGGTGCTCTTTGGTAAAAAAAATTGAGGTGCGGCAATAGAGGGCGCTGTTGGAGCTACCGCGGAACATTTTGGAGAAAAAAAAAGATTGACGCGCATGATTAAAATCGACGCGCGCGCTGACCAGAGACCGACTTATTTTTGGGGGGGGCCTAATACCAATTTCTGATATTACAAATTATTCGGCCAGGCCGGTTAAGTCTGTGTTTACGAGAGTCAAATGTACATGTATATATGCCAAGGTTGTATCAATTCAAGCAGAATACATGTACAGTAAATATATTTCAATAATCAAGAGTTCAATATAAGGGTTTGCCCTTGACGGATGTATAAACACTGTATGGTATACTCTGTGAATTTACACCATGCCTGATGCAAATTCCAATACATATAGTTTTATTGCGGTACCCGTTGCTACATGTACATCAGATTTGAACCAGCCAACTGATCGCACCAGCCAACCGATCCCGCAAGCTCGGTGGTCAAGTGGTAAGACGTCTGCACTAGAAAGCAGGAAGTCAGGAGTTTGAGTCCCACCCGAGTGATTTTTTTTCTTACTTTCACTGGGGGTGTGGGGGGGGGGGGGGGGGTAACACTGAGTATGCAGTGTTTATAGGTCGGCCAAGGGCAAAAGCTTATATTGAATTTACATCACCTGAATAATCATCTTGTGAATAATAATCAAGAGGTTGAATTTCAAAAGAAACTCATCCAAGATGACCAGATTTCACCCCCCCCCCATGCAGTATTATAAATCCAATAAATTCCCATAATTTAGTCCAAGACCTCCATAGGAAGTTATCCAATGGAAGGCAAACTGATCACTGAATAAATTTAACCTTGGTTTGCATTCAAAGGCCGTTTTCCAAACCCCGGCTTCGTCTCCATTCTGGCTTAAGGCATGAAGTTCGACAATGGAGTTGGAGCCAGAACCGGAGTTTGGAAAACAGCCATAAAATGCTGGCAAAGAGGAACTTGCAAACGTGGAATTTCAGCTTGTGACTTGTCAGCTCTTTCGTACTTAAAGGGAATGTACAACTTTGCTTTTGCTGGAATTTTCAGAAACAAATGGATTTGGAGGATTAGTGTGTTAGAGCAAATATTGTTAAACTGACTTGTTTCACGTTTTGGGCTTGTAGATGCTGGAAAAACCAAGAAAACCTATCATGTTCTTGTAGTCTGGTTCCCTGACCCCACTTAAGATGAAACAGAGCAATTAATTCACTTTGGGGAATTGTAAGGTCAGAGAATCAGTCTAGCAGGCTTGTACCCCTTCATAGGTGTGTAATCAATTGCAAAGAAAAGTCCGAATCACTAAATATGAAAAAGTAGGAACAGTTGTTGGAAAAAAGCCAGTTTTCTCCAACGCTGGTCGGCCGAATACAGTTTTTCTTCAAAATGTCAGCACACCAGGAGCCACGATTTTAAAGGATGCTTTAGAATGTCAGTTCCTAACAATTCAGTAAGGTATTTCGTGATAATTTGATCATTTTGTTTTTTGATGTTTGCAAATGTTGTATCTTCCCTTTAACACAAAACTTTGCCGTTAGTGATAAGATATTCAGCTCCGCAGCTCAAAAAAATTTCATCTTGATGTCACTACTCTGACTTGTTCACCAGCTTACTGGGATCCCCTACTTTCGTTGATGCACATTGTGTTTGGCCAGGGGTTGATAAATTTCTTGAAAACCTCTTGTGACTTCAACGAGCTTGTAGATGATTTTTGTTTTCAGTTCTTTGTTTTTTGGGTGATCCATGTCGAGGCCAAATTAATGTTATCTCCGTACTTCACATGTGATGCACTCTTGTGAGTCTCCTAGCTCTACGACGCCATTGGCTCCTCAGTATCACGTGACTTGGAGTTCATGAGTTCCCTTCTTACCTCGGGCGTGATGCCCATGTGTGAGTGAGCCCTCAAGAGGTCAAGCAGTGCTTCTTTCTGCTCTTTCGCGAGGTCCTCCTTATACCGTTGGGCAAACGTGAGTAGGCTCTGGTGCCACAGGACCGGCAACTCTCGTTTGTCGAGCTGAAATCTACAATGCAGAAGATAGATAACAGAAATGTAGTCAAGTCTACAAGTCAATCACACACAAAAGTCCCCCCCCTAAAAAAAAAAAAAGTCAAAAAAGTTAACAATTAACAAAAAAAGTTTTTTAAATAGAAGGTCGAGTTGAGTCGACTCGGGTCACAGTGTGTGGTTGAGTCAAATCGAGTCGAGTCGAGTCAGATTTATGCTCGAGTCAGTTCTAGTCACTGATATTTGAACACCTTCGTTACAGAATGGAAGAATATACACAAGGCACCAGTTTATTATGAAGACTTAAAAGATGCTGCACGGTATCCAATAGACAAGAAGAGAAACTTCAGTTTCATCGCTGGTTTGGAACCAAATTCCAACATACGAAACCGTTTCTGATTTAGAACTAAAGTATATCTAACTAATGTTTGAAAGCAGGAGATAAATTTATCAGGAGTTCCATCAAGGGCTTAAGAAATCACCCGAAGACGACGAAGAAACCAAGAATCGGGAAATGTGTTCAATGTCTGCTTCTGGGATAGTAGTTTGTGAACTACATGTACATGTACATTATAAAAACCACGAAGTTGGAGTCTGTGATTTGTGGTACATTGGTACGCGATAACCGGCCACAACTTGACGGTAACAGGACGTGCGCAAGCATAAATAACTTTGTACCATAAGTCATCGCAAATATATTTTCCCACAGTTTTGGGATTTGAGTGTTATAAGCCTTCGACTCGAGTCGAGTCTTCTGATGAGGGACTCGAGTCAAGTCAAATCAGTTACTCGCAGTGACTCGAGTCAAGTAGAGTCAATTACCCATTGGCATTGTGCCTCGATTCAGACTCGAGTCGAGTCATTGACCCTAGTCATTATAACTTTGGTGTTCAGCCCATGTTACTTCTGATCAGGCTTGTGCTTTACTTGAGTCGGCAATTCATTTGAATGTCCCTTCCAGTGGTCTCCCTAACCATCGCTCTTTGTAACCACTGATAGGGGTACTTGTGCACGGCGTCTACATAAAATGACCAATTACCTGATGAAGTGATAGACGACTGCATCGATGACCCTGTAAGGCAGAGCGTATTTCTTGTCCAGGAGGGTTCTGAGGAAGATGCTGTTGGCTCCGTTGTAGTCCATCTCGGCAATCTTGAGGAGCGCGGCGCTGGAGTGGAGGACAGGGATGGTGGTCTTGGATAGGATGCTGCCGACGATGACGGCTTCTCGCAAGGTGCAGGTTCCACTCTAACACACAAATGAATTATTTGTTTTACAAATGCTGCACGATTCACCACGGTAAAGTTAATAATCTAAAATTGCCGACATTAAAAAAAAACAGGTAACACGGGCGATTCCTTATACAGTGCACCACCAAGAGGTTGCCATGGAGAGTCCTGTTTTTCGCAGTGCATTGTGGGAAACGGTAAAAAAATTCGCCAGCACGGAACACTTAAAATTGTTAGTTTTCCGGTCAGTAAGCGTTTGATTCGAGTTTTTTTTTTTTTATTTGCGTTTCTTGTTATCGAGATGGTGTTTTTTTGTGAGGCGGCAGAATGCTATGCCTCGATCTATCAGACATTTCCTCAAGTTCTCTGCTAATATTCGTTCAAATCGCGGTGAGTCGGCCATGTTTTTGTTGACCGTAAACTTGAAAAATGGACTCTCCAGGGCAGTCTTTTGGTGGCGCACTGTATTGGGAATCACCCGCATTCCAGCAATGTGTAAAGTTTGTGACAAAGCTGTTTGTGAATAAATCTGAAAATGTATTTTGCAAATCTTATACATCTAGTAAGGGAAGGAGATTGCAGACTAGGAGTTTCGGATCATTTCTCTGCATCATTAATTAGATATCAAGGTTAATTGTCTCTGTCACGGACATAACACTTCCTTTCATATCTCTGGAATTGCGTTATGAAAATAAAAACAACTGAACAAAAACAGAATTACCAAAAGAATGTAAAAATTAGCAAATATTACTTGCCTTTTGTCTAATGACAATAAAATATAGTATTCGTCAGATGGACTTTGCGTCGGGGTGATGTAAATTCAATATTAGACGACGTATAAACACTGTACACTTCGGTGTGTTGTCACCCCGTAAGTGCAAGTGAGAAAAATCACTCAGGTGGGACTCGAACCCACGACCTAGCAAACTGATCTGAACCAGCCAACCAACGCCTACCCTCTCGTCGCCCCTTCTCCCGTCATGCCGCAGCCCTCTGCAACTCCAACTTCACTTTGCGTAGTGCGTGGGAGGCTGACTGGGAGCAGACTGCCCGACCTGATCAATTTACTGTGACCCCCGACACCACAGCCCCACCCGGCTCAGACCTTCCTCGAAAGGAATGGGTCACCCTGAACCGCTTGCGTACAGGAGTCGGCCGGTTCAATGCCAGCATGTTTCGTTGGGGCCTACGCCCATCAGCAGCCTGCGTGTGTGGAGCACCACAGCAGACAGCACAGCACATCATCAACGAATGCGGTGCACTTGGCCCCCCAGCTGACACGGTTGACCTCGCCATTGTCAGCGAACAAACAAGAACATGGCTTAGACAACTGGATGGAATTGCTTGACTTTCTGCTGCCTCAAACGAAAGAAGAAGAACCAGCCAACCGATCCTGCAAGCTCGGTGGTCCAGTGGAAATGACATCTGCACTAGAAAGCAGGAGGCTGTGGGTTCGAGTCCCACCCGAGTGACATGTTTTCACTTTCACTCTGCTGGTAACACAGTGAGTATACAGTGTTTATACGCCGGTGAAGGGCAAAACCTAATATTGAATAAAATAAAAGGAATTGAAATTCATTTGTGTAAAAAAAAAAGACAAAATGAAGAATTACCTCACACAAGGGCAAAAGAATTCCTTTGAAGAACGCAGCCGGCTTAAACAGAGCCTTCTTCAAAGCCTGAAAATTAGATCAAAATCAAAAACAAAAAACATGTTTCTTGTTGTGTACTTGGAGTAACTGTACAACTCAAAAATTGACACAGAGACCTTAATAACTTTGAGAAAGGGCCAAAAGTGGCCAAACATGTTGTCACTCAAAACTATCACTTGAACAAGAGAGAAAGTACTGGAACTTTCCATACAGACGTGCGCGCACGCATGTGCATTGACAAGTACATTAATAGTCTACTAGTCTTAATTCAAGTCCATACACAACACTTCGTACTGACCCTTCTGCTATTTAAACAGTCACAGACAGTCAAAATTCACTTCCACTTCCCCTGCTATACTTTTAACAAAGGCTAGTCGCCAGCAGTCAGGCAAGCACTGTGACTAGTCAAACTGGGTCAACAGACAAAGCAGGCAAGTTGTGGTCATAGCTGTTTTATCACTCACCCGGTGTCAAAGCATAGCTGTATCAAGCTACTTAAACAGGCCCAGACAGTCAATCCTGCTTTATGTAGGCTGGGAATAATTTATTGAAAACAGTCACTTGATTGAAAGGACTGCTTGGCACAGAATGTATGTTTGCATAGGAGGGTTAATGTAAAAAAATATATTAATAATGAACAAGGCTACACTGGGAAAGATGTAGTTTCCCGACGCCACTTCAGCAGTAGTGTACAAAGTCTATGGAGAGTCAAGAACATTTTGTTAAGTATTTCCTAACAAAATTGGAAATGTTTCTCAGTCCCAGATTCATGTCTTTTCAGCATTTTTGCAATAACTGACCTCTATTGAGATGACATATGAAGGATAAAGTGGCGTCAGGTTGCAACATTCTTTCCCTACATTCTTAAGATGTTACCATACCATGTATAAGTGGAAGTTGAGCCGTTTGAATTCCGCGATGTCGTCCCTGACTCTTGGGTACAGAATTAAGTGGAAAAATCTGTCAAAGCAAGAAAAACAACACCTCTGAATTAAAGTTTAATATCAGCTGAACCATTTCATATTCAAAAAGATAAATTAAACGATGTAAATGAAGTCTTCGTTCTGCAATAAACTAGAAAATCGGAGGCAAGATGCTGTTACCTCTGAGCCATTTTGGCGTTCAAGTTGCTGGTGAATATTCTTGTCGCTTGGTACATCGCGGCAGCGGTCCATTTGTCAGGCTCTGTTATGTACAAAATCTGAAGAAGAAAAAACATCCCAAACAAAATCCTGAAATAGTTTTATGAGATCAAATTGAGTTTACTGCATACCTGTGCAATTTTTCAAATCTTATTTTATGCATTTTTTGGAACTACATTGTACATACTAAGTTGCATGTAGCCAGAATCTTAGTTACATCCTCACAAGTCAATCACAAGTCAATCATAAGTCATCCAGTCTCAAGTCAATCACAAGCTATTCAAAGGCATCACCTTGTCGTTGTTCATCACCTGTTACTAATAATTTCTGATTTGGCTTGCAATTGACTTATGATTGACTTGTGATTGACTTGTGATTGACTAATGATTGACTTCTGATCGTCTTGTAATTTGACTTCTATCTGATGGACTTGTAATTTGATGGACTTGTGATTTGACTTGAGATTGATAATGATTGACTTGTGATTGACACAAGATTTGACTTGTGATTGACTTGTGATTGACTAATGATTGACTTCTGATCGTCTTGTAATTTGACTTCTATCTGATGGACTTGTAATTTGATGGACTTGTGATTTGACTTGAGATTGATAATGATTGACTTGTGATTGACACAAGATTTGACTTGTGATTGACTTGTGATTGACTAATGATTGACTTCTGATCGTCTTGTAATTTGACTTCTATCTGATGGACTTGTAATTTGACTTGTAATTTGATGGACTTGTGATTTGACTTGAGATTGATCATGATTGACTTGTGATTGACATATGATTTGACTTGTGATTTGACTTGTGATTGACTTGTGATTTGACTTCTGATTGATAATGATTGATAATGATTGATTTATGATTGACATATGACTGACTTGTGATTGGACTTGTGACTTGACTTCTGATCTGACTTCTGATGGATTTGTGTTTAGACTTGTCATCGGCTTATGATTTGACTTGTGATGGATGCATGAATTAATTTGTGACTGACTTGTGAATCGACTTGTAATTTGACTCAATGATCATTGTTCACAGGTACTATCACTACTTACACCGGTACTTTCACTACTTACAGCGGGTGAACAATAACAAAGGCATGTCGTTGTTACACTTCATGAATGAATAGCTTGCGGCTTACATTCAGACTAAGGTACTTTTGATCTACTTGTGATTACTTGTGAAGCAATTGTTAGTATTTTCAATTGTAAGTACTTGTGAAGTACATGTACTTGTGAAGTACTCGACTACAAGCACAACACAGTGCCCATGAACTGTGCTTATGATTGACTTGTGATTTGACTTGTGATGGATCTGTGTTTAGACTTGTGATTTGCTTGTGAATTGACTTGTGACTGGCTTGCGATTGGACTTGTGACTGGCTTGCGATTTGACTTGTGACTGGCCTTTGATTTGACTTGTGACTGGCTTGTGATTTACTTGTGACTGGCTTGTAATCTGACTTTTGACTGGCTTGTGACTGACTTGTAATCTGACTTGTGACTAGCTTGTGACTGACTTGTAATCTGACTTGTGACTAGCTTGTGACTGACTTGTAATTTGACATGTGACTGGCTTGTGACTTGTGACTGGCTTGTAATTTGACTTGTGATTTACTTGTGACTGGCTTGTAATTTGACTTGTGAGAGACTTGAATACAAACTGTTCAAGTACATGTAACTTCCCTTTACCTGTTCCCAAAGCCGGAGTGATGGTAATATCTTGAATGCTTTGGGTAGCTTGCCGCTCCGATACCTTGACAGAATCTGACCCACACCCTTATACACCTGCGTGACCCTCTCATCCAATTCCGGTAGAATTTGACCGCTCTCTGTCAACGATTAAAAAGTCATATGTGATCATTGTAATGATTTATTGTTCAAGTTTTGAAACAAAATGTTCACATTCCAAACATACATGTACTCTTCCGAAACTATGACGCAAAAAGGAGCGACAACATTTTGTCGCGTCAGTGCAACAAGGTTGTATCTCCTAAAATGGTATGAACGACGCAAAATGTGAGTTTTAGAATGTCAAAAGGTCGTATCTTGCTTAAAATAACCCGGATGTACACGCAAAGTCAATGGATGTCGAGATACGACCTTGTTGCATGGAGCGTATTCGCGAGAGATACGACTTTGTTGCAGAATGGAGTTATGAACGCAAAACGCGAGTTTAAGAATGTCAAAAGGTCGTATCTTGCTTAAAATAACCCGGATGTACATGCAAAGTCAATGGACGTCGAGATACGACCTTGTTGCACGGAGCGTATTCGCGCGAGATACGACTTTGTTGCAGAATGGAGTTACGACCTTGTTGCACTGACGCGACGATTTGTGACTTTTCAAGCATGGAATTCGGTTTAACATGTACTTGTTCCCAGCCATTCTCATTTCCAAAGAATTTTATTTTAATGACTAAAGAAAAGCAGGAAAACAATCGTCCAATTGCACCGAGCTTTGGAACTGTGTCATCATGTAGAAGTTTAAAATGTTGAAGAAATCTTGCAGTTATGAAGAAGAGAGCTAAACGAATAATCGGCAACAGGAGATGGTCACGATCAATACCTGGCAATTTTAAGTCTCAATTTCTGGAACATATGCCACAATATTTCTGACGGTTCTTTTTGACAAATGCAATAAGAATTTTGTGAAGATGTTACTCACAAATTAGTGACGTTTCACTGCTAAGCTAGCACCTTCTCCGGAACTTCTGAAGAAGGTGCTAGATCAGCAGTGAAACGTCACTAATTTGTGCGTGACATCTTCACAAAATTCTTATTGGATTTGACAAAAAGAACCGTCAGAAATATTCTGACAAACAATCAAAGACATATGACAAAGTTATTCTCTACCGGTAGAACACTTGATGAATCTGACAAAATCAAACCGAGCACAAAAGGCCATTCTACTCTTATCTGACTGAACCAACAACTGCTCTAAAGCCGTTATGAAATGATGCAGATTTTGGTTCAACAAACTCACCAGTCATCTGGGAAGCGACTTCTGTCTGTTTCTCGGTGAGTTTTTCCATGATGATGTCAGCGAGGGTCCGTCTAGCAGGTGCATTATGGGCCATGAATCTCTCCAAGGCCCGCTCATCGTCTTCGTTAACATCCTAACGAACAAATCAAACACCCTTGGCAAAGTTGATATTGAAATCGGGACAACAAGATCTTTCTTCTCCCTTTTTTCATGACAAGTGCGATTTATTAACCCTCCCTCCCAGATTCGTCAAACTCTGGTTTTGGACTCTACCAGAAATTTGTAAGATAAAGAGTGATTAAAGTTGGCCAAGTTATGTTTTGCATGTTTTTTAGAACTCAAGGTCCCAGTCTGGTACAAGCGTAACTACTTCTTGGCTCTTGATTACTTTGTCAAAGGTTTTTGTTAAGGAGAGCCTCATCAGAGAGTTGTGCTATCAGTTTGTCTTTGATGAACTGCATGCTTTCAAAACTGTATCAGATCCGTTTCGATAAAGAATCATGTGTTCTTCGAAGGCACGTTGGCTGGTCTTCAAAATCGCTGTGACAGACTTGAATCGATGCACGGGAAACTGGAATGGTTACTTCTGAGAATCTATTCCGCAAAAATTGTGGAAATCGCAATTTTGGGATCGATTCTAATACAGGGTTCGTGACTCATAACCAGACGGTCAGGGGTTCGAATACAGCTGCTGCAACATGCTGTGTCCTTGGGCAAGCAACTTCACCTCCACTTGCCTTTCTCCACCCAGGAGTACAAATGAGTACCAGCAATAGCTGGGGAGTAACCTGCGATGGACTAGCATCCCATCCAGGGGGAAATAGAAATATTCTCAGTCGTTTCATGCTACTGAAACTGGAGATAAACGCAGGCCTGATGGGCCACATTGGCTCGTGACAGACTTTACTTACTTTTATTTCGATTCTATCATGGAATCAACCAAAGCCTAGTACTTACAATGTTATAATCATATTTGTCTTCTTGTTCGGCCACGTCATCTTCATCATCCGACTCCTCTGCTCTCGTCGGACCCAGACTTGTGGTGGGTCTTTTCTCACTCCTTCAAAAAAGAAAGTAATTTTCAAAAGATACTTTTTTAGTGAAATGCTGGCTGAGAGAAAAATAATTTAACCCCATGCGCACGAGAAGCGGTCATGGCCGCGGCCGCTAATCCTCATTGGAATGCAGTTGCCAGCTGTGGTATGCCGTGGCACACGGCTAGTGGGTAGTTCCACAGCTGCTGCTTTTGTGCAGTCCCGCTACCACACAAAGGCCACTTGCTCTATGTGTGGAGGAATGTCCCCATTACACCCCGTCCTTAAGGGGTTAAAAACAAATTGCAATATTTCCATTTTGTATTTATTTATTTTTGTTTTCGGTTTGCATTCCCACTTTCAAATTCTGAAAGTGTTTTTTTTTCCTCCAATAAAGTGTCAGTTTCTAACCAAATCCACATGTGCACAGTCCCGTTAACTTGCACGCAAACAGCGAAACAATTTTGATTTTGCACACAACATACATGTATGTAGCTTAATGTTGTGCATTGGATTGGAATGAGAAGGCCAAACCGGCCGAAAGCATTATAGATGAAACCAAATTTGAACCGAAACCAATCTGACCTCTTCAACCCCAGGCTCTGTGTGAAGGCAACATGGCGGCCGACGGCCGTGCTGCTAAGAAAATACATTGTCATATTGAAATTAAAAACAACATTTGCAAACATCAAAAAACCAAATGATCAAATTATCACGAAATATCTTTCTGGATTGTTAGGGAATGACAGTCTAAAGCATCCTGTAAAGTTGTGGCATCTGGTGTGCTGATATTTTCAAGAAAAACTGTAAAGTGCTCCTAATTTTTCATATTCAGTTTGTCCGCATTTTCTTTGCAATTGATTACACACCTGTGAAGACTACAAGCCTGCTAGACTGATTCTCCGATCTAACAATTCCCCAAAGTCTGTAAATTGCTCCGTTTTATATTAAGTGGGGTCAGGGAACCAGACTACAAGAACATGATTGGTTATCTTGGTTTTTCCAGCATCTACGAACCCAAAAAGTGAAACAAGTTAGTGTTACAATATTGCTACGATATACTAATCCTCCAAATCCATTTATTTCTGAAAATTGCAGCAAAAGCAAATGTTGTACATTTCCTTTAAAGCTAAAACAGATCAAAATTCGCTTTTCATCTATACCGGAACATTACAGTTCCATGCTTATTTTGTATATCAAAAATGTGTTTTGTAGGTGCTGACATGTGTTGATGGTACTAGTACTAGTAGCGTGTGTGTGTGTGTGAGTATGTAAACATCGGCAATCGTGGACGTAGGACAAAAGAATTGGGGCGCAAACAATACGTCCACGATTGACCGAACGTCCACAATCTCAAATTGTGTACAAAACCAATGAGAGCTGTCGCTAAAAAGTACAAACAAAGGAAAGAGGATTAGGGACAATGGGGCGTCCACCATTGCCAGCATTTACACACATGTGTTCCTGTATTGTATTACGTTCAAGGACAGACAACAAAAGGAGCACAAAGGGGCCATTCATCCTCGAACAACGGTGCCTATTGTCCTCGAACGCAGGTTTGTGCACTAAGTCTATGGGAAAGGTTTAGATCAGGGAACAAAGGAAAACACAAAGCCAATCCTGGGAAGCATAGCAAAAAACGACTGTGTGTGTGGGTGTGTGTGTGTTGACGATGATTAGTACGACCCATTTTTTTGTTCAATTGGAGTGATGAAAACCTAAAAACTAATTTTAACTGGCCTTATCATGGCAAACTTATCACTGCATCATCCAGCACTACTGGCATGTTTACCTGGATGTTCCATGCTCTGTCTCAAGTTCTTCCTGTTGAAGACGCGCTTGCTCTAAGATCTTACGGGACAGTCTCTCGTCAACATACTGCAAAAAAATTGACACGAAATTACATGTAGAAAGTAAATTACCCTGATATTCTTATAAAGGGATGAAATAACACTGATAAATTACGGAATACAACTACAACACTAGTCCGAAAATTTGGGACTCTCAATACTGTGTATGAGAGTCCCAAAACTTAAGGTATCCATATCGTGCAAAACTTTGTGCTGCATGATAAAACCAGTGTGAATCAAATTTGCAAGCTTCCAACTCACTACAGTTTCTTCAATAATCCCCGAAACTTCTGCCTAGCAAAGTTGCTGTTGTGAGCATTGCATCACCAAAAATTCAGCTTTTAATTCTAATTTTGCAGAGAGTTATCGAAATCCAAACGTGAGACATCACGTTGATGTGTACTGCAATGCATTGTGCAAAAAGACTCCTCAGCCATGTCAGCTATAACATTTTCATCGTGTAGATAAAACAGCGCCCTCTTGTTGATCTGAGTGAATGCAAAATGTTTCATTTTTTAGCAGAGGGCGCTATGTTCATTTGGCCATTGATTAAAAAACAAGTTAGCTGCAAGGCTCTTCCTACACCTACCCAGAATACATTGGGAATCACACCATATTTCCAGAGCATGGAGAATGACGTGGGTGGTTTTTGAACTGCCAAAACCTTGCCTTAAAATTGGATTTAAGGTCTCAAATTTTGCAGGTGACATGCTTGCAACTATAGCATTTTGATGTATGTGTTGTGTGGGCATTAATTAGCCTAATGGTGAGTAAAAAAACGTCAGTAGTAATTTTGCACGTTTTTATGCACTCACGGTCCCAGTCTGCTACAACACTAGGCTTCCAAAATTTTTTTGGTAATTGTGTGGTTTAAATGTGTATGCATTGTACAGATCATGACCTCATGTGTGGGCGCCCGGCGCCGCTGACCATACAAACATGGGGTTTGTGTAGTTGAGGACACCTCCGGTTTTTGTTATAAATTCTTTAAAAAGATTTGTCGCTCCCCTAAACTCTGTAACCTCAGGAAATGTTTTCCTAATTATACTGACCCTAATTTGTTTTTAATTTAAAACAGTAAACTCAAAGAAAAATTTACTTTCTTACATGTACCTAGATTTTCCGGATTAGATGTAACAAGCATGCGAATCATGGTACACTTACTGCACCGCAGTATGGAAGTTAATCTGGTTCCCAGACCAAAAGATTCTGAATAGTATGTATTTCTAACGTGGATCCAGACTAGGAATTGCACTGGTACATCAACCAATCGACAGTCTATCAATCCCGCTTGGACACTATAGCCAAGTTTGTTTTTACTAGTTCAGCATTTTCTCTTTTATCGACGTCACTTTTAATTTTACCCCATAATTTCCCTCAAATTTCAAAACCCTGCCCATTTTCCACAATGTTAATCCTGCAGTTATTCAAAATGGTGTTGTCGTCCTCTACTTAATTGAGTCCAAAATTTGGCTTCTAAATGGAATTTTTCATCAACGAATCAGCAACGTTCGACCAAACTAACTAGCTTGTTGGTTTTAATTTTTCGGTAAGATGTACATTGTAAACACGTGAGGGCGCACTTTAAAAATTAGTCGCCATCTTCGTGGGTTTTACCCCATAATTTTCCTCAAAAATCAAAACCCTGCCCTCTTTCCACAAAATTAGTTCTGCAGATTTACACCAACTGACCAATAATATTGTTCATCGTAAGTTCTTTAATTGAAATATATAATGGCAGTGTATATTTTGCCGGAGACGGCAAACCTTTAGTAAACGTTAGTTTGCCGGATATGCACTGAACCAGACTGGGACCGTGAGTGCATAAAAACGTGCAAAATTACTACTGACGTTTTTTTACTCACCATTTGGCTAATTAATGCCCACACAACACATACATCAAAATGCTATAGTTGCAAGCATGTCACCTGCAAAATTTGAGACCTTAAATCCAATTTTAAGGCAAGGTTTTGGCAGTTCAAAAACCACCCACGTCATTCTCCATGCTCTGGAAATATGGTGTGATTCCCAATGTATTCTGGGTAGGTGTAGGAAGAGCCTTGCAGCTTACTTGTTTTTTAATCAATGGCCAAATGAACATAGCGCCCTCTGCTAAAAAATGAAACATTTTGCATTCACTCTATCAACAAGAGGGCGCTGTTTTATCTACACGATGAAAATGTTAAAGCTGAGGAGTCTTTTTGCACAACGCATTGCAGTACACATCAACGTGATGTCTCACGTATGGATTTCGATAACTCTCTGCAAAATTAGAATTAAAAGCTGAATTTTTGGTGATGCAATGCTCACAACAGCAACTTTGCTAGGCAGAAGTTTCGGGGATTGTTGAAAAAACTGTAGTGAGTTGGAAGCTTGCAAATTTGATTCACACTGGTTTTATCATGCAGCACAAAGTTTTGCACGATATGGATACCTTAAGTTTTGGGACTCTCATACACAGTATTGAGAGTCCCAAATTTTCGGACTAGCACTGAACATGCGCAGTTACTGTTTTTTTGTACTAAAAAAATTCTCCGGTGACAAGTTTTAGTCTGGCTCCATGCCAAAATTATCGTTGTTACCTCGTATTCACAAGATGGGATTCAGACCATTTTATAATTTTCGGACTTTATTTCCCTTTTAAAAAAAATCCTCCAGAGCCACAAATTTGAAAAAGAAAATGTAATACTCTGCAAAAAATGTTTGAGACATGTTAAAATAATAAAAGAAGAATATTCTTATTTATTTGGGGATGAGAAAAAAAAACTTAAAAATGTGGTGCGGTCGGAATCGAACGCGAGTCATCCCGCTTACTAGAGCCTTTGCTTAACCACTACACCAAACGTGCTACACAAGTTTTGATGGGAATTTAATACGTATTATAATTCAACCCTATTTTAAAGAGTACAGCGCCCTCTGTTGATATGGATTGCCGCCGGCAAACCTTTAGTAATCGTTAGTTTGCCGTCATTACCTCCGGCAAAATATCCACTACCATATATAATTAATAATATATAATTTACTACACATTTACACATTATTAAATTACTACAAAGTGAATAAACCAATAGGCCTATTGTTTAGCCCCCAAAAAAGAGTAGGAATACTAGTACTACTAGTAATAGTACTAGGGTAGAAAATAGAAAACTGACTTCTTTTGAAACTGTCCGGAATCTGGGCACTACAAGTACAACCTTACCGTTTCATCCTCGTCCTGTCTCTGTCTTTCTTTCGCCCTTCCTTTCGAACGCACATCCTTGTTTTCCAAGATCTGCTCTGAGAGTGCTGACGATCGTGAGACAGGATCGCCTCCTAGTTTTGCCAATTTTCCCTTCTTCGACTTGCCCATTTTTGTATCCGCACAACTTCAATGTTTCGCCATGCATGCCATGTGCAGGCAGGGAGGTCAGAGGTTAACTTGAAGCCGATGAGATAACTACAGAGGGCTCACTTTGGCATTAATGACCTTCCTTCATCAATGACGCCCTCTTGCCGATTCATTGTTTCAGCAAGTTGAAGTTGCAACTTTGCTTGCAAACTTATCACTAAAGAACTATCACAAGCATCTGTTAATGTCACAAAAGGTTATTTTGATTATGCTTTCTGTACTGAGCAAATAGACCTTTATCAGGATACGCCATCTTGAAAATCAAAGCGAGGCACAAAAGCAAACAAACACGGGGAAATTAGTGAGTGCGGTGAACGAGTGACTCTCGCAAAGTTACATCAGATTGACAATCTTATAAATGAATGGCAAATTCCCCGAAACTTCAATTACTATTCTAGGTAGGTCACGTCTCATTGTATTATGAAGAAGGATCTTATAAAGCCCAAACCCAGTGGCCACACTGAAGTTTCCGTGTTAGTTTATACGACGGTGGCACCATATAGGCTTGCTCTCTTCCTCCAGATGAAGCGCACACCTCATAATGCATAAGGGCTGCGTAGGGGGGCAGGCATGGTGCAAGGCGTGGCACAAATCACAGGTACAATATTTGCATGTGCAAGTATTATAACAAAGGGCACATCCATGGGCATCGTTTTTGCTTTTTAAGTTCCCCCCACCCCCAACTGGAAAAGCAAAACAACCGGAAGTTAAACAAGAGGCGTAAAGATTAAAAGAGGTGTGAAGTCATACTTGCTATAATTAATTTGATACAAAATGGGCGTCTGAGATGGACGTCTGAGGGGTGTCAATGGGGGTGGGGTGGATAACGTAAATGTCCCCCGCCCATGCACCCTAAAAAAAATGATAAATTGAGAACATGCTAGAGAAAGTACAAGGAGTTGGGGATTGTGCTTTGCGCCCCCCCCCCCCCCCCCCGAAAAAAATCCTCGCGACGCGCATTGCCACATCCTGGGTGACTTAAGCAGTTGTCCCCTCAGCGCTCAGTCTTAAAGGGAAAATACAACATTTGCAAACATCAAAAAATAAAAATACCAAATCATTTTGAAATACCTTGCAGGACTGTTAGTGAATGACAGTGTAAAGCATCCTGTAAAATCATGGCACCTGGTATACTGTCATTTTCAAGAAAAGTGGTATTTTTGTATCAATTTCCAACGCTGATCGGCCGATCAGCGTTGGAAACAACTGGCTTTTGTTTCAAATACTGGCCCCAATTGACCATCGCACTTGTTTGCAATCGATTACAAACCTATGAACGGGTACGAGCCAGCTAGACTGGTTCCCTGACCTTACAATTCCCCAATGTATGTAAACTGCTCTGTTTCTTCTTATATGGAGTCAGGGAACCAGACTACAGGAAACTGATCGTTTTTCTTGGTTTTTATAGCATTTTCGAACCCAAAACCTCAAAAAAGTCTGTGTAACTATATTTGCTATATATTTCCAACCCCCCAATTCCATCCATTTCTGAAAATTACAGCAAAAGCAAATGATGTATATTCCCTTTAAAGGCGTCAACGGTTGATGGTGATGCTGGGTCACTCCCGAGGATATTCCAGTCACGGATAGCTAGTGTATGGGGAAAAAATGAGTTGCACTGAAGTTACTCGTGCTGCAAGTGTGGGCACCGCCAGGAAACGTGAAGCATGGTATATACTAGTAAGGTACTGGGACCACTTGGTGTCAATCAAGTCATGACGAATACGGTACATCCGATCTCCAGTCTACTCATGCGACGTCTGGTAGCTAGTGATGGCCATTGGAGATCTTAATTGATCCCATGGCTGATTCGCTGCTTGTCCTTATTTTCACTTCAAGTTCCATCCGCGGCGTTTTCTGACCACTGCTCTTCCTACTGCGTGACATTCCATCTCAGGTTTCATCCAAGATGAGGCTTTTTGCTGATGATGGCCTGCTCTGTCGGGAAATGAGATCACTCGCAGATGCTGCATTACTCCAGAAAGACCTCGAAGTTCTGTATGCATGGTAGTGTAAATAGCAGCAGATGAAGTTTAATTCCTACACATGTTTTGTAATGCACATGACCACCAAAAAGACCCCCACTACATCCAACTATAGAATTAACAACACCCCCTTCAAAAAAACAGAAGTCATCCATATCTGGGCGTTATTCTTAGTAGCGAGCGAGCTTGGTCTCCCCACATCAACAAAATCACCGCTACTGCAAAGCACACATTTGGTGTCATCCGTCGTAACTTCAAGCTTGTAGCCGAGAAGTGAAGTCTCGCTTATACAGTCCTTAGTTCGCCCAAAAATTAATGGTGTCTGCGCTTGGGCTCCATACACTGACGAAGAACGGAAACAACTCGCGAGCATTCAAAGATCGGCTGCTAGAATGGGCTGCAACAATTTCACCAGAAGCTCCAGTGTTACTGCCATGCTACATGTACATGAGCTGGATGGCCACTCCTTGAGTCCCGAAGACTGCCAATACGTCTCGTCATGCTCTACAAAACTGTTCATGGGTTGATATTGAAGTTGCTCTCATCATGGTCTTACCTCACACACAAGAACACACAGGAGGTCTCACCAATTCTCAGACCACCGACTTCACGCCAAAAGCGAGATCTACACTACTACAGCACCAGTTTTATCCATCCACAATATCCCACACTAAAATAACCTGCCTCGCCACGTCATCAATGCTAAAACTTTGGATCATTAAAAAAAGCTCTCACTGATCCCTTGTGCAACATCAACATCCTCCCTTAGTCACTCTGGCCCCGCCCCACGGGATGCGGCTGTAGCCGTTTTGCTGGAGGAAATCTAAAACAGATACAGAGACAGCCAGATACACTACACCCTGACTCTGTTCCGTGCAAAAGTGACTCGTTTCCGTGTAAATGGTACGAGCCCTTATACGAGGCATCTGCTCAACAAATTGACGGCTATATCGAAGTGCTCGTGCCGTTTTGCAAGTGAGTTGTTCCCGCATCGGGCTCCAATTTTCCTCTCATTCCTGAAAATGACAGATCCCATGTACGAATGATAATTTACGGATAGTCTGATACATGTAATGTATACTTCTTATACTAAACAGGTGCAGTTTCAGCTCAGAGAACGTTGCGGACGGAAAAGTGAAAATAGAGTCTTGACGAAACTTCAGTTCGGCCACTGGTTTTTGGCTTTATATTTTGTAAGCCGTTCTTCTTCAAAATGCAACGAGACGTGACGTACCTAGAATGTAGATTGATGGTTCGATAATTTTGTGCTATTTATAACATTGTCAATCTGCTGTAACTTTGCGAGAGTCACTCGCTCGCCGCGCGCACTAATCACGCGGGTTACGCCACACGTTTGTTGCCCTATATGCCTCGATTTGATTTTCAAGATGGCGTGCCCTGATTAAGGTCTATATGCCGGCTCTCAACACCTCTTTACATGTCCCCCCCCCCCCTTCCGACGAGGCTCAATGCGTTTGTTTACCCAAGGATAGTCGCAATAAAGGAGTCCCCAGCAAAGCATTCAAAGTGCAAAGCCTTTAAAGCCTTTCAAGCTTTCGTGCTTTTGTGAAGCTGTTGAACTTTTCAAGGACGACCCCGGCTTTACGGCGAACCATCAAACAGTATACTAGGCCCCAATATAAGTGGTACGTAACACGCGTTCGAACTGTGTTGAGAAGGCTTAACTGGGCCACTTGATCGCGTCAGCTGATCGGCAGCTGATCTTACGTCGTCAGTTCTTTTGGATCTCTGTCTCGCTTGATAAAGAAGGTAAGATACCTTTTCCGTAACTTCATTAGGCATGTTATAATACTTTTATTTTCCTCCTCCTCACTTTACGGTACCTATAAACTTCTAGTGTTGTAGGTCTGCGTGTTCGCAACTACTAATTCGATCATCGTCGGTGTTGACAAACGAGCAGTTATGAGTCGACATAATAATGACGGGAAACACGAGTGAAAGTTTAGATCTACATGTATTTCTAACAGCTGATGAAGGTCATTAGCTTACCGAGTAATTCAGTCGTTACAATTATTCCTTCGTTCTTCTTTCGAGTGCAGTTGGACAAGTTCATTTAGTGCAGTGAGCAGTGAGCCTACATGATATTCCAAGTTTGTAAAATGTACGAAATTGTAATTCTACGCCTATCCAGCATGATATTTTATGTTTCTCCACTTTATTCACTATAGCCTGTAGGTTTATATATGTCTTTTTGTTTTCGTCAGAGATGGCTAATAACCGTGCCTTAGTTCAAGTTCAAGTTAGCGTGAACTCGTGATGAACTGTTGTGTGTTGGGATCGAACTTTGCCCAAATTTACATTGTCATGTCTTTATCATCGATCCAAGTTCATGCACATATTGTACTTTGAAAAAGTGGTGGGTAGCCGTGTTAGTCAGATAATAGCCAAAAAAACCCGAATGTAGCACTTAAATGACTAACTAAAGAAAAATTTGTGCATAAGCTTTCGTAGCAACAACTACTTCATCAGATGCAATGAAGAAAAACAACTTCAACCAAGGTTTATATAATGTACTTTGACACGCAACTAGGCCTACGTGACAGCCCATGCTAGAATCATAATATAAAAATAGTGACAACAATCGTAGCTGGCACTTACAAAAACAATTTTCTCTGTACCCTTTTATAAGCCCTACGATCAATACAACACACAGATAAGCCAGGATAAGGTTTCAACTCCGACCAATTGTCATGGTAAGTGTCATTCAACTAGTTCGGTCACGCGAACCAACTTGGTGAGAAAAAAAAATCTCAACAGACTTGTTATGACGAACCTTGGCCTATATATCGGCTTCATAATCATAACTGCACTTTTGCATTTTGTCGGGGTGTATATACTTTGGTATTATCTGTGAGAAATATAACTGTTCTTCCTTTTAATTCTTCCGGATATTCACTGTCACATGGTTGCTTACACTAGGCAGAAAGTTATAATGACAGCTCCCAAAGTTGTACTAGAGTACACCACAAAACACTTTCAAGTCATCAAGTCACAATTAGTCAGCTAAGAAGGAAGAAAGAGCTCGCGGACGCAAAGAAATTCCTTTGTCACTGTGGCCAATGTAATTAATTTGTCTTTCGACCGTGTTGTTGACTTCCGACTTGGATTACATCATTAAAGGGATATTACGTCATGGGATATGCGCCCGATTGGGCTACAAAACGCGTTTTAAACGAAATGACGTTAATTGGAAATAGAGCATTTAAAAGTGAGATATAAACGTTCACACAACCATCCTTTTAAAAAGGTGGGTGTTCATGCGAGAACCATGCGGGGTGCGAGAACGAATTTCGGGGGTCAAAATTTTGACTCAACTAAATCGAAAGGCGAGCTGTTGAGTGCACAGTTCATCGCATTCTGCGAATGTGCAAGAAACAACATCTGTGTATTGGTGCTATGTGTATGTATTATGTGACACACAAGCAAAGTGTATCGTACATTGAATGGAAATACACGGCTGGAAATACGCGTGCGTGTGCCACAAAATGTCCGCCGTGTCCGATGTAAATAACCGGGGTTTTTATTCTTTCGTCTTTTCTCGGGAACGGTTAGACATTAGGTTAGTTTCCTTTTACCCAAACCTTTGAAATAGGATAAGTAGGCCTAAACAATCCAAAACATTCATAAGATGGAGTTTGCGTCGGGTGATGTAAATCAATATTAGGTTTTGCCCTTCACCGACGTAGAGACACTGTATAATCAGTGTGTAATACCTCCCGAGTGAAAGTTAGAAAAAAATCAAGTCGAGTCCCACCCGAGTGATTTTTGTCCAACTTTCACTCGGGAGGCAACACACTGAGTATGCAGTGTATACGTCGGAGAAAGGCAAAACCTAATTGTAACCAAAATATTTGAGACCGCCAATTCCCCTTATAATGCACTTGTTGGGGTCTATCCGATGTTCCCCAATACATATGTCCCCCAATAAAATGTTCCCAAAAATCCTTAGGGTTAGGGTTAGGGATAGGGTTAGATGGATATGGTTATAGGGTTAGGTAACATAGGTATTCGAAAACATAGGTATGCACCCCACTCGACAGGTTGGTACAAAAAGATTTGTACTGTAGAGTTCGACCTTAACTTATTTTTTTCACTAGCCAGCTGGGCTACTGAACAGACTCTTAACTAGCCCGCGGGCATTTTCACTAGCCAGCATGTTTTTCTTTCTTAAGCAACAATGTGCATACATGTAGAACCTGTCTCCTGATGAGGCAATGTTTTCAGTTTTTTTTAATAAACAAATCTAATAATTTAACAGTTTACTAAAATTAGACACAAATTGATACAGGCTTGCTTTCTGAATTTAACGATTTATTTCTACCTGTCCTTTCATCTTTGCCGTAACCCAATAATTTTGACTCGCCAGCCGGGCTACTTAAGGAATAGTTTGACTAGCCCGCCGCTCTTTTTGACTAGCATCTGGCTAGAGGGCGACCGCTAAAGTCGAACCCTGTAAATATCGTGTATCTATATACTCAACGTCTTAAACCCTCCTTGCATAATTATTGTTCCTCCCGTCTCATTGTGCATTTCATAGAGGCGGCAGACAAAGGTCTGTCTGAGTTAACAGAAGGTGTGTGTCTGGATGGGCTTTACAGAAACCCATACAAAGATGGGTTTCAAATCTTTCTTTTCAATCTATACAGCTTTGTGTCCTTGAAGAGCAATAGGGTCCATTGAAAATTAGACTTACAAGGCTCAGAAAAAAAAGTTGCCGATGTGATTTGACCATTGCGTGCGGTTATTTCAATCTGGCAAATCATCAGCTATTGTGCTTCTGCATCAAATGGTGAGTTACAGTGGAACGTTGCTGTACCGAACGTAACATTCGGCTATACCGAACACAACATTCGGCTCCCGATGTTTGTGTACATGTACAAAACGTACCGAACATTGTTGTTGAAAAATGTCAACAGAAGAGCGACAAGTGGCTATTATTTTCCCAAGGAATAGAAGGGGAAAGCCTCTTTGCTGTTGGTAGCAAGCTTAAAAATGGGTAATTACATAATTCAATAGTCGGCACGTGTTCAGAGTCGTCTTTCAGTAAACTACCAGGGCGCGGCGTGCAGGGTGAAGTTCTGAAGGGCGCTATTTATTGAAAAGTGAGTGTCGGAGCACCGGCAGCTTAAAATCGCTATACCGAACGATCGCCATTACGCACAATTTCTGCGGAACTCGCGATGTTCGTTGTATAGCGACATTCCACTGATATGCAGATGTGGCAGTGTTGTATCCGAATCCCTCACGTCCATAATAGCTCACCATCCATATATCACAAGTTGGAACTTGTTTTTATCACAGTTCATTTGACTAGCTTGTGGCTTGAATTGAGAACCGGTGGCCTTGTGAGGCCAGTGAAACTATTGTACAAACTAGTGACGTAATCGGCAACCTGTTTCCCCGGCTGCGTGTACTTCTTCCACAGGCTGGGATTATTGTAGTGGTGTCTTATTTCTTTTTCAGAACCTGACAGCAGGATGTCGAACAACAACCCAAAGGATGGTTACCACGCGGTACAGACTGCCGAAGAGAGTTCCGAACGAAAAAGAGTGGGTGCGAAAGCGGCTGACGAGGATGAAGGGGCGTGGCAAGACACTGACAACCTCCCTCTCGAAGAGCGATGCTGTTGCAGTGCCCTCCAGCGTCTTGCATCCCCCTACGTCTTCGGCGTCTTCGTGTGTGTGTTGAACTTCTTCCAGTCGGCTGCTTTTTCTGTGACAGGGTAAGCCATCCTCCAACTTGCTTTCTACTGCGTCTTGATTTCTGTTCTTTATTTGGAGTCTTTATCCCATCGAGTCTTTATTTTAGTTTCCTCTTTTGGGGAAACAATTGTTTAATTGTTTGTTCACTTTGCACAACTGATTGATTCTTTGTGTTGATTCACTGGATTCATAAACTTGACCTTCGAAAATTTGAGATTTTGTGACCTCATGTGATCAACCGAAATCAACTTTTACTCCCGTTTGCGGCCTGTTCGTTGTGATTACAGGCTTAGTAATAAAAACAAAGACCCCAAACCCAAACTCAACCCAAATGTCGGGAGTGTTATTTTAGTGAAGTTCTGCATGTATTAAACCTCCCAAACTTTCTTTTAATACAAGAATCATTCAAATCACTTATGTACTTTTCAAGTTACGGAATTTAAACACTCACCACTTTGAAGTTATATCCACGGATCACAAAAATTATGTGACTGCGCTCTTTCAGCAAAACAAAAAGAATTCGCACACATCCCTATTTGATTTGTTTTCGTTTTGCTGAAACAATACTTACCTTTTTGTGATCCGTGGACAGAACTTTAAAACGGTGGTTATTTGTGTTTAAAATTCCGTAGCTGGAAAATTACATGAGTGATTTGAATGATTCTTGTACTAAAAGAAAGCTTATGAATTGGGCTTTCATATCCTAGATTTTGAAAGTGCTACATGCAGAACTTCACTAAAACAATGGTTCCGACATGTAGGTTTCGTGGTGTTTTTTTTCACTCACACTGTATTGTTTGTCCGTTAAATTATGACCTTTTTGAAAGTGCTACATGCAGAACCCCACTAAAACAATGGTTCCGACATTTAGGTTCCGTTTTTGTACTCACCCTGTACTGTTTGTCTGTTGAATGATGACCTTTTTAGAAGCTCTCAATTGAGCACAATAGAGAAACGCTTCCAGCTGAAGACCTCCGAGTTGGCGCCCTTCCTGATCGTGAACGACATCATGAGTGTGGTGATGGTGCTCTTCGTGGCGTACTACGGACACACCAGCCACCGGCCTAGACTCATCGGGGGCGGCAGCCTTCTCATCGGCCTGGGATTCCTGCTCTCCACGCTGCCGCAGTTCATCTACGACACGCCGCCGCAGTTTTCCCCCGGACTAATTGGTGGCGGCCGTGAAAACGGCTCGGCAGGGGGATTCTCGCATAATGGAAGCAGTCTCCTTTATCCAGTAAGTAACTCTTTGGGTGCGGCATCCTGATAATCTGATGAGCTCGGCTGCATTACTTTTCCCATTCCGTTTCATACACCATTGGAAACCACAGTTAATGACGTCCATTCACACACCCCGTTTTGTTCTGGCATTCATTCATGGTACATGCATTTCATCTTCATACCCACTCCTGATAACGGGCAGAGTATACCGTCCAATACGTTGAGTTTCCCCGGCCGGTTCTTTTCGGAACCTCACAAACTCAGTGACGTAGCAAAGAGGGGGTGGGGGGCCCCGGGGGGGGGGGGGGGCACGTTCCCCCACACATTTTCCGTGCCCTCCCCCACCAAGCTACTGATAATGCCCCTTTTCCTTCCCCAACCAAAAAAGGTTTTTGTAAGTTGTATTATTTTTTAGTTTGCCAAAGGATTACTATTTACAATTTTTTATGTTAATGGTTTAGCGAGGCATTGAGGGGCCCAACTGGGAAAAACTGCAATAGGAAGTTTGCGATATTTGCCCCCATGATATTCTGATGCCCCCTGTTCCCCCCGGCCCCCACTCACAAAAAAACTTGCTACGCAACTGCACAAATTGAACCCCAACTTGATTCGTTTATACATGGCGCAACCGTAAACTTGACCGTATTGATATCTTCACCATCTTCACTTGCTATCTTCATAACCCCTGCTTATTAAAATCAAGCATCACAATTTCATCTACATTTTGTGTCTTGGACCTCAATATGACAATGACATCAAATTTTGCCAGGTTCAACGTACAAAATTGAAATTAGAGAGATTGCTTAGTTAGGTAGTGTGCACAGTCACACAGAAACCGGCCTGGTCTCGAACAGCATTTCTTGCGAAGCACCTACAGATCCTTCATGATTCTGTCTAGCATTCGACGATTCCTCATAAACCTCCCGTGCTTTACCTGCTCAGGTCTGTGAGGTCAGTACCAGCGGAGGAGATGCAGGTTCTGAGGTTTGCACCGAGGAAGAGGAGCTTTCCTCGGGGTCCCTCATGTGGCAGGTGTCTTGGATTATCGTCGGTCAGATACTGGGAGGGATCGGAGCTGCACCTATTATGCCTCTTGCCGTCACGTACATGGATGACTGTCTGCATCGCTCCTCAACATCGGTTTATGTAGGTGAGTGAGGTTCCGCTGAGGTTTTCATTTCAGATCACCTCTTTCAAAATGTCGGCAGTAGCCGACAAGGATACCGATGTCAGGGTGGTTTGCCAAGTTTGTTTTACCAGTAATTGTTATTTTGTTTCAATTTGTCTTCGGTTTTGGAGGAGTTTAATTTTAAAGGCCACAACTATAAGGGACAGACATCACAGTAGTCTAGTCAAATTAGTTTATTCAGCCGAATGAGTTTCCATTACAGAAAAGTCTTGTTAAAATTCCCAAACTCTTTCGATCTGCATTGTACCCGATTTACTGACCGACTGTAAGTTGTGAATTAAAATGGCTCACGGCACGTCATCACGCCTTGACCCAACATTTGCCTCATATGACTTCCTAGTCCCTTCGGTCTTGGACCACCTTTGGACCTGCAAAGGCTTGTTCACTTGAAATCGTCTGGTCTCTACTTTTAACTGATAACACAGAGTGGAATTCCACTCCTTGGTAAAAGAAAAGAAAGAGAAATCGAATGATTTTGTATCGTTATACGGGGTCGCTATACTCGCCAAAACCTTTCGCTGTAACAGAAATTTCAAACTATCCGATTTCGTCTACATTGTATAATGGAATTTCTCCCCATAGAAATGTACACAAGTTGCCCGTGACCGAAGACTATGTGTTTGTTACAGCCGGTTTTCGTCCTAACCGTTTTCGTAATAACTGGAGCCGACTGTACAAAATGTATTTTCAGGTGTTGTATTTCTTGTAGTGCTTGTATACTTGGAGACCTCTACTTGTACTCGGAAGTACCCGTACTACTCGGTAACCTAAGTACTCGGCAGTACTCGGTACTCGGAGAAAAAGTACTCGACTACAACACTGGTATTTTCTTACCTGACAGCATTCATGTTCGTGGCAAGCTCCTTCGGCCCTCTGCTCGGGGCTGGCATCTCGGGATTCTGCCTCTCCACCCACGCCGACTTCTACAAGGCGCCGGTCCAAGCCCAATTGGGCGATCCTAACTGGCTGGGCGCCTGGTGGCTCAGCTTCGCCATGGTGGGCGTGTTGCTCCTCATTGTGGGCGTGCCCATCATGATGTTCCCGAAGAAGATCAGGAGGCGGGTCAAGAAAGCCAAGGATGGGGAGAGGAGGAAATCGGAGGAGGCACAGGAAGGGGAGGGGGGCGAGGATGAAAATATGGCAGGGATGTACCGCCTGAATGTCCACGAAGACGGCGGGGGAAGATGCGCATATGTCAAAGGTAAACTCATTCATAAAATCAGCCCACACACAGGTTGTTAACCCTAAGTCATTGGTCATTTGACATTGAAACTTTCTCACTACAATGAAGTTACTGGACCATTCAGGTGTTATTACTCATCCATAGTCACTTTATTTCTGAGAAAACATGACTAAGTTTCTCCTTTCTTAAATATTTTCCTATTTCAACCAAATCCTGTTTCTAGTGCTGTCCATTATTCATTCACCATTCAATTAGATTCAATTCATCAGTGCAATTCACTCCATGCATTCAGTCAGTTCGTCCAGTTCTCTTTTCCTTAGTTCACATTAAACAGTTAGATAATCTATGTACATGTATTAAAACTTGCTGTGGAATAAAGTCACGGTAAAGACAGTTCTCAACTACAAAATTGTGCATTAGCTATTCCCCAACAAAAGTAAGTCTTGTTTAATTAACTGCTTTTTGCCTGCACGTGCACAGGGGGAGAGTCAGATACAACGGGAACATCATTTAGTATCGTTTTGTTGCTCATCATTATCATCATCATCAAGCTGTGGTCATTCATTTTTGGATGATGCCCTCCTCAAGCAGTTTCCATTGTCTTCTGTTTGTCATTCTACTCCATGTTGCCGTGCTCATATATGTGGTGATTTCATGTCTCTCCTTTTTTGTCAACCTCTTCTTCTTCTGCTTGTCCTTGGTTGCCATTCTGTGAGTCTCTTGGTCCATCTGTTGTCTTGTCTTCTTGCTAAGTGCCCTGCCCATCTCCATTTCATTTCCTTGATCTTCTCTATGATATCTTTGAACTTTGTTTGTTGTCTTATGAAGGTATATATGTCTAATTTTGTCTCGTAATGATAGATTGAGCATTCTCCTTTCCATGCCTCTCTGTGTTGTCAATTTTAGTTCCATCTCTTTGGTTGTTGCCCATGTCTCTGCCCCATAAGTCATCGTCGTTTGGACACACTGGTTGTAAATCCTTCTTCTAAATGATATTTTTGTGTCCGCTAGTAATTCTTTGTACCTTCCAAAACATCTGCATCCTCCCTGTTGCTAACAAGGTTTAATTATTGTTTTAAACTTTAGAAGAAAAAATAGATAAAATGAAGTAATCTTACTATTGTTTATGAAATAGAAATTTTTCACAATACTTACGAACTCACTTACCTGATCCGTGCTGTTTCGTCAGGTTTTCTGAACGCCCTTCGTCGCCTGGTAACCAACCTGACTTTCATGTCACTGCTTCTTGGGGTCTGCGCAATGCTGTCCTCCGTCGTTGGAATCATCGTCTTCATGGTCAAGTATCTGGAGACGCAGTTCGGCCTGCCCGCCTCTACAGCTCCCATGCTCTTCGGTAATATACCAGTAGTCCATTTTCGCCAACAGGTGTTTTATGCTAGGTTCATACATTCCCGAATTATTGCTACGAATACCCCGATCTATTCCGAATAAAAATTCTTGATGGCATCGGCAGAAATTAGCCCCGATTCGCTGTTTGTAAGAATAACTTAAGAATGAAACAGAAATAATCAAGAACTCGGTACGAATTGGAAGCCGAATCAGACCAAATCAAGCCAAACGTTTGCGATTTATTGCAGAATAACACCAAATTGTAGCAATTTTGTCAAAAATAACATACGAATAACTCCAGAATCATCCAGAATGACCCAGCCTATTGTGTATTCGTAAGTTATTCTTTTAACATTCGTACATTTCTTGATACATTCGTAATGATTCGGCATGATTCTGGACTGTTAACACCAAAAATAACTCTACGAAACTTGTAAGAATTCTGTAAGAATACCCAGAATGCTGTAAGAATATCCAGAATTAGTTTTGAATACAACAAGAATAAACCAAGAATTGAAATTGGTTCCCGAATCACCCCGACAATTTTGAACATGTCCAAAATTGTCGGGGCGCTTCCCGATCTTTAACGATCTTTCACCGAACTAACAGAATCATCCCGAGGCAGCCAAGAACCATCCCCGATTTACTCAAGAATTGCTATTCGCGGCGATTCGGCTTAAAAATCGGGAATGTGTGAACCTAGCATTAGCCAACGGATGTCACTTTGCCAAATTAACAAAAGAACAAGTTCTCGAGTTTTAGCTGTTAAAAGCAAGGCTCCCGCGTGCACCTTGCCATAAGCCGTGCATTTACTGGACCCGTACTAGTAGTGCACTACTAGTATAGTGCCAGGCAAATACTGCGAGGGAGTCATTGTCTGACTGAGTCCCTAAATAATACTGTAATTTGTAGTTTGCATTAAACATCAACAAAATGATAAAAAAAAAAAATACAAACACAAAAGTACATACATTACATCGATAATACAATTAAAAACCGAAACATTCCCTAAGAAACAACCGCAACCGTAAAAAAAAAAAAGTCTAATGTCCTAAACTTTCAAACTTGGACTATACAGGGTGAGTAAAAAAACACAAAACCCAAATGTCGGGACCATTGTTTTAGTGAAGTTCTGCATGTAGCACTTTCAAAATCAAGGATATGAAAGCCCACTCCATAAGCTTTCTTTTAGTACAAGAATCATTCAAATCACTCATGTACTTTTCAAGTTACGGAATTTTAAACACAACCTCCGTTTTAAAGTTCTGTCCGCGGATCACACAAAAGGTGTGCGTTCTTTCAGCAAAACGAAAACAATCCACACACATCCCTATGTGATTTGTTTTCGTTTTGCTGAAAGAACACTTACCTTTTTGTGATCTGTGGACAGAACTTTAAAACGGCGGTTGTGTTTCGAAGTCGGTAACTGGAAAAGTACATAAGATATTTGAATGATTCTTGTACTAAAAGAAAGCTTCTGAATTGAGCTTTCATATCCTAGATTTTTATAGCGCTACATTTAGAACTTCACTAAAACAAGTCCCGACATTTGGGTTTCGTGTTATTTGGGTTTCGTGTTTTTTTACTCACCCTGTACAACTAGGATTAACCAAATGAAGCTGTCCAGCCGAGACCAGCTGACCAGCTGCCAAACTTTCGGGCCCAGTACTCTTTAAAATTGTTAGCAGCTTTTAACTACTATATAGGCCTACATGTGTGTTACCGTAACGTTACTTTGATGTGAACAATTTAACCCAAAGCAAACACTTCCCAATCATCCTCCGACTTCTTCACCCCCTGACAGGGATCATCATGCCACCCGGTTCGCTCCTCGGCAACCTGATCGGTGGCTTCGTGGTCAAGAAGCTGAAACTGACCAAGAAGGGACTAGCCAGAATGGTGGTCGTCATGAAACCCTTCGTCTTCCTCCTGGCTCCGGTGTTCCTCCTCCTTGGATGCAGCAACCGGGACATCGCTGGCATCACCACCGCGTATCCCAACATGAACATGTGCGTCTTATTATAAGACATTATGTACCTTATTCTTATAATTATCTGAAAATACAGGGTGAGTAAAAAAAACCGAAACCCAAATGTTTGGAACATTGTTTTAGGGAAGTTCTGCACGTAGCATTTTCAATATCTAGAATATGAAAGCCCCATACATAAGCTTTCTTTTAGTACAAGAATTATTCAAATCATTCATGTCTTTTTCAAGTAACGGAGTTTTAAACACAACCACCGTTTTACGGTTCTGTCCACGGATCGCAAAAAAGTTCAGTGTAGCCTACTTTCAGCAAAACGAAAACAATTCACACACATCTCTATGGATTTGTTTTCGTTTTGCTGAAAGAACACTGAACTTTTTTGCGATTCGTGGACAGAACCTTAAAACGGTGGTTGTGTTTAATATTCCGTAACTTGAAAAGTACAGCCGTGATTTGAATGATTCTTGTACTAAAAAGAAAGCTTGTGAATTGGGCTTTCATATCCTAGATTTTGAAAATGCTACATGCAGAACTTTCCTCAAACAATGGTCCCAACATTTGGGTTTCGGTTTTTTTTACTCACCCTGTATACTGCAGTTACTACTCTAGATTATTCGTCAATATGAAGAAAAATTCCCGTCCAGGAACGGACGTATCATTCTGACTAGAAATTTGATGTACGTTTTGTGATATTAAAATATTGTAACAAATAAACACATTACAAATAAACTCAAGATATGTTCACTGCACTCAAGATCACTCATTGTTGGTACACTGCAGTATATTGGCACAATACTTTAGATGTTTTATACAATAAGCAACAAAAAAGATATTATGTATTTTTAAAATATCTCTTTTATAAATACCATCTTATAGCAATATTATATTTCCATATCTGCATTAGGCTTAGAACATAAAGAATGAAAATGTACTGAAGTTAACCTTATCAACTATTGAATGAATTTACAAAAAAAGTACATTGTATATTGTTTGGCAAGCATGACAATAGACAAGCCCTACTTTAGCTGTCAATAGGTACCATTTAATCCATTAAAATCATTTAATCTTTCAATCTGGTCTTATTTACTTATTTTGTTAGGACAAAGGTGCCACTGCCAAATCTGGTGGCTGGCTGCAACGCTGACTGCGCATGCCCAACTGAATACACACCAGTCTGCGGGTCTGATGGTGTAACGTATGCGACGCCATGTCACGCAGGTTGCCTAGCAAAGGTGGAAAACGGACAACCAAATGGAACGAAAGATGGCATGATGGTGAGTATGCATAGACAAGAAGAGATAACCCAACAATGCTGATCAAAAAGATATCACAAACCGCTTTTAAAATTTGACTTGGTCAGATTTAAATAATGGATATTTATGTTATACTCAATATGGCGAGGAATCAACGTTTTATTGCATAATGTTTGATGTTCATCTCAGAAGACGATTGCCGACAGCTTTGTTGCATGTGTACAAATCAGTACACAAACGATTACATGTATAAACACCACAAAAAAAGAAAGTCCACACTCATTTGAGGGGTCATAATTTTGAATTTGATCGTCTTATGATGACGTCATTTATGTAGACCTTTGGAGGATGTTGTAAGCTACATTTTGGTACCCCGTTTGCTACCAAAAGACTGTAAATTGTCCAAGATTGACAACGGTTTTTAAAAAATGATGCAGTTTGAAAAGTTGCCAATTTAAAGATTACGAGAGGAGAAATTGCTAAGCGCACATGCCCGTAATTGGCCCCTTTCGACTGCACATTGCCTGAACAAAGCGCGGGTAATTCAATTTCGCGTGCTCCCATGCAGACAACAAGCACTGTGCAATCGATATTCCCTGCCGTTCGTTTCGGGTAGTGTAACATTGTCACGCAGTAATTTCCACTCGACTCGCCTACTCTTCTTTTTCAAACTGCATCATTTTTCATTAACCGTTGTCAATCTTGGACGATTTACAGTCTTCGGTATCAAACGGGGTATCAAAATGTAGCTAATAACAACATTTCCCAAAGGTCTATATAAATGACGTTATCATAAGACGATCAGATTTAAAATTATGACCCCTCCAATGAGTATGGACTTGTTTCCAGTGTTGAGTATGAAACCAGTGGTTAAGGTTCTTGCGACTTGAATCAGTCTGCATAACGACCATTTCTGATGACTACTTTTTATATTTGATAATCTCGCATATGTTACATAGTTATACACCGACTGTGGCTGCATTGGTGCAACTAGTCCCGCCGACCCGCTCGGCTTGAGAGGAGACTACGAGCACGTGGCCATCCCTGGAGAATGTCCTCGTGAATGCAACACGCTGATTCCGTTCATGGGTGTGGCCATGTTGCAAGTCCTTCTCATGACCATCGTTGGCAACCCAGGATTCATGTTGCAACTGAGGTGCGTATGTGCCAAGCTGCATGTTGGCTGGATATGAAAGATTGTAACATTCTTTCAGGGCTGCTGTGGTCCAGTGGTTACGGTGTTCGATTTGTGTGCCGTGGTACATGAGTTCGAATCCTGGCCGTGGGAACATGGTGCTTGTGCTCTTGAGCAAGGCACTTTACCATTATTGCATCCGGTCCCGTGTGTTGTGTAACGCATGTTAAAGAACCCAGTAACACTTATCGCTAAGAGAAGGGGTTTGCCACGGTGTTTTTGGCAGTGGCTGCAATATGCGCCGCAGCACCTTGTCAACCCTTATAAGGTGCTACATAATGGGTCTCATTTTTCTCATATACTTTATTTACCTTTCTTTAATAATAGACACGTGCGCTATATAAGACTCTGTTATATTTTTTTTATTACATGAGGCAACTTTCTCAAATCACTACATGTTCCGGCTTCCCAACTTCGTTCCCATAGTGTCGAGCAGTACGCTCCCACCACTTCTTGCTCTCTCACCCTGGTATTGGACCAACATGTTTGGATACGTATGCAAATTATTATAAAGGAACAGTCTAGTTTCTGGCTGTGCTTGTTTTTGCGCAGTTTGTTTTTGCATGTGGCGTCTGAGGTAAAAACAGAATCAATTCGTCGCAGCAAGAGTTATGAAAACACGATTTTTCTTTCAAAGTTAAAATGTTACAATCGTTCATATCCAGCCAATATGCAGTATCACATTTCATATTAATATAAACAAAATGAAAACGGGAGGATTGTTTATGAGGTGGAGTGGACGTAGTAACGTAATCCATTAAAAAGTTAAATCAGGATACAGGAAGAAAGTTTCCCATCCAGGGGTTACTATTGAAAACAAGGTTACAAAATAAGTAAAGCCCAGGAACGAGGTGGGCGGCTAAAGGAACCCAATGTACATTTTCAACAGTTTATGGAAACATACTGATTAAAAAAAAATCTGAAGTTTCCTTCTTCGATATTGCCTCTAACAGGTTGTCTTGAAACTGCCTCTAATTGTGGCACAACCTTAACGTTGTATAAAGTAAAAAAACAGTCATCCAACTATCCAGGATATATTGGCTCGCATGAGGTGAAGATCGAATCATTTGATCGTTTGTTTCCAAGAAGATCTTTATGAGGATAACCAAAGATTTTCAAGAATGAATTAAATATCAGAGCCTTTTATGCAATAACATCAGTGCTCAAAAAGATGTGCTGTACGGTTACATTCAACACCTATATTTCATTGATCGTTGGCTATTAAAACCAAAGTATTTACACAATTTACATCAAAGGAATTATAGCAAAATGTGAAGTATCATGTTAAATAATGCTAATATACGCCTACATGTACTTATAATTTGGTTCAATTTTATTTTATTTTTGTGTACAGGACAGTTGATGAGGATGACCGTTCCATAGCTGTAGGCTTCTCATCAATGCTGCTACGATTGCTAGGTAATTTGATGAAACAAATTAGAATTAGGAAAGCTAGACAATACATTTTGAACTTCAAGAGAACCTGGAAGCCCACTTTAGAGGACTGCGTCACATTTTAGATGTATTTTCATTCCTTTTGGTATGAAAGCAAGGATTCTCCAGAAGTGCACAGACACGTGAGCAAGGTCGCTCTAAGGAACTTAAGAGGGAGAAGACGATGAAGATATGAAAAACTATTAAGTTTTAGAGATAGGAAGAAACCATGTAAGCATGTTCCAGGAAAAAACACGGAGTGTTGGACACGCAGAGGCGATCCAACGAATGGCTTTAAATGGGAGTAGCTTCCGGTACCAAGGGCGGATCTAGAACACAATTTTTTGGGAGGCCCAAAAAAATGTGGTGCCCCAAAAAGTGGGTCCAAAAAAATACGGCGTGGGGATCGGGATTATATTGGATTCTAGATGCTCTGTGGTGCGATCTGAGTCAATTTCTAACCACTTTGACAATTTTTTTTGAAGGAAAAGATTGTAGTGTACGCAGTGCCTGCCTTAAAACAAAAATAGGTTCTTTCTTTTTTCTCTCTTTTTTTTGGAGGGGGGGGGCAGGCATGGCCCCCGTTGCCCCCCCCCCCTCCCCCCCCGGATCCACCCTTGCAGGTCCCCATGTTTTTGTTTTTTTATGGGGGAACCAGTCTACACAATCGTTCTTCCTTTTCCATCTTTTTTCTTTAATACCAGGGTTTATTCCATCCCCTCTGATCTTCGGCACGGTCATCCAGACGACTTGTCTCCTCCTCCAGTCGTCTTGTGGAAAGACCGGCAACTGCCTCCTCTACGACATCGTGCAGTTTAGATACGTCTACTTCGGGTTGATTTTCAGTCTGGACTTCTTGAGTCTGGTGCTGTTCATCGTCTGCTACTGCTCCATCAGAGTAGAGAAGACTCCCCAGGTACGTATTACGGAGGGCGCCCTCAGTAGGTATCTCTTGTTTATCAGCAGAACAAAGAAACAAAAACAGAACAACAAACACACGTCTTTAACAGCAATGAAGATCATTCAAATCTAAAGGTAGTAGAGTTGTTGAATAAAATTAATCTCTGACCAATGAGACTTTCCATTTTGCAGTTTATTTTTTTATTCAGGGTATACATGTTATTGGCCTTCGGCTTGGGCCATTTATTGGCGACCAGGCCCGTAGCCGGTTTTAAACGTACCTTTTTTTTTAACCGGCCGAGAACAATTTTATTCCCATTAATAAATACATTTTGGTCCAAAGGTAAAAACAAGTTAAAAGGTCTCAAATAAATTTCCAAAGATTTTGTTCACCAATTTACTTCATGTTTTGTGAAACACCCCTCTGACGACCATGTCTATGGTATCTACCTCGCGTCGTATTGAGTTCTGAATTGACACATTGTCATCAGGAGAATGCAGACATGTTTCGATCTCATTTTTTTTTAACAATCCTTTTCTCAAAATTACAAATTGCAGGGTTTCGAAGAGATGCGTTCAGTACACTCAGACGAAGTTAAGAAGTCGGAGACATCTCCAGATACCACCCCTGGACAAGACAAGGCGTTGGAGGCGTACAAGGAATCCGATGTGTAACGGCAACAGTCCGCCATCTTTACCTCGTTCCGAGTAGTATAGTAATAAGTCGTTTTGGCGTCCTTCCCTTCCGAGCACGAGCCTCGTTGATGTCATTCAACGTTGTCCTGCTCCTAATATCAAGTTCTAGTTTCAAAGTCTTCCACATGCGAGTCAATCAAGCCATTTGGGAGCTCAATTTGTATTTGTTTTACGAATCTGCTCCTAAGACCACCTTAAGGCGATGAAAGAAGCGAGTTTTACAAAACCGAGACCCTCTTATAAAAGTCAGAAGAAACAGCATAAGTATTTAGCTCAGTAAGCAAAAACATTCTTCCTGATAATGTAGCCTTAAGGAGGCATTTTGTCGTCGTAAGTTATACCTTACGCCTAGGGAGACACCGGACATTAAAGAGACATTCAATGTCTCCCTAATGTCATAATCCTATTTATAGGCAAAATTTAACGTCGAAAATAGTCTTCTTTGCTTTGTAGTGGTCCAAAACCTAAATATACCCAAATTCGTGGGGATAGGAGAAGGGAAAATTGGGGTTAAGGTCATTAAGTGTAAGTAGTGTTCATTCGTTTTGAACGTACGCAGGACGGGCATTTACGTCTCAGCCAATGAAAAGCTTTGCTTGCCAGGCTCCACCCACAGTTACCGCCCACCATGACCGTCTACTGCCTTACTTTTATTATTCAAATTGTTCGCTGCTTGTATTAATCATGATAACAATGCAAGAGGATTCCAACTCGTTGAGCGGTACAAAAATCGAAATAACAAAAGAGGATCTCTTACAATTAAAGCTGTCTCACACAATGCCTGCTGAATCTCTCTATCGAAGCAATTTTGCGAGTACATTACATTGTACATGATGTACATTGTACATGATGTGTTTTGAACAAAATCTAGTCGGTAAAGCAAACAGAATACGCACGTAATTAGTTTAGTGCAGGTATATGAATTCACACTGCAGGGAGTCCTCTCAGCATTTAAGCCTACTGTACATACTGCCTTTAGTCATGGATCCCGTGGCCACAACCATGTTCCTTTCTATATTATTACTTTCTGTTATTGATAAGTGTACCCCTTGCTGATTTTTTTCTCGACGAAGAGCTGGCTTTTCTTTGGCATTATTTCAACACTTTGTTTATGGGTTTTCTCTGCACGGGCATATTTTGTTTGCCTGCACCTTTGCCAAGATTGCGCTACAATAGAAACTATTCTGAAGGCTTACGTAGGGTACAGAATACAGTCAGTATTCAGATTAACAATACACTTAGAACGTAAGGAAAGAAAAAGGCTAAGGCAGGGTACGCATGGGCGTCGCCAGGATTTTTTTCTAGAGGGGGGAAACTTTTTTTTTGGCCAAAAAATGCTTGTATTTCTCAACATATTCTCGATTTATCAATTTTAGAGGGGGGCAGGGACATTTTGCCCCCCCCCCCCAACTCATTAAATTTACACCACTTTGTCTTCGCGCCCCTTTTTTTGTTTTTGGGGTTTTTTTACTTCTTTTTTTTTGCTTTTCCAGGGGGGGGGCAAGTGCCCCCCTTGCCCCCCCCCCCCCCCCCTCGCGACGCCCATGAGGGTACGAGTGCTATAGACACTATTATAAAGGCTTACGTACTGTAGGGTACAGTCTTTTTCATCACGTCATATATGTCGCCTATAGGTACAACACTATACAACTCCACTTTATTGTTCCCGATCCTGCCACTTAAAATGTTGTTTTGCAGTTATGTTGATATTTGCACCGCTCAACGACTTGGAATCCTCTTGCATTGTTATCATGATTAATACAAGCAGCGAACAATTTGAATAATAAAAGTAAGGCAGTAGACGGTCATGGTGGGCGGTAACTGTGGGTGGAGCCTGGCAAGCAAAGCTTTTCATTGGCTGAAACGTAAATGCCCGTCCTGCGTACGTTCAAAACGAATGAACACTCGTACAACTCTATGGGATTGTCCCCAAAGGGTTCCGTATTCCGTAATAATTAACATTTACATTATGTAAACGATGCCATCATATTCATTGTAACATTACGATAAAAAAAGATAAGCAAGCGCAGTGGGATGGTGGGATTGGTCTGTGAGGACGAAGTTGCCCTAAAACAGAAACGGTCGTCATGCTTATAATAGTTCCTGCTGGGAGATGGCATATCAGCACGGTGAGATTTTTTAGTAGTTCGAGAACGTGTGAATATCTCTTTACGCTAAAAAAATGTAATGGTAGTTAGGCCAAAAAAAAAATAGTCGATCTCTGGTACTATGGTCGGACCGAAGTTCCGGAATTGATGCGGTGACTCGGGTTTTTTTTTTTTTTTTGATGGTTTTTTTTTTTAAGCTTGAATTGTACAGACAAGGTGGGTACTATTTTGCTTTTTTTGTGTCCTCATTATACATTGGTGTCCTCCATAATTTGCCTTGGTGCCCTTTATCATTTGCCTTGGTGCAATTTCCCCATTCCTTGGTGCTCCTTGGTACAAAAATTTGAGGAGGTGCGGCAATAGAGGGCGCTATTGTAGCTTCCGTGTTAGTTTGAAGAAAAGAAAGGTTGACGCGCATGATTAAAATCGACGCGCGCGCTGACCAGAGACCGAGTTTTTTTTTGGCCTTACAATCAATTATGCATTTTTGAAACCTTAAGCTCAGTAAAGTAATAGGATGTATTTTTATAACTGTATTAAAAATGTATCATGTTTTAAACTTAGTTTCTTTTGTATATTTTTGCAACATAATGAAGCCGCTTAGGCCTTAATACCGTTTTTTTAATTTCATGCTGTATATTCGCTGGTTTTTTTTGTATTTTAACAAGTTTTATAAACCCAAAAAAGTTTTAAAAAATAATCACGAAGCAATTCGTCAGATATCGAACTGAATAATAGAATTTCCAAAAAAAAAAATTAATATGCAAAGGACATTAAACGGTAAGATAAACAAATAGGTGTTTAATGTTTCATTTTCTTGTAGTTTCTATTCTACATGTATTACGGATGACTCGCCTGAAGCTTGGTGGCTGGCAGGCTAGTTGGCTTACTACCGGCTGGTTCATTTCGTCAGCGTTTTCACGAGGGGACGAATTTGGCCACAGGCTGTTGAACATTGGGGTTGAGAAAATCGGGTTTTAATTATGAACATCTTCATCCCTTAAAAATTCGTTAAAGAGCCATTTTCCCTTGAAATTACAGTTAACTAAATTTTCACGGATTTTTCAACATATTAAGCCAGATTAGGAGTCCGTGAAAACACCCTTAAGAAAGTCCTTTTATGAGATCATAAACTTCAAAGATGTACCAATTACGGTATAATAGAACAATTAATTGCGGAGTAATTAATCTCCATAGAGATTTGTCTGTTCGTGAAAACTTAAAATCCCACACGCGCGTTGTTTTGCCGGGCAAATTAAATGTGTCTCAGTGAAAACTCAAACGCCTATATGTGCGTTGCTTTTGCCCCATAGAACAGCGTGGTGAAGTTTGAACGTGTCTGTTTTTGAAAACTGAAATTACAATTCAGGTGAAATTTTCCCTACATTGATTTTCATGAGTTTATTGATTTAAACTGGTTTTTTTACCCTAAAAAATTCGTCAAAACGTTTGTTGCTGTTCACTTAACCGATTTCGGCTGGAAAAAGAATTTAAAAAAAAATATGGATTTTTGTCCGAATTCGTTCCTTCGTGAAAACACTGACGATTTCATGGCTGGTTGGCTTCTTAGGTGGGCGGGATGGATGAAAGGTTGGCTGTTTGGCTTCAGGGGCGTAAATCCGGGGGGGAGGGGGGTATTTACCCCCCCCCCCCCCCCCCCCACACACACACACACACCCACACACACACACTTTTTGACCAGGGGGGATGGGCTATTGAATCATCCCCCTACTTTTTTGTGATGAGGGAAAAACATGCGGACTTTGAGGTATTTTCCGAACGTCCCAACAACTAAAATGTATTCAAAAGCACTGAAAAGTGGAGAAACAAAGTAAAAAAGCTTTAAAAATGTTAGCTCGAGTATTATACATATTGATATACATCTTTATCGTGAAGAGCGCCCCCTATTGTAATGCGGTGTCAAGTCCTCCCCCCCCCCCCCCCCCCCCCGCGCTTCTTGAATTTCCACGGCCGGACAATTTCAGGATTTTGGTCATCCCCTATCCCCCACTCTTCGGCACAGATTTCTCAACTGCTGGCTTGGTTGCTTGCTGGCTAGCTGACTGGCTATATAGCTGGCTGATTGGTTGGTTGGCTGGTAAGCTGGGCGGCAGGCTGGCCGGCTGGCTAACGGGCTTGCTGGACAGCTGGTTGGCTGGCTAACTGACTGGTTGCTGACTTGCTGGCTGACTAGCTGGTTGGTTGGCTGGCTGACTGGCAGGCCAACTTGCAGGCTGGCTGCCTGGTTCGCTGGCTGGTTGGATGGAAGGCTGCCTGATGGCTGGCAGGCTGACCACCTGCGCTGCTGACTGGCAGGCTTGCTGGCTGGCTGACTCCCCAGCTGGCTGACTTGCTGGCTGGCTGGCTGGCTGGTTGGTTGGTTGGTTGGCTGGCTGACTGGCAGGCCAACTTGCAGGCTGGCTGCCTGGTTCGCTGGCTGGTTGGATGGAAGGCTGCCTGATGGCTGGCAGGCTGACCACCTGCGCTGCTGACTGGCTTGCTGGCTGGCTGACTCCCCAGCTGGCTGACTTGCTGGCTGGCTGGCTGGCTGGTTGGTTGGTTGGCTGGCTGACTGGCAGGCCAACTTGCAGGCTGGCTGCCTGGTTCGCTGGCTGGTTGGATGGAAGGCTGCCTGATGGCTGGCAGGCTGACCACCTGCGCTGCTGACTGGCAGGCTTGCTGGCTGGCTGACTCCCCAGCTGGCTGACTTGCTGGCTGGCTGTCTCCCCGGCTGGTTGGTTGGCTGGCTGACTGGCAGGCTTACTTGCAAGCTGGCTGCCTAGTTGGCTGGCTGGTTGGATGGAAGGCTGGCTGAAGACTGGCAGGCTGACCACCTGCGCTGCTGACTGGCTGACGGGCAGGCTGGCTTGCTGGCTGGCAAGCTGGCTGGTTCGCTGGCTGGCTGGCTCCCCGGCTGGCTTGCTTGCTTGCTGGCTGGCTTGCTTGCTGGCTGGCCGGCTGGTCGGCTGGTTGGCTGGCCGACTGGCAGGCTGACTGGTACAGTGGCTATATGTAGAGCTTCAGTATGCGCGGCGGACTCACCGCGTGCGAGCACGTTTTCGCGAAATAGGCAAGAAACTCTTGATCACCGCTCTACAATCCCGGCCAAAATGTCTGGGACACTTCCTGAGCCTGCCACGGTCACCCACTCCCCCGCTCCCCCGGTCAATGTTGTTCTCTCCAGCTGATGGAGCACACACCGCCCAATAAGAGACAACATTGAACAGGGGCCGGGGGCTTGGGGGCCCAGCGAGATTTGGCCAGGGGCACGTTTTGGCGCTGTGACCGTAAACATGTTTCTAGTTCGCGGCCGTTTTGGCGCTTCGGTTACACTGAAATGACGTCATTGTTTCGACCAAAGTTGAACCGAAGTTTCCGGTCGGTTCACTTATGTTTCAAGATGGCGGAAAGGTAAACAAGCTTAGCAGACGACGTTACTTTTTTACCATAAATGGAGTTTAAATAGTGGGTTTTTACCTTCAATTGGTACGAAAGTTGATACAGAATATCAGGCCTACTCTTTTTAGAACTTTAGGGAAACGATATAAAAAAACCTTCCACTTTTGCTTTGAATGTTATTGTTAATCATGTCCGGTCGCCGTGTGATTTTTTTGGGTTGTGTGCAGTCACGTAGGCAGTAACATGACGTCATGAACAATTTTCCGGTCAGTCGTTTTCGCGGAGCACAGGAAACATGTTTCAGGTCACGGCTGTGACGTCAGAAACATGTTCCAGTTCAAGGGCCGCCAAAACGTGCTCCAGGATTGTAGCTTGCTGCACAGCAAAAATGGCGGTTCGGCAAAACCTCGATCGCTCTGTCCCTTCCAACGGGCGTACGTACGTGTACTTGCATACGGTGTCCATGTGGCCGGCTGGTCCCTTTAAGAATGACCCAGCTCGACCTTGACTATCTACAATCACACGTACCTTAGATTCAATTGTCAACTTTGTTTACTCAAAAATAAAAAAATTCTTGCGGACTTCAGATCGTGCATTATCGTGTGTGGACATGTAGCTGTCAGATTTTACATGTGTCTCATCAGTACACAAATTCGACCGCACTGACATCGCAACGTCCATAAGGTAGGGTAATATACTGATTGGTCTTAAATGTTTAAAGTGTTACAGACATTTGCCGACACTTCCATGTCAAATAATAGCCGACATATACACGCACACGTGAGTAGATTTAGCCTACATACTTATACTTGTGGGGAAGACCTTTTTGCCCTTCTTTTGTTCCTGTTGAAATCTCAAACTCCGTAGCGTTTCCTTTATTGGGCAGACTGATTTCTAAAATCTTCCTTACAGGATATATTGTTCTATTGTGTTTCTACACCATAATAATGCGTGTACATGAGGAACTAGGCTTGTGTTTTTGTTCATTTGTTATATCTTGAATGGTTTGAATTATTTTGAATGGTTTTTTTTATTTGAATTTGTCGTTGTTACTGTATATACTTGACCGGCAATAACTCAAGCAACATAGAAATACAGTCGACTCCCGTTACAAATTCTGGTAACACATAGAGCCTAATTGGTCCCGATCGACTGTGCTATATGTGCACGATATGGCACTCCACTTAATACAAAATTCTACAAACATTACGGCTACAATCCTGGCCAAATCTCACTGGGCCCCTAACCCCGTGCCGCCACTCAATGTTGTCTCTCATCATGACGCGGTGTGTACCCCATCAGCTGGAGATAAAGGACAACATTAACCGGGGAGCGGGGGAGTGGGTGATCGTTGCAAGCTAAGGATATTTCCAAGTGTCCCGTCCATTTTGGCCGGGATTGTAGGTCCGGCTGAGTTCACTGTAAACCATGTGTTTAGGTTTAGAACACCTAAATAAACACTAATCTGTGACAGTTTTTAAACATGTGACGCAGTTTATCCAATGAACATGTTTAATTTGAAAACATATTTGGTGTTTAAAATCAGCACACTGACGGTGTTTAATCTTTAAACGGAACAGTGTTTAAAATATATACATCAAAGGCGTTTAACATTTAAATACAACTGACGTTTAAAAAGTAAACACACAGTCAAAAAGAAAACACGTCAATCTGTTATTATTTTAAACATGTGACACGTTTATTGCCTGTGACAGATTTTAAACATGTGACGCCATTTATTATTATTTTCAAGTGTTTATATTCACAGTGTGTGTTTAGTTTTCGAACAGTATTCAAAATTGCAAGTAAAACTTCAGTCACAATATTAACAACGTTGAAATAAACGCATTTAGGGCACTTCACAAAGCTGTCTTCATTTTCACCTATAGGAGTGGTGAAAGGCCTATTGAGTTCTATCGAATCATGAAAATGTACACAATAAAATACAAATGTATTTTTATGGTCACCCCTAGAGAATATTTTACATCACGACAGCAAAAATAATGTGACATTTATGTGAATATACTACCATGCCTATCAGTATGTTTCCAACAATCCTTTTTTTAAGACCCCAACATTAAGGCCAATTACAACTTTTACAAGTATCAAAACAAAGAAACAAAAAACATAAACAAACACAAAAGGGTGAATTTGAAGTAAATGAATATATCTGTAAATAGGGCTAAAAACAATTATTTTCCAATTCAATGAGAGTAAGAAGTAAAACTGCAAATGAATTATACTTGTTTTTTAAAACCTATGAAGGTTTGCGTTATAGTTTGAAGTGGTAAAATAAGTATTGATCTTTAGCTGAGATTTCAACAATATATCCAATTAATTTATACACAAATACCTTGTAGTGAACTGCATGAATTTGCTGGAATCTGCCAGGAAAACTTTTCTCTGATTATGATTTTTTGAAAAGAACTCAAAGCACGTGAAAATACTTTGGATAATCCAAATCAAAGGCATGGTACCCCGAGGCTGGAGAAGAAGTGCATCATTGTACGTGTTGTAGTTCGAGACTTTCTTGATGGTGTCTCCACATGTAATGTAAACTGTAGTTTTGATGCAGATACTCTGTCTGGTTCAGCAGCATTCTGTGGACATAAACAAGATTTCTGAGTGAGCCATACAAAAACTTATCAACTTTGAAAGTGAAACCATGCTCACAGTAAAAAAAATAACGGAGACCCTAAAATGACAAGTCATTAATAAAGTTTACTCCAGGAAGAATATGAAAACTGATTACAAAATTGGGTTCAAAAGTAAATTGCACAATTGTCGGCCTTTTTGGGACTCACGTCAATTTTAACCTTTACAGCTTGAGCTTGATCATGGATCAAATATTAAAAATAAAATCTGAAGAAACTAGGCAAGCTTTTCACAGTTTCGTACCAATAACTTTGCAGTCATGTAGGTATTTACAGAGACTTTGTATTTAAAATTGTATTTTAAAATTGTATTCACCTAGAATGTTATACTTTTTCATTTCATGATGTTTTACCGCCAGAGTAAATTTACAGTGGAAGTTGAAAGGTTCTTATGCAAGATAGAATCTCAGCCAAACATCATCATTCAATGGAATTGAAGATTTGAATAATATATTTTACAATACAAAATTACCTCGTGAATAGTTAGCACTCTCCTCGTCTTCGTACCCTCGCCACGTTCAAACTTGGTGTTCTGCTGGACGTACATGTATGCAGTTACATCGAGCATCTGCAGAGGACCCTATATTCAAAACATAACACATGTTCTGTAAAACGAATGGTTTTGAATCCCTGTGAAATACTGCATTGTACCAAAAATTGGGGGATCATCTTAAATGTACACGCACTGCGGGTTTTTCAAAAGTTTTATACACAGCTGATCTTTACAATCACACACTGCACTGCCAAAAGACACTTACCTTATTTTAAAAGTCAATAGCTTCTTTCATCTGCAAGGGATTAGACACACCCTGAAAATATACAGACAGAAAATATTAAAACAATATACGCCCATAACATCATGTGAAATGGAAATTATGGTTAAACAATTTGTACCTGACCTTACAAATACTAGAAATTTCTTTTCAAAATCATTCATGCTGGTCCCTTTCAGCTTACATAACTTAGGCAGTGGTGATAACACTAGCATGCTTTTATTGAATAGTTAAATCACGATTTCAAAAAAAAATCCACTTCACTGAATTTTCCAAGATTACAAAAATTTTGACACTGCGTGTTTGCAATTGTAATTCGCCCCATAGGCTTATAGCCTCATATTAAGTATACACTCAACATAGACCACCCCATAATGTGGCTCAAATACAGAACTTCCTTCATAATATTGTGAGCTGCACAGCAGTTATACTGTATAACAGCATCGTCATCCAAGAAAAATAATATGAGGAAATCAAAATCAGGGTTGTTTTTCCCCTTCATATTCATGTTTTATCACACGATCCTTTGGCCAATAATTGCTCCCACTAATTCATCTCATCTCATATTTCTAAATCTATCATATTGTATATCGGGATTAATTAAATCAAACAACACAAAAGACAAAACTTACCACTTGTGTGGTAGCTTCCAGAACTGGTTCAAACTACAACCGTCGTACTGCATGCACAGAATACGTTGGATCTGAGTACTCTTGCTGACTTGGCAATATGCATACCAAACTTGACCTCTAGCCTAGGTCATGACCAACTGTTAGTACCTTCTGTGAGACTACATCATACATGTATATTGTTTCATTACCCGATGCAAATTTTGTTACCACGAATGACGATACTAATTCTCGCCATTACATTATTCTATTAGTGTGCCCAGATTATTGTCAGAGAAATGGCGGTTGTCTTTGTGCCGCGTAATTAACTGGCCCGATTATGCCAGCACGCAATCAGATTTAATCCTATTGGTTAAGACCTAACATCACGTGGTCATATTTAAACATCGTGACGTGTACCGTGTTTATTAGGTGTTGAACACAAACAGCTAAATTTATAACTTGAGTTATTATTAGTGTCCTAATTAGTTAATGAGCCTTTTTTAAACAACGTGTATATTCTTTGGGAATAAACAAAATGCTAACTAGTGAAATTGAACAGTTAAAACATTTTCTAAAACCGATCTCATTATAAACACCCTATAGCACTGTGGACATTAAACGCTAACTGTTTTGTTTAAAAACACATGATGTGTTTAATTTTGTCACATAGTGTTTAAATCTAAAACACGTACTGCGTTTATTTTTTAAACGTGTCACATGTTCTCGCGTTTTACAGTGTTTGTACTAACGAGAGTCGACTGTATACTTAGCATAACATGCAACTAAAAGCTAGACGACGCGTTGCAGGCCAAGTTGTAAATCCAGCATATGCATGTGGCAAATTAAAAGATACTTCATGAAACCCGTGCAACAATATCAACGCCCCAAGAGCTTGAGGTTTATACGAAACCTGTACAACATGTTTTGGTGGAAATTAACAGACGAAGTGTAATGTAAGCAAATCGTAAATATGTTTTAGTCGAACCTTGGTCAGACTTCCAAATTGTGTTAGGGAGTCGCTCAACTTAAGCTATGATTTTGGGGTCAAACTTCAATTATTTCGAGTGGTATTGCTATGCAATGCATCGACCCAAATGTAAGACCACCGACGTTAAAAATCTGTCAAGGGTTAAACTTTGTTGCATATTCGACCATGCTCCAAAGTACAAAACACCTCCAAGTTACATAAAAGGTGACATTTAATGTAAACATTTATTGCTCTTTTTAGACAAACAGAAGATACCAGTTTGGATATTGCGTATAGTAAGTACTTATACTACTTAAAACGTTCAGTACATAATATTATACTAGATATAATAGTGTTTTGTATATTATAACACAAATACTGATTTACTTTAGCTAAGGATCCTATATCGAGCGTAAATAAAACTTTCTTCAGACACTCGTTATCTATTTATTTACTGACTTTACTTTTTGGCGTCCGCCCCAGTCGGGTTGAGTGATGCCATCCTCTCTCTCTTATATGGCTGTTTCGCCGACGCTTGCTTCTGTCGGTGATATATCGATGTTAAGTTCAAGTTCTTGATATCAGTCCTTATGCCATCTAACCACCTCTTTGCTGGCCTTCCTCTTTGCCTGTCTCCAATTGTACCATGCCATTGAATGATATGGGAGAGTTTGAGGGTCAATTCACACCATGCTCATTACGTGTCCATAATAACGAAGACGCTTTTGTGTGATGTGATCTACGTCTTGTTTTAATCCTAGCGGTTTTCTGATGGCGGTGTTTCTGACTTTGTATAGTCTGCTGACGCCCATTATTTTCCACAGACATGCCATTTCAAAGATATGAGTCTGTTCTCGTTTTGCTTTTGTAGGATCCAAGATTCAGACGTGTACATCAATAGAGAAAGAATGAGGCTTTGATACAGTTGGATCTTTGTTGCAGGTGAGATTTCTGTATAGAGTTCCAAATACCAGAGATGTTGTGGACTGCTCCAAGTGCCTTCCCTTTTCTGAGCCTTACATCATCAGAGCAGGACCCCTTCTCGTTATCTACATCTTAATAATGTTATGAGTAGAAGTAACCCTTCCCATGCAACATTAAAAGGGAAACGGACTGTCAAACCTATTTTGTTTTCCAGTAGCATCTTCCCAACGCGCAATGAATCGAGAAGACGCCAAAAGTGACGCATCTGACAGTAAGAAAGATGTCGTTGAGCAGGCGTGTTCAGACCAAGAACTGCAACCCGGGGAGCGATGCTGTTGTAGCAACCTCCAGCGTCTCGCGTCCCCCTACGTCTTCGGCGTCTTGGTGTGTCTCGTCAACCTCCTACAGGCAGCTGCTTCGACTGGAACGGGGTATGGTTGATTTGTTCATCTTTGCGAGCTTGCAATCTGAATACTTATGGGCATACATTCTGACATCAAGAACACGCTGTGGTGCTTACTTTCGAATATCAACCTGATACAGAGTCGAGTCAGACTGAAGTCCCATTTTCCGTGACTCGGGCTCTGACGACCAACGACTCGGACTCGGACTCGACCCTATGGACTCGGACTTGGACTCGACCTGCGTGACTCGGGACTCGACAAAAATACCACAAATCTCTTATTTTTCCAACAATATAATAATAAATTATTTTGAAGACGATCCTCTCCTGAGCAAGCGATATCTTTGCGGTGCAGAAGACACGCATCTATGTACTGTACATGCACAACGCTTGCGTCTGGCTTGTTTCCGATGGTTGTGTATTGATTTTGGAATTCAATGTATCGAAACATTGTACCCCAGCGTCCACACATGATGTTGCGTAAATACAAGCTTGATAGTGTTCGGTACCAGATTATCGTTTCCAGACAGTGGTACTTTGCCTTATGGTTACACACGGATTTTCGTAAAAATTACAGAAAAGCTGTCGAAACGTCGAAACATTTACACTGTGAGGTTTTAGCAGTATCTCAAAAGATTCGATCTTTGTGACTCGTGACTCGGACTCGCACTCGACCTGTATGACTCGGGACTCGGTCCCACATTCGGGAGAGATGACTAGGACTCCATGTTTGGTGCATGGAATACGAGTCTGGCCTGATATAAGACAAGAAATTCCAAGGTAGCTCGTTCTGAGAAGGTTTCCCCAAATTTCAGTCAATGACCGTTATCAAGAGAACTACTAAGTTCGCTTGTAAGTTCGCTTGTACGAAAAATGTAGGCTTGCATTACTGGGAAGGAATAGAATACAGAAACGGTAGTTTTAGAGTTCCGGACATATGTTATTTTTGAAAGAGTGGTAAAAAATGATTAAAATATAAGAGTTTAAAAGTGGAGAATTCCAACATCACCATTATTGCATGTTCATTATGTACAATACCACTTTTTCACAGAGGAGGTGTTTTAAGTACGATTGAGAAACGCTTCCAGTTAAAAACCTCCGAGTTGGCGCCCTTCCTGATCGTCAACGACATCGTCAGTGTTATAATGGTGCTCTTCGTGGCGTACTACGGACACACCAGTCACCGGCCAAGAATCATCGGGGTTGGCAGCCTTCTAATCGGCCTGGGTCTGCTGCTCTGTATGCTGCCGCAGTTCATCTACGAGACACCGCAGCAGTTTTCGATCACGATCGGTCGCGACGAGAACGGTACGGCAGAGGAGAACATTTACCCGGTAAGATTGTCTTTGTGCACGCATGACCCAACAACTTTTTGATTTTCCGAAAAATACCCAGACACAACTTTTGAAAATCACAATAAACAGACTTTATAGTCTTAACAAAGGAATGCTTTACATTTTTACGAGCCGGTTTCGATTAGAAAGAGGTTTTTAAAAGACGATGCCACCGTTCCTCGGTAGAAAAGGCAAAATGATTAAAATAACCATACCTTAAGCATAAACATGATTGAAACTGCTTCAAACTGTTCACTGAATGGATTGACCGGAAATACACAAAGAAAAAAATAAGAGTGACCTAATAGTTCATCCTTGTTTGGCTTAACAATGCTAAGTTATTTTAAGCACACTCAGCAGCAACCTCTCAAATTCAATAACAAGCTTTTCAATACCCGTGTACCACCAGATTTTCAAAACCTTTATCAAGAGCGCCTCTGAAAAACATTAAATCCATTTAGGGTTAGGAGCTACAGGGAACCAAATACAACGGCATATCATGGGTATGTCTCACCTATAGCTAAACAACCAAGGGTTAGCTGCTATAGGGAAGCAAAGACAAAGGTATATCATGGTTATGTCTCTTTTATAGCTAAACGACCAAGGGTTAGGTGCTACAGGGAAGGAAAGACGCGTGGTATATCATGGGTATGTCTCACCTATAGCTAAACAACCATGGGTTAGGTGCTACAGGGAAGCAAAGACAAAGGTATATCATGGGTAAGGCTAACCTATAGCTAAAGAACCAATGTTAGGTGCTACAGGGAAGCAAAGACGAAGGTATATCATGGGTTTGTCTCACCTATAGCTAAACAACCAAGGGTTAGGTGCTACAGGGAAGCAAGGACAAAGGTATATCATGGTTGTGTCTCACCTATAGCTAAACAACCATGGGTTAGGTGCTACAGAGAAGCAAAGACAAAGGTATATCATGGTTATGTCTCACATATAGCTAAACAACAAGGGCTAGGTGCTATAGGGAAGCAAAGACAAAGGTATATCATGGTTATGTCTCACCTATGGTTAAACAACAAGGGTTAGGTGCTATAGGGAAGCAAAGACAAAGGTGTATCATGATTATGTCTCACCTATAGCTAAACGACCAAGGGTTAGGTGCTACAGGGAAGTAAAGACGAAGGTATATCATGGGTATGTCTCACCTATAGCTAAACAACCATGGGTTAGGTGCTACAGGGAAGCAAAGACAAAGGTATATCATGGGTAAGGCTAACCTATAGCTAAAGAACCAATGTTAGGTGCTACAGGGAAGCAAAGACGAAGGTATATCATGGGTTTGTCTCACCTATAGCTAAACAACCAAGGGTTAGGTGCTACAGGGAAGCAAGGACAAAGGTATATCATGGTTGTGTCTCACCTATAGCTAAACAACCATGGGTTAGGTGCTACAGAGAAGCAAAGACAAAGGTATATCATGGTTATGTCTCACATATAGCTAAAAAACAAGGGCTAGGTGCTATAGGGAAGCAAAGACAAAGGTATATCATGGTTATGTCTCACCTATGGTTAAACAACAAGGGTTAGGTGCTATAGGGAAGCAAAGACAAAGGTGTATCATGATTATGTCTCACCTATAGCTAAACGACCAAGGGTTAGGTGCTACAGGGAAGTAAAGACGAAGGTATATCATGGGTATGTCTCACCTATAGCTAAACAATCAAGGGCTAGGTGCTACAGGTAAGCAAAGACAAAGGTACATCATGGTTATGTCTTACATATAGCTAAACAACAAGGGTTAGGTGCTATAGGGAAGCAAAGACGAAGGTATATCATGGGTTTGTCTCACCTATAGCTAAACAACCAAAGGTTAGGTGCTAAAGGGAAGCAAAGACTAAAGCATATCATGATTATGTCTCGTCTAAAGCTCAACATCCATGAGACTCGTGCATTACCTAAGAGAGATTTTGATAAGTAGACTCATAGGAATTTCCAAACAAAAATCCTTTACCAACGCAGGTGTGCCTGAAGACCGGCGTTACACCTGCTGTTTGTACTGATGAGGAGGAGAGGAACTCTGGGTCCCTCATGTGGCAGGTGGCTTTGATTATCGTGGGTCAGATACTGTACGGTCTAGGGTCAGCACCGATCTTACCTCTTGCGGTTACGTACATGGATGACAGTCTTCATCACCGGACTTCAACATCGGTTTTCGTAGGTGAGTGAGGGTCAAACAAGTGATCGTTTCCGGACAAGAAACTAGATCAGACCTCTTGCAGTACCGTACACTGATAATTATAGTAAAAACTCACGAGTTTGCTAACGTTTTTAACTCTCCCTCCATAGTTTGAACTCCCAATCATTACTTAGTTTTTTGTTGGGTCAGGATTGGCATAGGTTTGTCTTAATTCTTGCCGTATAAAGAACTTGCTATGGTGCTTATACTTTCGAATGTCTAACTGATATAAGGAACAATTCAAGGAGAGCTCGTTCTGAGAAAGTTTCCTCGAAATTTCAGTTAATGACCGTTTTCAAGAGAATGCATATAAAGAGAAAGTGTATGCTAGCATTACTGGGAAAGTTTATTACTCAGTTTCTTGTTGGGTGAGGATGGGCATAGGTTGTCTTCTTGCCGTGTTAAGGCTTGGAGGAGTAATAACTCGAGGACGAACAACTACGAATCCTTCGGACAGGGTGGCTCTTGGTTCAGCGAAAACAAAACCTGCAGACATTTTGTGCAGGACTCTCAGATCCGACCGACCTGCGTTCGAAGACTGTCTGTAGAGTACAAGGTCCAAAACTTTATACTTTCTTTGTCTCATTTACATCTTTCTGATGTCAACTTTAGCTTGCTCGTTCATCGGCACAGCTCTGGGTCCTCTACTAGGCTTCGGAATCAGCGGATTTTGTCTGTCCATGCACTCCGATTTTTACAAAGGTCCAGTTTACGCCACATCCGACGACCCCAACTGGCTAGGCGCCTGGTGGCTGACCTATGCCTTTATTGGGTCTTTGATCACCGTTGTTGGGTTACCAATAGTGTTCTTTCCGAAGAGGATCAGGAGACGGAAGGAGAAAGTCGAAGACGCGGAAGAGATGGTGGAGGTAGTGAAAGAGGGAGTGGCAAGTGGGGACGAGATTGACAGCGAGAATGGAAATGTAGCTGAGCTGTACCGACTGCATGTCCACAAGACTAGCGAGGGGAAATTTGCCTTCGTCAAAGGTTAGTCATGCTAACGCAAAGACCGAAAAATGTGAAGCCATCTTTAAAGAAAACATGCAGTGGAAGTTCAGCTCATCTTGTTTTCATGCACATTGCTATGTGTTGCAACAGTACAAGGGCCTACAAGATCTTAATACATGTACTTGTTTTCATTGGAAGTGACTAGAAAGTGGTAATTGTTCAGTTATTAGTAAACCCTTTCATCAATGCATGTTAGAGGGCGCTATTTTGCTTTTGTCACACAAGGTACTCCTTATCGAAAGTGCATAACTCCAAGAAAATGAAGAAAAAGTTTGATAAATATCTGTACACAAGGCTATGTCGACACTACTGTTCTGCCTTGAATGACATCACGCTTTGGCTCATGAATATGAACGTTTTCATTAGCATAAAAACTAAAATGTTGACATTTCTCCCATTTACTGCTACAAAGGAGGTGGAAAGTCATAGTAACATGGCAAGAAAGCCGTTCTAAATGTTTTTAAGTCATACAAATCCCATTGCATGTTTCCTTTAAATGATTTGTCTTCGGTCTGTTTAAATTTGTGTTCACAAACAGTCCTAAACGATCACATGACATCCCTTTGAAGATTGTGATGTTGTTGTTCATCCTTTCACAGGTTTCTTCAGCGCCATTCTTCGCCTAGTAACCAATCTGACCTTTATGGCCCTTGTTTTTGGAGTCTGCGCAGTACTTGCCTCCCTTGCTGGCACTTTAACTTTCATGGCTAAGTATCTAGAGACGCAGTTTTCCCTGTCTGCTTCGACAGCACCCATGCTCTTCGGTAGGTAAATCATATCATTCACCTATTTCGTTTTCTTCGTGGTAGCTCCAAAAACCTAAGTCCCAAAAACAAAACAGAGATAAGAAACGACATCAGACCTACATTTAGAGAGGCCCTCATAAAACACGAAGGAAAACAAATCCTTAAGAGAGTAACATCTGAGACAAATTCACGGGATCAAGCACAATCCACATAAGTCACTGATACGAAGGAGTGAAGCCGGGTGGAAGTGATAGGAGAAACCAGAACAATAAAATTATGAAATTCCCTACCCACAAGGCCAAAGTTTAGGTTGCGGCTACATGAAAAGACATTTTGCTTTGATTCAGATAAGTTAAAGTATAAACTGCAACACGTTATTGATTACTGATTACTGGAGAAGTTGGATGTTATGGAAGAGCTCCTTCTCCATTGCTTCTATTGTCCCAGGTATCATGCTGACCCCCGGAGCAGTATTCGGCAATCTGATTGGTGGCTTCGTGGTCAAGAAGCTGAAACTGACCAAGAAGGGAATGGCAAGAATGGTGGTCATTGTCCTGCCGTGGCTGTTCCTCCTCGCTCCGGCGTACCTCCTCCTTGGATGCAATAACCGGGACATCGCTGGCATCACCTTTAGCTATCCAAACATGTAAGCCTCTATTACTTCTTGTTCTTGCTGGTTGTCTGGTTTTGATTACGTATCAGTTGAACCTGCTGTCATGTCCTGATGAGCTCCTAGTCCTGAGGGATGAAAGCTTCAATGATTCCAAGCCTTCTTCGAAGCAGTGAAGCAACCAGTTTCTGGGATTTGTGGCTCTCCGCATTCACTCCAATCGGGGTTGAATAGGTTCCATGCAAACATAGGCCCTACTATGCATCAAAATGTCCAACACCAGTTCCTATAATCCTGGCCAAATCTCACTGGGCCCCCAACCCCCCGGCCCACACTCAATGTTGTCTCTCATTGCGCGGTGTGTGCTCCATCAGCTGGAGAGAACAAGATTGATCGGGGAAGCGGGGGAGTGGGTGACTGCGTGGCAGGCTCAGGAAGTGTCCCAACCGTTTTGGCCAGGATTGTAGGTGGTTTATGGGGCACCAAAGCCTCAACGACTTTAATGGTCAAGATGTCAGAAGGTATAATAAGTAAAACACTCTGTTGCTTCGACTTAACAACAAAACAGAAACTAGAAAGCACTCAGAGAACACAAACCTCCGCCAAGGCTGAACAATTCTTTGCCATATTGTTAGTACATCCACAAGTTTGATGATGGCCTAGCGGTTAAGAACAATAGACTCATGCTCTGGTGTTTCAGAGACAACAGTGGCGTGGTTTCAAGCCCGGGCCCGGACACTTGAGCAAGGCACTTAACCATTATTGCTTCGTCCTTCGGATAGGACGTAAAGCCGTAGGTCCCGTGTGTTGTAAAAATGCACGTAAAAGAACCCAGCAAACACTTATCGCTAAGAGAAGGGGTTCGCCCCGGTGTTTCTGACAGTTATCCTCATACATACACCATGAGGCTGTATGCGATGGCCACACCAGGCGTTTGTACGAAAGCTAACAGATACAGATCCACTGGACTTCCATAGTTTATTGTACATTCAAAATGTCAACAGGATTGCTCATACTAGCATACTTACCTCAACTCAACATGAATAGTTTACTTGGCTGTTTATTATTAGGACAGGCACAAAACTTCCAAACCTGCATGCGGAGTGCAACGCCGACTGCGCATGTCCGACAGAGTACACTCCAATATGCGGCTCCGATGGTGTGACGTATGCAACGCCATGTCACGCTGGATGCCTAGCTACGGCGCAAGGGAAGCTTGAAGGAGGAGATGGGGGTAACATAACGGTAAGTGATGCTGATGGCAAATTGTTCGTTCTTAATATGTGATTAAAGATGGAATGTACTCGCCCTGTTGTCTCTTACAGTTCATAATAATTCATACTATAGAAAAAGATGGCTGTGTTTTCATTACTTTTCTAGTTCGGTCAATAGAGGGAAGCAGAGACAACCAGTGGAATCAGTTACACAGTAGATTTATATAAATTAAGTTAACCCTTAACCCTTTGGTTGTGTGAAAAAAATATATTAAATCGGATGATGAAGGACTGTTAGGGCTACTTATTAAGGCTATGAACTTAGCTAACAGTTTACCAGCTTTGATAAAATATCAGGGCAAGGGCATTCAATATTGGGTTTTGCCCTTCTATCACCGGCGTACATGTATTTTTTATAAACACTGTTTAGTCAGTGTTGAAAAGGAAAAGGAAAGCAACAGGTTTGGAAGTGTGAAAACCTTTATGATATAAAAAGGGGCGAACCATGTGTTCAAAGGAACGGAGTGCCCATCTATCTTTCGAAGCTATTGGGCCAGACTCGAGTCCATGTAATGTTGCTGTGGGGGGATCGCCACACTTGCACAGCGAGTCTATTACCTTCCCAGCATTCAATAATGCCGGTACCCATTGAACACCTGGGTTGAGAGGAATAATTGAGGTAAAGTGCCTTACTCAAGGGCACAACACGCATGGCCACGGCGGGGCTTGAACCCACAATCTCACGATCATGTGCTCTACCGCTAGACCACACGTGCCCTCAAATATTATGATAAAGGCTACATCTTGTTTCAAGCAGATCTACACCGACTGTGAGTGCATTGGTCCAAACAGTCCGGCCGACCCCCTTGGCTTGAGTGGAGACTACGACCACGTGGCGATCACCGGAGAATGCCCCAATGAATGCAGCATGCTGATTCCATTCGTCGCTTCGGTGACGGTAGGGTCGCTGCTCACCACGATCGTTGGTAACCCAGGCTTCATGCTCCAACTCAGGTATGTGTCCGATGACTCCATCCGTACTCGAACGAAAGAGGGCGCTGTAAAGGACACTTCGCAGGTTCACGTGTGCTTCTCAATCTTTGGTCTCCTTAAAGACGAATCCGGGCACGTCATCACTGCACACTCACAATGCCCCCTTCAATGTAGAAATCATTGTGCACGCTACTGTACAAAGCAACTGCACCCTGATGGATTTATCTGAACACCCAGTCGTAAATGGCTATACGCCCGAGGACAATGCTTTGTGTTTCCCTTTGTCCCACAGACTAAGCACATAACCGTACGATCGAGGACTGTTTTCAACAAAAAAACCAACGCTCGAGGACTGAAAGGATATTTTGTTCTCCCTTTGTTTCTCTGTCCTCTATCGTAAAGACATACATGTACACTAGCTATAGCACACATGCTTCCGCCATTTCGGGGGCCTTCGTGATAGAATTGATAGCGTGCTCGGATTGGTTTATAACACCTTTCACGTTGCAAGATGATGACGCCAAATAATCTCTTTCGTTCAAAGTTGAGGGGTACTTGTCATGGAGTCAACGATGAGTTAACAGCCTCATCTTATCAGATTTCGTAGGTAGTTTCATCAAAAATATGCACCAGCTTTTGATGATATAACTTTGTGTCAACATCTTTCACCGTCTATAGCTAATTGCGCTTCAATAAATATATTCAAATATAAACTAAACACATTCCTACTTGATTCTCAGAATACCTGATTCATCATTAAGTTGGCCTAGCCGCCACTGATATGTTGTTTACTGTGGTGTCCACTTTGTTTCACCGTTATATTTTTAAACAATTGTTATTATTTCTAAATTCTATGATTAGTGTTGTTTGTCTAGTTTTGTCTGGTATTGTTGGCCCGATCCACCACAAGCTTCGACTTTTATGATGATGCTTCCACAGAGTGGAAATAAATGTATCATTCATTTGATTGGGTTGTCTTTCGAAGGCTCGTCATTCCATCGTTCCAACCTCTTGTCATATAAAAAGGGTCTTACCCAAAGTGATGTTATAACAGTCAAAATAAAACTTCTCAGAGAAGATAGAGTTATATGATTGATTATTGTTGTTTCAGGTTGGTAGATGATGATGACCGTTCTGTCGCCATCGGGTTTACGTCCATGGCTCTCCGTTTACTAGGTAAATGGTTTTAAAACCTTCCTTTTTTAGCCCTAGCACCAACATAAACAGTCTTTAGGTTCCTTACATCTTATATGTTGGGGGAATGGCCAAGTGGTTAGGGTTAGTGACTCATGATTAGAAAGTCAGGGATTCGAATCCAGCTGCTGATCATATATTGTGTCTTTTGGCAAGCCACTTCACCCCACTTGCCTCTCTCCACCCAAGAGTATTAATGGGTACATACATTACATGGGGAGAAACTTGCGATGGACTGGCATTCCATCCAGGGGGAATAGAAGTATTCTCACTTGATCCATGCCACTGAAACTGGAGATAAACGCGGGCCTGATGCCTGTTGGGCCATATTGGCTCGTGACAGACTTTTGGGTCAATAAATAATAAACTTAAACAAACAATGCATATATACTAATTCCCAAGGAACTAATAATAATGTACTGCAAACTTGAATGGAATATGTTGTGCCCTACAGCAAGCCACTTCACCCCACTCGTCTCTCTCTACCCAGAATTCTAAATTGTTACCGGCACTGGCTTGCGATGAACTTGCATCCAATCCAGAGGAAATAGAAATAATACCCAGTCGTTCCATATGACAAGGAAACCGGAGATATAAGCCGGCCTGATGGGCAATATTGGCTCGTTACAGACTTTACTACTTAACATCTTCTATGAAATCATTTCTGCTCTTCCTATTTCCCAGGATTTATCCCTTCACCCATCATCTTTGGTGCGGTCATCGACACGGCTTGTCGCCTCCTCCAGTCGTCGTGCGGGAAGACGGGAAACTGTCTGGTCTACGACATCGTGCACTTCAGATACGCCTTCAATGGACTGACGTTTGGTTTCAACGCACTGTCTTTTATCATGTTCCTCGTGTGCTACCTGTCGATAACAAGAGTGGCTGGTCAAACCAAGGTAGGATTGGACAGAGGAGGGCGCCCTCTGAGAACGTTCAAACAAGCAATCACGTCTTGAATCGAAGCTTTCTGTATTACAGCCACAAAAAACAATATTGGTGCACAGCTTACATGGTGTTTTGGGCTGCAGTTTGTCCTTCACAGCCGATACCAGACTACAAGGTCGTATTAAGTCAAAGTCTTCCAGTATCTGGCGTTTTATACAGGGACAGTTTTGGGTTCATCATTCTCGACCAACTCACAAATTCCAAAAATAAGTTTAGGCAATATTCTTTAAATACAATGATGATAAACTTTGAGATAGGTGAGTTTGAAAATATCACTGCAAATGTATAAAAGCCAAGTATTAATATACGTATCTCTTTTCTTTTCTTTTCTAAACGCAGGACTTTAAAGAAAGGGCTGAAGTCAACGGAGCACGCGTCGCTAACACTTCTAATGATGTCATTGGCGCAGATGAGGGCACAAATGAGACGATGGGGGCGCTATAGGCGAATGGTGTATGAAACCGTTTTCAGAAGATCCTACGAGTCTGCGCCAAAATAAAGGGATTAAAATACCGCGGGGTGTCAGCCTCAATTTGAAACTTACAATTGCTGATGTGCAACAAAACATGTTCTATCACAGATTATCTAAGTCGTACATCAACCAATGCCTTTAAAGATACAGTTTATTTTTAGGAATATAATATTGTTCTAGTACATGTCGTATTTTTACGTATTTTTTAGTACATGTCGTATTTTTAAGGAATAAACCATTTCTTGATGTTGAAATTAGCGAACAATCTTTAAACAACACCCTTGAATTCACAGTTCTGTGCATAGCCTACAAAAGATATTGACTTACAGTACACAGGACTATCATTAAATATGAATGCATTTGGCAACTTGCTAGACCATTCTTAGAAAACAGTTATCTTCAATGTCTTTAAAATAAAGTCTACAGGTTAACTGTCAAATGGTATATTAACCTACTTAAACAAGCACTCGCATTCAATGTTATTTAGCATGACGTCTGATCCAAAGGTACTTGATCTTAACAAATTGTTATATTTTCATGCTTGTTATTAAAAGATCGTAGCTCAACTACAAAGACTTATAGCAATTCCTCAACAGGTCTAGAGACCTGCCTAAAGTGCTTACCAGCTTTGTAATAGGAATATCAAAATGCCTAAGAAATTGGCCAAACGATGAAATGGGATTGCTTTTATTTGAGTATAGTTCTTTTGATCTAATTAGCTGACATTTAATCTTGAATTTAAAAGTAATCAAAAGAACACTATACATGCACAGTAGTACTTTCCTTGTTTCTTGTTCTTTGCTCCGGTTTGATTAACTCTTCGCAAGTCATCAGCAATTAGGAAGGGAGGGCTAATCATCCTTAAAGGGCCTGTCACATTATATGCGCTCTCATAGGAGACCTTACGGCGACCATTTTTTTCATAAATTGAACAATCGCAGCGAGCTACGCTCATACTTCCCGCGCTTACGATGCGTTCAACTCGCTCTCTATGCGCCCCTGTCAAGCCCAATTACTCGATCTAGTCGCTGCCGCTCCGCTGTCACTGCGCCCACACTACGCTCTGCTCGCTGTTGAAACGTCCTAGTAGCTCGCGTCGCGCTCTCTATTCGACCAATATACGCTCATGTGACGTCACTTGCGCTGTATAAATACCACGACTAAACGGTCAATACACAGTCCAGTTTTTAAAAATATTATACAAGTTCATCGCAGTCAAGTTACTTTCTCATAGAGACTACATCGACTGCCTTGCGCCTATAAGCTGCCTCAATGCCACTTCAATGATTCACGCTCGCACAGCGCCCGAGTTGCGTCCTTACGGCGCCCTGGCCAGAGCGCAGAGGTGTTGCGATTGTTTTGAGCATGTTCAAGGACCTTTGCGCTCATCGGAGACCATTAAGACTCTCTGGCGCCCATCTGGCGACGTATGTAGTTGTTGTTGCGATCTAGTAGTTGTTGTTGCGCCCCAGCTATTTTTCAAGGACGCATTGAGAGCGCATATAAGATCGCAGACAGTGTGACAGGGCCTGGTAGCTGATTAGCTAGATTGCGAAGGACGCAGCTACAACGTGATCGATCTGAAGGCGCCTTAGGCAGCCGCTAATACGACCTATGGGGGCCGTATCATAGGTCCGACGCCTCATAAGTCCGACGTCTCATAAGTCCGACAACGGAAAAACGAGGCATTTAATTTGTCGGACTTACGAAGCGTCGGAGCTATGAGGCGTCGGAGCAATGAGGCGTCGAAGTTATGAGGCGTCGGACCTATGAGGCGTCGGACTTATGAGCCTTTATTTGATTAGGGGATGCGATTCTGTCGGACCTACGAGGCGTCGGACCTATGAGGCGTCGGACTTATGAGCGGATTCCGATCTATATGCTACCACAGAGCACAGCCAGAGATCGAAAGTGATGATTGAAGTTTTGGAAGAGGGAGGAAAATCGGAGAACCCGGATCGAGCAAGACCCTCCTAGAGAGAATATCTCTACTCATATATATCACCCGAGCCGGGAATCAAACCCGGGTCACAGCGGTGAGGGGTGAGAGCTTTACGCACTGTGCCACCCATGTTGCTAAAATAATCCTATTGCTAAACAAGAAAGCACTCAGAGCGCGCAAACCTCCGCCGACGCTAAACAATTCCCCGCCATATTGTCAGTACACCCTAAAGAAATACACGCGTAAATGGTGAAGAATCATTAAACAAACTCCTTAAAGGGAAGATACAACATTTGCAAACATCAAAAAACGAAATGATCAAATTATCACGAAATACCTTACTGGATTGTTAGGGAATGACAGTCTAAAGCACCCTGTAAAATTGTGGCTCCTGGTGTGCTGACATTTTCAAGAAAAGTTGTATTTTTCCAACGCTGGGCGGCCGAACAGCGTTGGAAAATACTGACTAATTTTCAAAAACTGCTCATAATTTTTCATATTTAATTATTCCGCATTTGCTTTGCAATTTATTACAGACCTGTGAAGGGGTACAAGCCTGCCAGACTGATTCCCTGACCTTACAATTCCCCTAAGTCTACAAATTGCTCCATTTCATCTTAATTGAGGTCAGGGAACCAGACTACAAAAACATGATTGGTTTTCTTGGTTTTTCCAGCATCTACAAGCCCAAAACGTGAAACAAGTCGGTTAAACAATATTTGCTATAACATTCTAATCCTCCAAATCCATTTATTTCTGAAAATTGCAGCAAAAGCAAATGTTGTACATTCCCTTTAATACAGACCCAGATCCGGATCACTTTCTAAAATCTAATCGATTTGTACTGGTTCCAAGGACCACCCCTTAAAGATTTTCATACAAATCCGTCCATATCTTTTTGAGTTATCTTGTTAACGGACAAACCAATCAACCAACGAACTAACCGAATCCGGAGGTCATAAACGGCGGCGTGCTTAGTATTTGGATGGCTGGGATCCAAAGACAGTACTTGGTATACAAAGGGAAAACTGAGAAACAGTCATTTTACTGCGTGCTTCAGCTGTGGAAGGGCAAAAAGGTTGACGTCAGCAAATATGAACTTTGGAAAGTATTCATGTATTTCCATTTGATAAGGGAGTTATCTTATTTTTTTCATACTATTGAACTGTTGCTCTTGAACAAGATCTTTTATTCATTTATTTATTTATTTTTGCTACTTTGGAACAATGCCATTTAATACCTATATATTCCGCTTAGTGTCAACAAGTGGCCTTTTACACCTTTCGATAAGAAATTCCACTTATACCTACCTGATAAGTTCAACTGATTTTGTTTTTATATTTAATGAGCAAGGCTCTTTAGGTTATTATAACCGACTTTTACAACTAAGCCTTTGGCCAGGAGGCGTGGTTTCTGTACGGTGGGAGGTGCCAAATGCTCAACATGTCACATGATGAATTATCGTTCATGCAGCACATATTCCAAACCACCCACATGGACACTGCTCACTTACTTGTCGGACGTTGTACAAGCGACGTGCAGTGCGTATGTGTCTGTAGATAATCAACGGTAGGCCTATATCTGCACTGAAAGGTGACTTCGATTATCTAGGTTTGGCTGCTGTAGGTACATACATTTTCACTCGATAGCTTTACATGATAGATGTTAATGTTTCGAGAACGCTACTGATCAACGAGTACAAGTAGTAATCTGGCAATTGTTGCTACCTCCAAACGTTTATGGAAATACGCGAAACTTGAGTTTATTACAGTCCCTTTCATTATAAATACTCGAATTCTTACCAGGTGGCGTATAGCTGTAGTGGAGTGTCATGGCCTAGCGGTTAAGAACACCGGACTCATGCTCTGGTGTTTCAGAGGCAACAGTGGCGTGGGTTCGAGCCCGGGCACGGACACTTGTGCCCTTGAGCAAGGCACTTAACCATTATTGCTTCGTCCTTCGGATGGGACGTAAAGCCGTAGGTCCCGTGTGTTGTGAAATGTACGTTAAAGACCCCAGTAACACTTATCGCTAAGAGAAGGGGTTTGCCCTGGTGTTTCTGGCAGTGGCTGCAATATGCGCCGCAGCACCTTGTAACCCTTAAAGGTGCTACATAATGGGTCTATTTCTCATATTGATGGCCTCCATGGAAAGCAGTGCCCTGCACTGATCGGAGCTACCCTAACTAAAAAAAAAAAGAAGAAAAAAAGAAAAAGATGACTGTTTACAAGGCTTTTCCTACTGACGTCCCGAAAAATGTCCACCTGTTTTCATTCTTCGACAAGCATGTGTTCCATTTTTTCTTTCAGGTTACAGTATCTCCATAACTGTATCACTCCTTCTGTTGTGCTCTTGCTTCCCTACGCTGCATCTGTAAAAGATGGGTTGTAGTTTCTTCCATCGCCCACCTGTATTTGGTTTCTGCATCATGCTCTTCGTCGTCTTCCAGACCACGGTGGCACTTTACATCGCAGGTATCCTGACCACCTTGGAGAAGCAGTACCGCATCACCACCTCCGTTGGAGGCTTAGTCCTCTCCACCAGCGACTTCGCTAGTCTCCTCTCCATCATCGGGTTGACTTACCTCGGCAATAAGTGGCACAAACCGCGCATGCTGGGCGTGCTGGGGATCATGACGGGCCTTGGGGGAATCCTGAGCGGAATCCCTCACTTCATGTACCCGGCTTACCGAGAGGATGACGCCGTGCCGATCGGAGGAAACATCACCAGGTAATGTGATTTGCAGCTTAGATGGGAAGGTATACTGATGTTATCTATAGAGAAGTGTTAATATGACTGAGAGAACCGGTTGTGAGAAAGGTTCTCGACGTTTCGGGAAGGGGAATCCGTCCTGGCTGGCTAGGCGGTTGAACGCATGGTATTACTTTTTCGCTTGGGTGATTATGCTGTTTTGATTAAAAACTTTCTTTAAAGTGTGATACCAGAAACAAATTTTGCTGATGGCTAGTTGGCGGGTTTGCAATTAAAACTGTTTTGAATGTCCGTCGGTAAGGCCCCCTTTACACAGGGCTGCGACCTATGAGCGACCAAAAATGGCCTGGACGCTCAATGCATGTCGCCTAAACCCAGAAAATCCTGTTTCTATGTATTTGCTCCAGCTATCCTTTTGCCTCCCTTGAACCGCCAAAACTGCAATTTTCGGGTATTTTCATGTCGAGCTACGAGCGACCTGTGCGTCCGCTGAGCCACTTGCCTGCCTCCCCTGTGCGTCCCATGTGCAACCTACGGCAACCAACGCCGAATGGAGGCACAGCGGTCGCCACAGACATCGTTCAATGCACGCTCTTGGTCGGCCAAAGGAGGCACAAGGGAGGCAGAAGCATGTCGCCCAGATTGAAGGTAACATTTGCAACAGAACGGATCTTTTACGTGGCGGCCATTGGCCGACCATTGTGCATCCATTCTGCAACCACGGCAATCCTCCCGTCTGCCTTATTTGAGCCACGTTTGAGCAACCAAGCTCCTCGGTGACCTTTGTGCGACTGTTTTGAACATGTTCAAAAATTAACGGCGACCATGGCGTCCATGGCGATGTCTGAACATCCTGTGTACCACCTTCGAAAGACCTAGGCAACCATTCGGCCTCCTTCGAGCCTCTAACGGCGACCTGGGCAGTTTTATGGTTGCACAAGGGAGGCCCAAAGGTCGCAGCCCAGTGTAAATTAAGGGGGTCTAAAAGCTGTCATTGCTTCCCCAGTGTGACTTGGATTCCAATTGTTGCTCAGGTGAACACACACACAGACACAATCAACCCCATAAAAATAATTCCTTTCTCCTTTCATCCCAGTTCCAACATTTTTGTCTGCGATGCGGGGAGAGAGGAAGAGAAATGCTCAGCAGAGGATATTGGTGAATCCGGCTCTAGGATACATGAGATGTGGGCCTTGCTGCTCGGCCAGGCCATCATGGGATTTGCCTACGGGCCCATCTTTCCTATCGCCCTGACTTACATCGATGATCAAGTCAAGGGTACCACCACGCCATACTACCTTGGTGAGTAGGTCCAACTGAGAGGACAGACGTTGGATGTTACTTTGACAAGCGCCTCAAAAGTGGACAACTCAAAATCTCAAATGCTTACTAGTAAAAGTTATGATGCTCCAAAATTGGACAACGCCGTTTACCCATTCCCTGCTAGCAGAAATTTAGATTTGGGGAGTCACAAGACCCGTTTTTAAAAATGTCAATTTTCTACTAACAGAAAGTTAACTTTTTTTATTTTGACGCCTCAAAAGTGGACAACTAATTTTTTTTTAATTTCTGTGAATAAATATTCATCAGGTCAACTCGTGCCCAAGTCAAATCGTACTCAAGTCAACTCGTACCCTGGGACGAGTTCACCTTGGCGCACACGCGTGTTGACTTGGATTCAAGTTGACTCGGGTACGAGTTAACTCGGCTCCGAGTTGATTTTTTGAAAACGGGTTCTGTAGCTTCTAAAATTTAAACTTCTCCAAGCAGGAAATGGTAAGACGGGGTCATCATATTTTTTGCTAGTAAGAATTTGAGATGTTTCGTTGTCCACGTTTGCGGCGCCGAGTCTTAAAAGTAAAATCAAAATTTCTGCTAGCAGAAAATTGAGGGTTTTTTTAAGCTGGTTTAGCATTTTCTTAATACCTTAAATTCTAATAGCAGAAAAATGGGAAAGGTTGTCCACTTTTGGCGCTCCAAAGCATTTACTTCTTTTTATTCATGCCAAACGAATTAACGATTTTTTATTTATTTATTTATTTATTTCTGGCAATTGAAACCAAGGATTCCTCAAAAGTGCATGTCCCAGAGACTATAGCTCGCAAGCCTGAAAATAAACATGTAGAGAGAAGACAATGAGAAGAGTTTGAGAGGTGGGAGGAAAACCCCCAGAAGAATAGTCTGGGGAAAAGCCACGGAATCAGGTAGGGACTGAAACCTAATCCACACGATGGGCGTCACGAAAATGAGACGCCCAAAATGCCGATGCACGTAGCAATATGTAGGAAGACCTATGGTCACCTAACACATCCACCGAGATATCTCCAAATAATTCCCGTGATTCCGGGAACACAATGATAAACACAAAGTGTTTCCCTACGCCGCATATACCTTGCTTTAATGGGAAACCTTGCCAATTGTACACTATTTAGAGACAGCTTCTGAATCAATTCTTGTTTAGCTGTCAATTCACTCCTGTATTATGTTTACGATATAATTATGTAGAGTTTTAACTCTAAAAGCCTTCTCTTTCTTTGCAATACCACCGCCACACGTCGTTTAGTGCGGATATTTCTTGCCAACGTTCGGCACCAATTCGTGCACAATTCTGACCAACCGTTTAGCGCTGTATACAATTTCATGCGGGATGGAGTGAGACATTAAAGCCGTTCTCAGGTCGACCCATGATTTGCTTGCGCCACGCCGGAACCGTCGGCACCAAGCAGAAAAGTCATGCTCAGGTCACAAAACTGAGAAATCGTGTGATGGTCGCGGTACACGTCGCAGAAGTTGAAATTTTTCTACTTTTGCGACTGTTGATTTTTTTTGTGAGCGCTTACTGATGTCGATCGTCTTAATATTGTCGCAGTTACACTCAGGTCGCAAAAAAATCGGCGACTGAGTTGTTCCCGACGGTCATAGCTCAGGCGCAGCTTGATCCTGAAAAGTCAGTTATTGACTGATCTGTGTTATTTTTTTTCAGTAGGTGATAGCAATCTTGCACCATCATTGTCTTTAAAAATGACGTAATTCATTTCAACAACCACCTACCCCATATGGCACAATGATCACAAATCCACCCCTTTTATGCGGGCACTTCAATCCAACAACAAGTGTAAAAAAAAAAATATTCAATTTGTTTGATCACATTCTTGATAACGATCGCTGTTTTATGTTCCCGATTGTTGCGTCTGTGTTTGTTTTGGGGCTTGTGAGCATTCAATGATTCCCTCGAAAGATAGTTTCCCCTCAAAAAGGAATTCTTGACATGACCAACGGAGCCGTTTGACCAGAAATCACCCCCTTGGGGCCAACAGTGACGATCGAAATTGTTACTTTTTTATTACCTTACTGATATCATTGTTCTGCATTGTCTGTTCGTATTGTATCGCGTGCTTTTGACTTTTGCCCGAACCAGTTTTGAAAATTGTGTTTTCAAGTGACATTTTAAGGGGGAAACGAGTTTCGTTCCTCAACAACTGATACCCTCAACGAAAAAAATTAAGTACGGAAGAACTTGTTACAATTTCAAATAATCCATCTATGCATATGTCAGTATGCATAATTATTATACTATTGTGCAATGATATCTTTATTACCTTTATTTACTGATAGCTTTGTTGTTCTTTACTGTCTGCTTGTATTGTACAGGTACTTTTGAACTTTTGCCCGAACCAGTTTTGAACAGTTTTGGTTTTAAGTGACTTGTTAAAGGGCAAAACGAGGTTCGTTCTTCAACAACAGATACCCTCAACGAAAGAACTATAAATACGAAAGAACTTGTTACAAATAATTCAAATACACCATACATGCATTTGTCAGTACTGGTGCAGGCAGAGCAAAATTAAAGAAACGCGAGGCCAAAAATAATAATAAACATTCAGGGAAAAAAACAATATTGGCCAAAGATAAAGCACCGGACAAATCAAACTATATTATCATCATAACCATCACCATTGGGCGGACGCAGCCGAGATGGATGCAACCAAACTCTTCCAGACTCTCTTGTCCGCCATGGCCGTGGTGATGTCATCAATGTGCTGGCTCACATCGTTGCACACAGTGTCAACGTAGTTGAGGGGTCTGCTCCATCTGTTGGGGCAAGGCAATCTCCAGCAGATGAGGTCGGAGACAACTTGCTCCTTGGCTATATAGCAGTGGCCATTGTGGGCTATGCGTTGTGCTACTGTAGTTGAGATGCTGCCGTATATTTCCGCCTTTGTCTTATGTTCTTCCCTCCAGGAAATATTTTGCGCTCTCATGAGGAGGCGAGTGTAGGTGCAATCTAGTATCTGTTATACCACTTGACAGTTACTCTCTTAGTATTACCAGTTAATTCCATATTGATAATTCATAGATAGAATTTAAGGAACAAGAAAGTAAAGCGCTTTCTCAAAAACACTTTGACAGCATTCAGGACAAACCTTCAAACTTTCTTCTGGAAGACAATATTCATGTACCATATACGTGCGCCGAACATTACAAACAGATCCACGCTTTATATACTTTTTGGAAATTTTGGAACGACACGCTATCCCCCACCCCCACCACCCCATAGCGGAGGAGTTATACTTTTCTTCGGGTGATCTTGCATGTTCTGCGCAACAAACATCCTTCGTGACTGTGAAACAACATCCTGTTGAGCTCTCACTCACTTCACTAGACTTTTGCGTACCACATGTAAAATACTTCTGTGATGTACTTTTCCTTTGTCAGCTCTTCTCCTGACAGGTGGCTCAACTGCCACCTTGGTTGGCTACGGTCAAGCCTTCTTATTCCTCCCCCTGAACGTCAACTGGCCGGCCGAACCAGACTACACCAAGGAGTGGATCGGAGCCTGGTGGATGGGCTTCATCCTGGACGGCATCATCATCATGTTGGTCTCCATCCCATTCTTCTTCTTCCCGAAGGAGATGGATGTTGAGATTGACGAGAAGGATATACCGAAGGAGAAGCTTGCTGTGATGAGGAGGAAGGGCCAAGATGAGAAGCTTGGCGTGAAAGGTGAGTCGAACATTGGAATAGAAAGAAGAATGCTTGCGCCTCCAATATGATTCACGATTAGTTTCCAGAGTTAGTGCTGAGACTTATTCTAGTTAATTGTTCATCCCAGTGATGGAGGACTCGAGTTGGGACTCGAACTCGTGTCCGAACTAGAGTCCATTTTGGGTTTGGACTCGTGACTCGGTTCAGATTCGTGGCCTTTTGGACTCGGCTTGGGTCGGACTCGTTTTGTGGCTGACTCGGACTACCTGTCGGACTCAAATCGAGTCCATTAAAAAAAAATGAATAAAACAAACTGAATTGGTTTTAAAAACGGTCCCGCGTCTGATGTCTGATCATTTTTAACTACCTGTGAAAATTTCATTGAGATATATTTTCTATCGCAAGAGACTGTATTCTCAGTGTTCTTGTGCACGCACGTGTTCTGCTATAAAAACCATTTCGCGACTGGACTCGGACTTGGCTCGGACTTGCCAATTTGGACCCGGACTTGAGCCAGACCCGGGCAAAAATAGACTCGGGTTTGGACTGCACTCGAGCCTTCGTGGACTCGGATCGGATCGGACTCGACTACATCACTGGTTCATCCTTATTATATATTAAGTACCGGTACCTCATGTCTTTATATTGATTAGATAAAACCATACTTTGATTGATTTTCAATAATTTTTTTATGACAATGCATTGAGGTAGTATTTCTGTACCTGTAAGGTAGAGACGGTCCAAAAGTGGTTGCACAGAGGCATCGATGTCAGTATCAGCTGTACCAGATTGTGACTATCTTCTTTCGAGAAACGATGTCAACAACATGTTTTAAAAATGATGACACGTCAGCAAATTTTAATTAACGGCCTACCAGCGACCTAGATCAAACTGATTATGTGTTTTTGATCGTCAGATTTTCTTCAAGTCTCCAAGCGAGTTGGTACCAACTTTATCTTCATGATCATTCTGGTGGGCAACATCTTCGACTTGGCAGTGGCTGCCTCCTTCGGGTTCTTCATGGCGAAGTTCCTGGAGGTCCAGTACAACATCCCAGCCGCCAATTCCTCCTTATTCGTCGGTAAGTTGTTTTTTTTTTCTTTGTCATTTCCAAAGTTCCAACCTTTAGTACAAGGTGTGCAACATCAACGGAAAGGAATCTCGACGTGGTTTCTTGGATATCTTTAGTCTATGTTTAGACAAACAGTAAGCATCCTAAACGTTCTGAGTCTCGGAATCTGACTTGCTTGGCGCAACGTGTGTGCCTCTTGTTTTACAAACTTACTTTCGTCAACCATTTCACAAAGTAATTGGTACGCATCGGCTTTTGGACTGTTTGGGCGGCATGCCTATGTTACTTTGGTGTCTTGAGGCACAAGTTGTATGAGGCACCTTTTTATCCTCTGCTGTTTCATATGCTTAGTGGGGATGAGGTCCATCCCCTGTTCGTCGTCCTCTCTTAAATGCCCAATAAGTTCCTCCGTGCCAAATTTATGTTTTAATCAGACCAATCTTTTTTTCGCCTTATAAAAGGCTCCACCAGTTGCTTGTCGTCTGCTCTTTAAACAAAGTGTCCTCCAACTTGTGTTGTCTTTTTTCCATTTCGCTCCTTCTTCGTTCCCCTTAATAGGAATTATCATCATGCCTGGCGCTCTACTTGGCAACATCGGTGGCGGATTAATTGTCAAGAAGCTGAAGCTGACCTCCAAGGGATGCGGGCAGTTCGTTGTGGTTTTTAACATCATTGTCATGGCTTGCATTCCAGGCGTTTACTTCCTATCGTGTCCGGTACCTAGCTACTCCGGCTTCGCTGACGGCAAGATCAGGTGAGGGCGTGCTTCCATAGATCCTAACTTCCTGCCAATCGATCAAATAGTGCGCACCGACCACATAGCTCAGTAAACTCAGGTGGGCGGGGCTTATGCCCAATCCGGAAGGGTCCATACAAACATTTGAAGAGTCGACGTTTTCCTGCAGACAACGTACATCCATCTGTTACAACTAGGCCTTTGAGCTTGATAGGCTGATTGTCATCCCAACAGCACCAACCTTACAGTGAATTAAATTATCCTGATGTAACCGGGGAGAGCGAAATAATGTTAAACATAATAGGTCACTCTCCGCACTACCGCGCGGTTCCACCAGAGAAATACAATTTGGGTGGAGTGAAATTGTCTGGTTGTCTCTGTATTTCAAAACGTTTTATTTATCGCAAAATTGAACAGATTCCAAAAATATGAGGCAATGACTATGTACAAATTATATCGGGTATTTATGAAATTATTTATAAAAGAATGATAGTATATTTAAGAACGATTTTATAAAAGAACGATGCTATGAAAGAATTTAAATGAACGACAGTAAAAAGTGTAAATGAACGACAGCCTAAAGAGAATATGCAGTGATGCACTGTCTATCTAAACATCTGAAATAAAGGATGATTAAAAATCATCAATGATATGAAATAATATTTCTGAAGATTGGCCAAGATTAAAAAAAAGAAGCTTTGTTCTGAAGGCAATGGCATGTATGAGAAAATACACAAGTATTCTTAAAAACAGTGGATTCCCAGAGCTTCTCAAAAATATAAAAAGATTGGAAATGCATTTGAATATTATTACGATGAAATAAATAAACTTTGCCATTATTGAACCGGCCTCAAATTGTAATTATCAATCGGATTACAACATCGGTTTGTCATTTTGCAGCACAACTAACCCATGTAACGAAGACTGCACTTGCTCTGATGGGCGATACGAACCAGTCTGTGGCTATGATGGACTTGTATACGCCACGCCGTGTTTTGCTGGCTGCACCGGGCAACAGGAGAATCAGACGAGTGACCCTAATACCAACATCACGGTAGGTATAGATACCAACTTGAACCTGCGCCATCAAGTATCAGTTTTCAATTGATTGATATTTATGATGTTGCGATAATAACCGTTTGACGTCACTACAACGCGGTGTAGACAGGAACGCTCTGGAGGATGTTGTAGTACTCGTACTCGCTACTCGTACTCGATTACATTTTTTAAAGTACTCGTGCTCGTACTCGAATGTCAAAGTACTCGTACTCGAAATGACGGTACTCGTACTCGGGCAGCAAAGTACTCGTACTCAACTTGTCAAAATTGTACTTTTTCATCAAAGTATTCGAACTCGAATAGTAGTACTCGAAAAATGGTGAGTGGGTCTGTATATCGGTCTGACTGGGCCTGGGTCAATTACGCACAGTGAACCATTTTGCCGTATGGCCGTATTCGGAAATAGAAGTACTCGTACTCGGAAATACAAGTACTCGCACTCGGAGACCTGTACTTGTACTAGGAAGTACAAGTACTCGTACTCGGTACTCGTTAACCTTAGTACTCGGCAGTACTCAGTAGGCCTACTCGGAAAAAAGTACTCGACTACAACACTTGAAAGAATACAATAATGGAAAACCAGTTAAACATGGTAGGAAATAACCTTTGCCACACTATATGCCAGGAGAGTGTCATTGTCCCTATGCGTACCTGTTGCACCATCTATTAACCAACTATTGGTTTATTGGTCACGAACACATTGACAAGTGTGAACTTGATTCAATCCGAGCAGTTGCTGGGCTCCATCTTTGAAAACGCTGACAGAAACTTAGAAAAGAGTGTATAGTTGTGTCCGTATCCAGTCATGCACCTAAATAGAGGTTTGCACAGGCTGTGTCGAGTAGTTCCTGACGTCATGGCATTTCGACCAACCAAATAAGCCAATAGGTCATGAATATGCATGAAATGGGTGATCACCATAATTGTTCTTCCAAAAACAGGTGTACACTGGTTGTGCATGCAGTGCAGCCAATGCCACGGATGACTTTTCCAGACAGGCAATGGAGGGCAAGTGTCTGGAACCTTGCAACATGATCTACTTTGCTTGCATCTTCCTCTTCTGCATCGTCTTCTTTGGGACAGTGAACAAGAATCCATTAGTCATCATGACCTTGAGGTAATGTTGTTCCCTCTCTCCCCAAAACAGCTAAAATATCAGGCATGCACAACAGCGCCCTCAACGGTGGCGATTGTTAGGTGTCAGTGTTGAACATGCAAAAACTGTCAACCGGACGGATTTGTCTTACGATGTTGAATTAAGAGAATCTAAAGCAAGCTTTCCTTAATATTCATTCCTTGTTGCTTTTCTCCTCGATTTGTCCTTGATTATTTTTACAACATGCCAGCCACCTGTACGGACGAGCTAAAACTTGAGATAACATCCGTTGTGAACTCCCACGAATTCACGCTAACGCTGACGAGCGCCCTCTATTCCTATCCATACTTGTGAGGTCAAAAACCGCGGGAGCGTTGACCGGTTTCCCTTCATGAGAGACTGTCACTACTCTTATTTGATCTGCTGAATATGTTAGTTTTTCTTTTACTTTGCAGGTGTGTTGAAAACGATAAGACGTACGCCCTCGGAGTGCAGTCATTTTTTGGACGAGCTTTGGGTGATTAATACTACTATTTTCTTTTTTTCTTTTTTATTGAAGCTCATTATTTAGTGAAACACGTAACTGAAGTGACTTGATGTCAATATTATAAAATGTGTTTTATACAGATTTGCCAAAAACTTTTATGTTGAATTCTGCTCACTTTAAGCCATTCAAGAAACAGTAGAGAATTTCAATCTGAAAAAAAAAGAGCCGCCGTTCCACATGCGCGTTTGGTACCACGTAGCCACGTAGTATCACTCCCTTAAGCCGGCATCAGGTCGACTTTGCGACTACAAAGATCAGTCGGCGACTGACTTTTCAAGATCAAGCTGTGCCTGAGCTACAACCATCGGGAACAAATTAGTCACCGATTCTGTGCGACCCGAGTGTAACTGCGACGATACTAAGACGATCGGCATCACTTTGCGCTAAAAAAAACCCTCAACAGTCGCAAGAGCAGAACAAATTAATGTCAACTTCTGCGACGTGTTCCGCGTCAATCACACGATTTGTCAGTTTTGTGACTGACCTGATCACGGTTCCGTCGTGTGACATAAGCAAATCGTGGGTCTACCTGAGGCTAACTTTAGGCTTCCAGCTTGCAAACAGGCGTAAAACACGCGACGGCAAAATAAAACGAACTAAAAATGCACGTATTCAAAAAAGCACCGTTAGTGTACTACAGAAATTTCAATGGCGCAAAATGTTGTTGTTTTACGTTCGTACAGCAGAAAATTGGAAAGATATTATTATATTCGAATAGGTCTTACCTTTCTTAACACCTTGTTCCAGGTTTTCTACCGGCTCCGCTGTACTTCGGGGCGGCGATTGAAGGCGCTTGTATCCTGGACCGAATCGAGTGCGGCGTGGCAGGCGACTGTCTCATCTACGACGCTGCGCTCTTCCGACTTACCTTCCTTGGAATCTTCTTCGGTCTGAAGGTGAGGAGCAAAAAGATGGTGTTGTATTGGTATTCGTGAGGGATCACAAGTCATCCCAAGTCCATCACATGTCATTACAAGTCCATCACAAGTCCATCACAAGTCAATCACAAGTCATCACAAGACCATCGCAAGTCAATCACAAGTCATCACAAGTCAATAACAAGTTACCCAGGCCCAAATCGGCTCATTCAAAAGTTATTCAAATGACCAGTGACCATTCCTTTGTCAGTGCTCATTCCCTGTTACTTACAACCATGGAGCTATTAAAAAGTGCCCCTTGATCTTGATTTGTGCTCACCGTTTTTGTTTAATAGCCCCATGTTATAACTCGCAGCTGAATTTATTTGCCATTTATCTGTGATCAGACGTGTGATGTGTTGTGGCCATCGCACATATTTCAACCACAACATCGAAAGGTAAAGCATGTCATTCGTCATTTGTGCATTTTTTTTATTGTTTGAAGTAACACAAGTGCTCAAAATCCAAAGAAGGGTGCTTAACAACTAATCTGAGAAGATTTTGCTCAGTGAATGCTGTACATTCCGAAAAAAAACCACAATATTCTCGGATCTTGATTTCCATTTAAAAGTTGCACAGTCATCAGCTACGCGATGTCACGCACTAAACCGACGAATTATGGCAACCGCGCGCGCTGTGCGTCGTGTCAACGTTTGCGCGTACCCACTCACGGCGTCGCCGAGTTAACCTTTCGCCGTTTGCGAGTAAGCCACGCCCCTTAGACAACCCTATGGAGTTTTTGTACACTAAATTTTCTTTGTCTCAGATTTTGCGCGTTCTGCGTCCATTTGTATATCATGTAATTGGACAATATTACACAAGCTGCATTGATACGATTCTAACGCGATTCTACTGCGATCGGTCAATTGACGCGCTAAGGTGAACGACGCCATGTTCTGGGACAAAATGTGCGTGGATAGATATACGCCTGTCCCACAACATGGCGTCGCGCGCCTTCGCGCGTCGATTATCGAACGCGTCTGCAAGCGGTCTATTCCCAACGAACTACTAACGGATATGTCCAAAATGCGTCTTTAGACGCATACGCATCTTTGGAAATGACCTTCTTTTATTGTTTTCTTCAAACTGACAGCAAGCCAGAAAGAGTAATTTCACAGGGAGTTTAGTGCCAATACTATCTTTAACTCCAGTATGCTTTTTTAACAATAATTTCGCCAGTTACTTTTGATAGCTGCAAATGATATACTCTACCTTTAAACAAAGATATATTTCATTCGAATGTGCACGAAATCGTACCGTCTTCGTAGAGCTTTTGACTGCAATATAACTCAAGTGCCCATCATTATTCTCTCTTTCACCGGTGAGGGGGTACTAGTGCACGGGGTCCATATTGATTCCAACGTGCGTAGGACATTTTTTAACTTGACAGGAGATGTGGAACCGCTAACAAAGGGTTAGATAGGCTCAGTGGGAAATCCAGAGGTCGCAGGTTCAAACCTCCCTCCACTGAATTTCTTTGTTCAACTTTATATTTGATGACTAAAGAACAGTTTAATTATGCTTCCCTTCCCCGTGTCTTTGTAGGTTCTTACACTGGCATGCTACGCCACAGTTACAGTAAAAGTGATCACAAACGGAAGGGAGGAGGGTGAACAAGATAAATACGAAGAAGAATTGAAGGTATAATTACCGACTTACGCAAGTCTGTAAATGCAGTTAGCCTTTCAAACAAAATCAGACGCGGATCCGGGGCCGGGGGCGGTTTGGGGGTCAAAACCCCCAGCTCTTTCAAACTCTTTTTTTAGTTCCATAGAAGTTCCTAACATAATGCTAACACCCCCACCCCCGCTCTGACAACCAAAAACAACTATACTGGTATCAATATACGCCTGTGGCCAAAATACGGAAAGAGCCTGCTGGGTAATACGGGGGTATTTGTAGCCTACACTAGTCTGAAATATAGTGTTAATAATCGTCGTATTGGAACAGCGCCCCCATTGAAAGTATGGTGCGCCCCTCCCCCCCCCCTATTGATTTTGCGGTGCCAAGTGTCCGGACAAAAATAACATGTCTATATTTCAGTATTGATTTGCTGATGAACCCCCCCCCCCCTTGCAAAAAAATCCTTGATCTGCCCCTGAAATGTTTGAATGATGATTCTCCAATTCATGTTCGTTATATAAATATAACAGAATGATTCCAGACTGCAACCGTTTCATGATTCACATGTAACATCAGCCATATTACGTCGGGGTACAATACCTGATTGAGAGGTAAACAAAAACGGTGTTTCCCTGTCTTTTTTTTCTCAGAATGGTGCCCTGCAGAGTGGACTAGAAGGAGCGTATAACAAAGGATACGATGGCGAATATAAGCTAGGGACCAAGACGGATCTCACCGAGCTCTAATTCGATCAAGATCACCTTGGGAGAATACAAAGAAATTAACTTCAATTGTGTTCATTGCAGATGTTAACAAGATGTTTGTTTTTAGAAAATTGTCCAGAGAGGAATATATTACTTGTGCCCGCCGAGGGGTTTTAAGTCACGGCAATCCAAAATTTGTTTAAAAAAGATGACCTATCAATGAAGGCTTGGGACTAATACAGCCATAATTGTAATTGTGGGAAACTACCTGCTCATCACCAATGTGAACATTAACTTGGGGGTAATCCATCAAACGGCTATCCGATATTTTCTTGTTTGACAATTCAGTCGTGGGAAGACTTGAAAAGCTGGCGGTGAGATTTTATTTTTGCAGGATAACTACAAGTACACTCCATATTATTTGAACAAAATCCTCCACAGGTGCCCATTTGTTTGTTCATCCTTGACCTAAAAATATATGTTGATTTATTTTTCTTTACAATTCACGTTGCGCAAGTATAGGTATGGGTAAAATCGAACTCGTTTGTGTGCAGTATGGGCGGCCATTCATGCATACTAAAAAAATATAGCAGTAATAAAAAAAAACACTCCTCAAAAATAACTCTGTACAATAAATAACTGTAGACTTCAAACTCTGTGGTCCAACTTGCATAAATTCTAGAACAGAATTTCACGGGTGAATTCACTTGAGTTTACTAGGGCAGTATTTTTTAGTGTTCCATAACGCGTGGGAAAAAAAGAGGTGCAAGTTTGGTTAGGCATGCGCAGTCTCTTGAAGCGTTTTATCATTGTATTAAAGAGTAAAAACGAAATGCAGTACTGTAGTTAATATTTGGAGATGTAGGCGTACGAAAATCGAAACTTTATATCATGCTGGAAACGAGGGCGGATCGGGGGGGGGGCCAACGGGGCCATCCCCCCCCCCAAAAAAGTGACGTCGAACAAAAATTAAGGCACTGCGTAAACCACCATGTTAAGTTCCTCAAAAAGACTAGGTTAAAGTGGTCAGAAATAGCCTCACATCGCACCACATCTAGAATCCCTTAGGCGACCCCCGAACCTCACCCCGTAATTTTTTTGGACCCACTTTTTGGGGGACCAACATATTTTGGGGGCCCCAAAAATTGTGTTCTGGATCCGCCCTTGGCTGGAAATGGAAGAAAGTGACCTTTTTATGGTGCTGAAAATGGTCATGAGATAATGGAGAAGGGGCTTTCGAAGAGGAGAGGATAATCTGAATTAACATAAATATCGGAGGGAAGTAATGAAGATTGTACAAACTGTAACAGTTTTAATGCAAAAAAAAGAAGAGTTAGGCCAATAAAAAAAGTCTCCGGTTTCTGGTATGCGCGCGCGTCGCCGTAGCCATGCGCGTCGGCAAAATGAAACAGTTTTTTTTTCAATGAAAGATGATGTCTCAAAACCGCCAAACTCACTGGTTTGACTGGAATCCTGCTACTGCACAATTTTAACGTGTTTTTAGATGGGGTTATGATCGAGAATAAGCTTTATGTGGCCTCTCTGGACTCCCATATATTTGCACTAAGTTTAGTCGGGCACCATTTGCAGTCATCAGCCGACATTTAAAGCAAAAAAGTCAGGTAAAAAAAAAAAAGCCGCGTCGCCGCACCACGTTTTGGACAAGCTCCATACCAGAAACCGGAGACTTATTTTTTTTGGCCTTATGGTACAAACAAGAACATCGTTTTGTGAAGGGATTTCACACACACAAATTACCAACGGTGACTTTGCATTGATCCTCTAAACTGCATTGAAATGAACCAGTATTTACAACCGTAGATCCAATTGTGGAATCTCAGGACCCTCCGTGTCAACGATTAGTTTGACACACAAAATCTAAGGATAGGTTTGTGTGAGTTGCATGTGATCAATCATGCGAAAGTGTCTGTGGGGTCGCTATTGAAACTGCCCCGTGTGGGGTATTTTGTTAGGGCAAAGGAAAATTGGTGGAAACTGGTACGAGCCAGAACTGCCACGTCATAAACTTGGCCTAGATTTGTCTCTGGTGGTGGTTTTTTTTATTGGAGTTATAATTACAGCTATGAGCTATAAAGGCTAGCATTTATTTACCCCAGCCACTCACAAGGTCATCGAATTCTGTGTGTTTGTGTTAGTACACTTTGGATTGCTTTTTTTGTGCCTTTGCACGTACGCAGCTTTTAAATGTTTACAGCAACATTTATACAAAATATACAGTTTTGGTGTTAACAATCTAGGTTTAAAGGGAAAATACAACATTTGCAAACATCAAAAAATAAAACTACCAAATCATTTTGAAATACCTTGCTGGACTGTTAGTGAATGACAGTGTAAAGCATCCTGTAAAATCATGGCACCTGGTATACTGTCATTTTCAAGAAAAGTGGTATTTTTGTATCAATTTCCAACGCTGATCGGCCGATCAGCGTTGGAAAAAAAACTGGCTTTTTTTCAAATACTGGCCCCAGTTGACCATCGCACTTGTTTGCAATTGATTACACACTTATGAACGGGTACAAGCCAGCTAGACTGGTTCCCTGACCTTACAATTCCCCAATATATGCAAACTGCGCTGTTTCTTCTTAAATGGAGTCAGGGAACCAGACTACAGGAAAATGATTGTTTTCTTGGTTTTTATAGCATTTTCGAACCCAAAACCTCAAAAAAGTCAGTGTAACTATATTTGCTATTTATTTCCAACCCCCCAATTCCATCCATTTCTGAAAATTACAGCAAAAGCAAATGATGTATATTCCCTTTAATTAAGATTCTGTTATGATTCTGATTTATGCGCGGGTGCATGTCATCTGATTGATTCATAATTCACATTAATGTTCAAAATTATTTTGGTAAATTTATATATTTTGTAAGACTTTTAGGCAAATGCGAGGTTAGTTCGAAATAAACTGTTGTTTGTACGGTAGCAGATACCCAAGTATTCTGTACAGTTAACACTAGGCCTTTGGGGGAGTGTAGCCTTGTGGTTAGGGTGTGTGACTCATGATCAGAGGGTCATAGGTTCGAATCCAGCCGCTGGCAATTATGTCGTGTCCTTGGGCAAGCTACTTCATCCCCACTTGTCTCTCTCCACCCAGGAGTATAAATGGGAACCGGCATTCGCTGGGGAGTAACCTGCGATGGACTAGCATCGCATCCAGGGGGAACAGAAATACTCTCAGTTGTTTCATGTCACTGAAACCGGAGATAAACGCCGGCCTGATGGGCCACACTGGCTCGTGACAGACTTTACTAACACTAAGCCTACTTATGTCAAATTTATTATGGCTTATTTTGTACTTATTCATAACCTGATCAGCGCTTTAAACCGATTCTCTTTCTGCCAGTTTATGAGAGAAGACAGGAAATTCATGTTTAAAGAGGAGGGGGGAATGGATGAAACCCGGGAGCCACAAGTCAAAGTTAAAAGCATAAATGAATCAGATAGATTCAATCTGCCAAAATGGCCCTGACAGGTATGAAGCAAAGGTCATCACATATACAAGGCGAGAGGAGCCCATTAGCTGAATTCTCTGAGAACACGAGAAAGTGTTAGTCTCTTTAAGACCTATACAGGGTGGTGCAAAAAGAAGGAAACCCACTTTTGACAGGAATTTTTACCTACTTATCCAACTAATATGGTTGTTTTTAAATAATGTAGTGAAGTATAACTCTTCAACCATACGTGGTGAAAACTTGCAAGCATAGTGTTATTATGCTAATTTGAATACAAGTCACCAAAATAACTGTTGTCCACGTCTAAGTCTAGGGTAGTGTTTTTTTTCTTCAAATCAAGCTCCGGAGCTCAGTCAAGCGGATGGAATTAAGCAGTCCATAGACAAGCAGGTTTGGAACATGAAATGTATTAACTACCATATCTCAGAGACAAAGCATGCATTCGCAATTAATTTTGTTGTCACTGATGTTCAATATTTTAATTCCATTAAATTGATTTTTTGAAATATGCTCAACAAGCAGGTGAAATTTGCTGTCAAAATTGGGTTTCTTTCTTTTTGCACCACCCTGCATAGCCTTCCCTACTCTTCTACGGGTTTCCACAATAATCCTTGATATGAGAAACATGCAAGCAGAAAGTGCATGGAAGACATAAGAGACTGTAATACATGGACAAGAACAGCACAGGAGAGAATGAAAAGGAGAATTGATGGAGCGGCCTTTCCAGTGGATTCAAATATGGCTGATAGACGCCCCGTGCCTTTGCTTAACAAGGCATCTGTTAAGCAATCATGACCGCCAAACTAGGACCTTATCAGGTTTCTTCCTTCCCTACAGGTTCCTGGGGATCTTTTTTGATGGATATTTGACTAAAGTTTTGCTCTACAGGGTGAGTAAAAAAAAAGGAAACCCACATGTCAGACACCTTTTTAAATGAAGTTCTGTGTGTTACTTTCGAAATCTAGAATATGAAAGCCCAATTAATAAGCTTTCGTTTAGTACAAGAATCATTGAATAACTCATGTACTTTTCAAGCTACGGATTTTTAAACATAAACACGGTTTACAGTTCTGTCCACGGATCACCGAAAAAGTAAGTGTTCTGTCAGCAAAACGAAAACAATTCACACACATCCCTATGTGAACTGTTTTCGTTTTGCTGAAAGAACACATGCCTTTTTTTGTGATCCGTGGACAGAACCCTAAAACGGTGTTTGTGTTTCAAACTTAAAAAGTACATGAGTGATTTGAATGATTCTTGTACTAAAAGAAAGCTTATTAATTGGTCTTTTATATCCTAGATTTTGAAAGTGCTACATGCAGAACTTCATTTCAAAAGGTGTCTGACATGTGGGTTTCCTTTTTTTTTACTTACCCTGTATCCTATATTCATAAGAGCTTAAAATCCACCTGACCTGAAGGAATATATTGTCTTTCCTTTCATACACGAATCCCTCTAAGGGAGGAAGCGTGGCAAATCCTGTAGGATCTGATATGGTTGTTCTTAAGGGATTTGCTGTCCGGCTTGAAGTAGTTGTGCTTCACTGTGATTTGTGTTGGACATTTTTGGGTTAACATCCTTGTTTTGACAAATCATCAGAGCAAATGCGTTGCCGGGTAGCAGGGATCGCACCTGTTATTGTCAAAAGTGTTGACACTGCTGTGTGTGTCAAGTTCAAAGTCTCTTTTGTACACCAACCAAAAATCCAATTATGAAATGCAGGTGACTATGTTAACGCATTTAAATCAAGCACTTTGGGACAATCTGCCTTTCAAATCCGCTTTCAGAGGAAAAACCGCCGAAAATCTTACCCTTCGTACCTTGGGCGAAAAGTACGAATGCTTAAACACCCCCCAAAAATGTGAACTGGACTGAGAATAAATATTATGCAAGCTAAATTTGAAAAAAAGGTATGACTGTCTTGTAATCTGGGTGACAATATGTCAGTAACAGTGATCTTGTCACGAAATTGGCCGATCAGATTCGTGATGTGAGGCAGTCGCAGTGCGCAGGCGCTGACGAATAGAGTTAACTTCCTCAACCAATCAGGAGCCAAGGGGCGTGGTTCCAGTCGAGTGCCGAGTAACGGGTGGTGGTGATAGGGTCGAACGATTAATTTCAACAGCAAGTACCGATTTTCACCATTAGACACCACTCGCTTAAGCTGAACATCTAAGCCTCTAGTCGCGTCGTGAACACATCGGATACAGCCAGGATATTTCTCGTACTTGCAACAGGTAACTTTTCTTTGTGATGGTGTATTTATTATTCTATGAGGAAGGTGTTTTTGTTTTATGTTAATGATGACATTCCTAATGAAAAACCATAAGAATTCTAATATTCCTGTTTTACCAACTTTGTAGAAAAACAATTACAATGAAAAACGAAAAAAGGAGAAAACACCAAGTGATGAAATACCAAACCTTATCAACGCCACAGTTTGGCTTTGGGCTTCGATTGAGGTTACAACGACCCCTTGTTGAGGGCACTGATGGATATGAATTAAGTTTACCGTTTTATTTCTATTTTGCAGACTTTGAACTACAGACCGGTGCGTGTATCGTGTCCACGTCGTGACCGTGCAGCTTCAATCAAACCATGGGTTTCTTCAATCGCCCGGTGGCCTTCGGCTTCTGCTTCGCTCTGTTCACCTGTGTCCAAGTCACAGTGGGGCTCTACATAGCAGGTGTCTTGACCACTTTGGAGAAGCAGTACCGGATCACTACCTCCGTGGCGGGGTTGGTGCTTTCCACCAGTGATTTTGCTAGTCTCGTCTCGATCCCGTTGGTGTCGTACGTCGGGTCGTCGATGCACCGGCCGCGTATTGTAGGCGTCCTCGGCCTCCTGACTGCAGTTGGCGGAATCTTGAGCGGAATGCCGCACATTTTGTATCCGTCTTACAGGGACGGGGAGGCGATTCAAGCTGGGAATGGCACGAGGTAAGCAGATTGTAAATTGAGTGTAGTGTTTGTTGTACTGTTCGGTTGTTTTATGGTTGGGAATTTGTTGATTGAAAAGACTGCCGGTTGTAACAAGTTTGTGGATTTGCTATGGGTTCGTTGACTCAACGATTTGGAAGCTGACCGACTGTTGGATGGCCAGCTGTTCGGCAGTTTACTGGCTTGTTGGCTGACTGGCTGGCTTGCTCCCCGCTGGGTGGCACGCTGGCTGGCGGGCTGACTCCCCGCGGCTGAATTGCTGATTGATTGTCTAGCTGGCTGGCTGGTGGCTGGCTGGCTGGCTGGCTCCTCGGCTGGCTGGCTGGCTGGCCTGAAGTCTGCATGCTGCCCTGCCGGCCAATATTGACTGATTGACTTGGTTGGTTTGCAGAATTTGATGGGTCGGTTGACCGGTTTCCCTTTTACCAATTTGTCTCAATGCCACAGTCAAGTAATCCTGACATCGCCATCTCAAGGTGGAAATGTCGCTCCATTACGGGAAGTGGGTTGAATGTGTTTTACTCTTTCACACCCGAAATATAACCACACATTGTCTCTTTTCATCATAGTACCATTTACGTCTGCGATGCTGCGAGAGGGGAAGAGAATTGCTCAGCAGAGGATATTGATGAATCTGGCTCTAGGATAAATGAGATGTGGGCCTTGCTGCTCGGCCAGTGTATCATGGGATTTGCCTACGGACCGTTGTTCCCAATTGCTCTGACCTACATCGACGATCAAGTCAAAGGCACAACCACACCTTACTACATCGGTGAATGTTCTTCCTTTGTCAATTTTAATACTAGCACGTGTTCCCTTCTGAAAGATTTCTGCGATTTGTAGAAGTAATTCTGAGCTAGCTCCAGTTGCTCGAACTCATGCCCTCCTGCTCTGCTTGGCAGCTGAACTTGATTGCCAAACTTTCTGCTGACACAGTTTTATCAGAAATCTGTTCATTGGTGCTTAGTGCATCACATCAGGCATCATTTGACACAATTATTAGTATGTACCTTCATATCACTCCACCCTCCCAAAACAAATTCAGAATAGCCAGCCTTAAGTTAGTTTGACGATGGCCAAATCAGAATTTGGTTAAATAATATCTCAACTTGCTTGACTTAAGAAAATTGACCGATGTGTTCGCATAAGAAAATCAGCTCATAACACAAGAACCAGATCAGCTTATAACAGAAAGAAGCATGACAGCCATTTCAAACACTGAGAACATATGCCATGCATCTCGTTCTTTAACAAAATGACTAGAGCTAGATTTGTGAAATTGAAAACAGACATTTTTTTGTAAAAGAACCTGTTTGTCATGTGTTTTAGCTGCTATCCTGACTGCTGGTACATCGGCTACTTTGGTCGGCTTCGGCGAAGGGTATCTGTTCCTTTCAATGTGGGTTGATTGGCCAGCCCAGTACTACGGCCAGGTAGAGTGGCTTGGAGCCTGGTGGATGGGCTTCTTCGTGAACGGCGCCCTCATTGGGCTCCTCTCGATCCCTTTCTTCTTCTTCCCGAAGGAGATGGATGTTGAGATTAACCAGGAGGATATACCAAAGGAGAAGCTGGCGATGGAAGGGAAGGAAGGAGAGAGCAAACTCGGAGCCAAAGGTTAGCAACCGAATTTCTTTGCCTTCTTTTCGCTCTTCATAGCCATGTGGGTGCATACCTATGTTCCCCAATACCTATTTTTCCCAATACCTATGTTCCCCAACCCTAACCCTAACCCTAGCCCTAACCATCATCGAGTAGACCCCCTCCATGTTATCACAATCGTCTTTACATTTCGAACACAAGTATAACAGACCTTCGACTCTGTTTTTGTTTTCACTTGATGGGTATTCATGTTTCTATAGACGAACTTGAGGAGCCGCAATTTGGCTCTTTTGATGTTCTAGTTCTCGGTAACAATCAAGGTCATACAAGTAAATGAGATATTGAACCAAGTTCTGTTTGTCGTTTGCAAAGGTGTGGTTTCTCCGTCATCCTTTTTACCTTTTTAGTCATGTAAAAGCTTACAGGACTGAATGTAATTAAACTCCTCTGCTAAAGATGCGCAACCTGGATCTGGTACACGGTACCCTGTGCAGACATGTGCCCACTGGGGAACAAAAGATTGTATATGTCTCCACAGAGCAATTTCTATAGGTGAATACGTCTCCACTCATAAACTAGGACTTTCCCAGGTGTGTTGATCCGTCGCAAATTGAAGTATTTTATGTAAGGGATATTAAGTCCGAATTTCAACCCAGGAAATTAACTCTGGTCAAAAAAGGAGCATTTTGAAAGAACACTTTCAAACTCGACACTTTCAAACTCGAAAACTTTAGTTCCAGTATGTATGTGTATGTGTCTGTGAATTTTCCCTGGAGATAGTTCAAGATGTAACACTAGCGTTTGCAACAACAGATTAAGCTGAAATTCGAAATATACTGAGATGGTATAAGTGTTCAACTACTCGTGAAATAACAACTTTCGTAAATTCCTAGAATTTGATATAAATACATAGATTCGAAGAAGTTTTCGAACGATTTCTTCCCGACTTGAAGGTCAGCTTTACCAGTAACCAGTATTGAGGTTTTGGCATCGATGACGGCGATTTTTTGCACTGACATGAAATTTAGAATTTCGTCTTTGTTATAATTTTAACATTTCAATCATACTGAGCGTATTTTCTGAGAAACACAACATGCAAAAGGCCATGATTTGTGGGGTTCACGAATTTCACTGCTCTGTTACAGCGTCTAAGTACGTAATAGGGTTAGCTTTGCTTAACAACCGGCACTTTTTAGCGTTCGCAACCACACGGCTGTAGTATACAATGGTTCGGAGCTTTCAACTACCGTACTAAACGTAGATTTCGATGCACTCGGGACTGTCCTTAATCAATAGATGAGGAGACCACATCAGTTCAAGCAACGAAGTCAAAGCTATATCGTCCCCAAATGGGTCAAGGCATACCGAACATAACACTGAAACACCCCCCCCCCCAAAAAAAAATATGTGGTGCGCCGTGGTCCAATGGTACCGTGTTCGACTCATGTTCTGTGGTACGTGGGCTTGAACCCTGATGAGAGACATCGTGTTGCTGGGGTCCTGCAATTGCCTCTCTTTATCCAGGAGTATAAATGGGTACCTCTGAAGGGAGAGATCAGATTGCGCTGATCTCGAGCTGCTGCAGAAACAAATGGTCTCACTGTCTGATGAACAGGGGTAAGAATTGTAAGGCTATTCTCATTAGACCTCTGGTGTTAAGCGCCATATAAGCACCACATTATTGCATATAAAAATATTGGTATCAATGAGCGACGATTTCTGTTTTCTCGTGGCAGATTTTTTCATGGCATCAAAGCGACTTTTCTGCAACTTCGTCTTCATGGCGCTCTTGGTCGGCTCCATCTTCGATCTTGCGGTGGCTGCATCCTTTGGATTCTTCATGGCCAAGTTTCTGCAAGTCCAGTTTAACATACCAGCTGCCCAATCCTCCTTATACGTGGGTGGGTATTTAGCAGCATTCCAATTTTCTTCTTCAAAGCTCTATAAAAAGAGCCTTCACTAAATTCACGAAGCTTACCCAATTGACAACAGATGTTGTTTAGTATAGTAAAATCAGTCATTTGCGAACGAACATTAGTCTTATAAACACTTTCAGTCAAACACTTTTAAAACACTCAAGTTAAGCTATGCTTCGTCGTTTTAAGGTATCATACATATACTCAACAGCAAGTTTTTTAAATTAATGTAGGTACTCCAGCTGGGTTAAGTCTTGGTCATCTGAGATGTACTTTGACCTCCGTTTCCATAGCGATGGTCACCGTGATGACAGCTGTCTCCTGTCATCTTTTGTAGTGGCGTCATGTTTTTTTCCTCCCTTGCAGGAATAATCATCACTCCTGCTGCCTTCCTCGGCAATTTCTCCGGGGGATTCCTGGTCAAGAAGCTGAACTTGGACTCCAAGGGGTGCGGGAAGGTTATCCTCGTCCTTAATGTCATCGTCATGGCCTGCATCCCGGTTGTGTACTTTCTGTCCTGTCCTGTGCCCACCTATGCTGGCAACAGTAACGGCGAAATCAGGTGAAGAGTCTATAATTATGATTTATATATTCATGTACGCGTGCTCGCGAACCTAGACCAATCAGGTTACAGGGAAGATAAAATCGTCACAGCACTGAGCACCAACTGAAACTTTTAGAAACTTTGAGAGAATTTTGCCTTATATACATGTATAAGATTGGGTTTAATGAAAGATTCGTTTTGAAAGTCGCCTATTACATGGCTCTGCCAAATGCAACTTAAAAGAAAAAGTGGAAAGAAAAAGGAGGAGTTCAGATTAAGGAATGTATACAGAGAAGAAATGTTAGTCTGAAATATTAATGAATGTTCTCAACCCTTAAATGAAACTGATGAATGTTCTCAACTCTGATATGATATTGATGAATGTTCTCAACTCTAAAATGATATTGATCAATTTCTCAACTCTGATATGATATTGATGAGTGTTCGCAACTCCTAAAATAATATTTGTGAATGTTCTCAACTCTTAAATGATATTTTGAAAGTTCTCAACTCTGACATGATATTGATGAATGTTCTCAACTCTGAAATGATGTTGATGAAAGTTCTCAACTCTGAAATGATATTGATCAATGTTCTCAACTCTCCAATATTGATGAATGTTTTCATCTCTGAAATGACATTGATGAATGTTCTCAACTCTGACATGATATTGATGAATGTTCTCAACTCTCAAATGACATTGATGAATGTTCTCAACTCTAAAATGATATTGATCAATGTTCTCAACTCTCCAATATTGATGAATGTTTTCATCTCTGAAATGACATTGATGAATGTTCTCAACTCTGAAATGATATTGATGAATGTTCTCAACTCTCAAATGATAGAAAAAGTGGAAAGAAAAATGGAGTTCAGATATAAGAATGTACAGAGAAGAAATATCACTCTGAAATATTAATGAAAGTTCTCAACTCTGAAATGACATTGATGAATGTTCTCAACTCTAAAATGATATTGATCAATGTTCTCAACTCTCCAATATTGATGAATGTTTTCATCTCTGAAATGACATTGATGAATGTTCTCAACTCTGAAATGATATTGATGAATGTTCTCAACTCTCAAATGATAGAAAAAGTGGAAAGAAAAATGGAGTTCAGATATAAGAATGTACAGAGAAGAAATATCACTCTGAAATATTAATGAAAGTTCTCAACTCTGAAATGACATTGATGAATGTTCTCAACTCTAAAATGATATTGATCAATGTTCTCAACTCTGAAATGATATTGATGAAAGTTCTCATTTCTGAAATTATGTTGATGAATGTTCTCAACTCAAATGAGCGTTCTCAACTTTAAAATGATATTGATTAATGTTCTCAACTCTGATATGATATGATATTGATGAATGTTCTCAACTCTCAAATGATATTGATGAAAGTTCTGAACTCTGAAATGATATTGATGAATGTTCTCAACTCTGAAACGATATTGATGGAAGTTCTTAACTCTCAAATGATATTGATGAAAGTTCTCAACTCTGATATGATATTGATGAGTGTTCGCAACTCTAAAATGATGTTGATACATTTGTAATTGTTCTCAACTCTGAAATGATATTAAGGAATGTTGTCCACTCTGATATGATGTTGATGAAAGTTCTCAACTCGGAAATGATGCTCAACTAATATTCTGATGACATTTTATCATTTCGCAGTACAACCAACCCGTGTAACAAAGATTGCACTTGCACTGGCTCGCGATACGAACCAGTCTGTGGCCACGATGGACTGGTGTACGCCACGCCGTGTTTTGCTGGCTGCACCGGTGAACAGCAAAATCAGACGGACGACCCAATGGTCAATATCACGGTAAGACAACAAAATTGTTTCTTCTATACTTTCCGATTGGCAATTTCTTTCGTAAAAAAAATTAAAAAATTAATCCTCAGTTCAAACAGAGAGTGGACTCAATCGTAATTATGAGCCTTGCATACAGAGAATGAACTTTTAAACCGTTCAAAAAAGGAAGTGGAATTTCATTCAACTCTGATAAATATCGTGTTAGGATGGGAAATGTCACTCCTCCTAACATTTTTATTGATGCATCTGCTGTAACCGATCCGACTGCGACATTAACACCTGGGTGCCAGCGATTCTGTGCTATTCTCCTTTCATGCAGTATTTATTTAGTTGTACAATACAAATTTATATTTTGGACGCCTTTTATTCTTGTGCAAGCACCGAGAGTTTCTAGGCTTCCAATAAAGTGTTTGGCAATTGTTTGTGCGGTCCTTTTGTGTCTTTGAACTTGCTGGGTCATCCGCACCCTCGAAGCACACCACGGCTATAAGTAATACTCGACCAACGATCACTTGACTGCCACTTGTGCTGTGAAAACCAAACACACAAGATTTCTATTGCTGTTCCCAAAGATGGCCAGCGTAATCGTCCTGTATTCTGACTGTGTGACTTAGCCTGGTTGCTGGCTGTTCAGCCGATATTGGGCTGAACCCGGCCCATCGTGTACATTAGACACATGAGAAAGGCTTCCAGTAGGTAGCCATTCTGAGTCAATCTGGGCCTCTTTAAGGACATGTTTAATCAGGACCCATGTTCGGCACTATCACTATGAACAAATTCAGATAATAATCAGGTGCAAGCAATAGTTCTCATCTGAGTACATGTGGTGCAAAGCTTTTTTTCTACAAAGTAGGCTTGTCTGTTCGTAGCAAATACAGGTACCAATAACTCTAAGATTTTGATCAAAGTTGTGCAAAGAAATCTTACCTTGAGGCAAGCGCACGTTCATGATTGAGCTTTGATTAGTTTCAATGATGCAATGGGGTTATAACCAACGAAATAAGCAAATGACTCATAAATATTCACTAAATTTTTTTTGCTTATCTACTTGTTTTACCAATACAGGTGTACACTGGCTGTTCGTGCAGTTCAAACAATGCCACGGATTCATTTTCGCAACAAGTAGTGACGGGGCAGTGTCTGGCACCTTGTAACATGATCTACTATTGTGGCATCTTCCTCTTCTGCATCGTCCTATTCGGCACACCGGCCAAAAATCCCTTACTCATGGTGACGATGAGGTACTTTCTCCACTCTGTTCTTATAATGGAGTCAATGATATAGATGTATAAATAGAACAGGAATTATCACAGCATTAAATCGTCAGGTCAGGTGCAAGGTCACAGGGAATGAACAAATGACCTTTATCGTGCTGCCACCATTCCAGTCTTGTTCCCTGCATCCAATAACAGTACTGAATGATAATGTTTTTTGTGCAAAAAGGAACCAAACTGTTTTTCCTTCCAGCCTCGCTTTGGCTACGTTGATTTGAATTGGAAAACAATCAAGATTGCAGAAACAGGATTATGGTCTATAGACCTTTATCACACTACCACCATTTCAGTCGTGTTCCCTGCATTCAATAACAGTACTGAATGATAATGTTTTTTGTGCAAACAGGAACCAAACTATTTTTCCTTCCAGCCTCGCTTTGGCTACGTTGATTTGAATGGGAAAACAATCAAGATGGCCGCAACATGATTATGGTCTATAGACCTCTATCACGCTGCCACCATTTCAGTCTTGTTCCCTGCATTCAATAACAGTACTGAATGATAATGTTTTTTGTGCAAACAGGAACCAAACTATTTTCCCTTCCAGCCTCGCTTTGGCTACGTTGATTTGAATGGAAAACAATCAAGATGGCGGCAACATGATAATGGTCTACAGCTGCCCTCCCCACCCCTCCCACCATTGAAATCTTCAACTGAATAACATTTTGTGTCACTTGCCTTTTTGTTCCCCCTTTAAAAATCATTTGCACCCCAGGTGCCACTAGGAAATGTAATTCTAGTCACGTCACTGCTTGTGAGCTGTGTTGAGTTGTGATCGCTGTGTAATTTTCCTGTGATTACATGTGATGTGAATTGTAATGTACTTTTTTTGTGATGGGTTTGTGATGAGTTGTGATCGACTTGCGATGCCTTGCGATTGACTAACGATGACCTGTGATAGGCTGTTATGACATGTGTATATACATGTATTAAAAAATCTCAAACAACTTGCTTCTGGTCGACTGCAAAATTCACAATTCCTTGCTTAGTCTAATAAGATTCTTGTTAAGTTACTGAACTTTTAAACCTCTCCCTGGCTGGCGATAAGATGTTTTTTTACACTGCTGAAATTCTTAGCTGTGTATTCCTGATGATATAACTTCAATTCCTTTTGTGTTTAGGGGATACTGATAACAATAACATATTTTTTTCTGTTCCTTCAGATGTGCTGGAGACGATAAAACCTACGCTCTTGGAATGCAATCGCTATTTGGTCGAGCTTTAGGTAAACACCCATTCTCATTATAAAAAAAAAATTATACCCAATGGTTAATTTATGTAATTTTGCATTTTCACTCTATATTCAGGACTGCCACTTTTCCTAAGCTCAGTCGAACGCACCGCGACAATGTTGTATAATTTCTTGTTAAAGTTAAAAACTTCAAGTCATAACAGTGGGTTGCAATCCATGCAATCCATAGGAATGGGGAACATTCAAACTCAACTGGATATTTTCCATTTGCCAATAACCTATTCCCTTTGCGAGTTAACTTTGAACAACGTCTGGTACACTGACTTGCTAACGATGCTTGCCACGTTTTAACTTTAAATTCTCCAGACCAAAGACACTGTTACTATATCACATGATTCGGGGCAAGCTCTTACATGAGACGTTCAGCATCAATACATTGCTCACAGCCTCGCAATGGGCGGGGATGGCACAAAGACACCAGACCATTTCGGAGCTGGGGGTTGCTAGCGTAAGCCTTGCCCTGAATCACGTGATATAGCAACAGTCTCTTTGGTCTGGAGAATTCAAAGTTAAAATGTGCCACGCATTCAAGCAAGTCAGGGTACCAGATGTTACTCGAATTTAATTCGCAAAAATGGCTTATTAAGTCAGATTTGAGACTTCGTTGGATCATGGAGAGCAATGTTGGGAATGGTTTGCATATGTACTGTGAATGCACAAAACCTACCAGTTTCGAAATCATGAAACCTTTTTCACGGTGTTCTCACCTCTCTTTGTTCCAGGCTTTCTACCGGCTCCGCTGTACTTTGGGGCAGCGATCGAAGGCGCTTGCATCCTGGACCGAATCGAGTGCGGCGTGGCCGGCGACTGTCTAGTGTACGACTCGGTGACATTCCGTCTGACTTTCCTCGGAATCTTCCTGGCCTTGAAAGTAAGAACAAGATTAACACATTGGTTTGTTAAGAGAAAAGGACGAGATCCACCAATTTCTATACAGTGTAAAAGACATTTACAAGTGCCGAGGGTCTGGCCTTTCTGTTTGCAACGAGTGAAAATTCAATCTATTTGAGCGGAGATGAACTCCCCCAATGACTGAAGCAGGGTACCAGACGTTTTAGAGTGAAATTCATTCAATCAAACAGATTGAGTTTTCACTCGAGTCTTACCTGGATTGATTTTTGATTCAGAGTATTTCAGACTAATATTAGAGTTTTCCATAGACACATTGTAATTTTAAAATTGCATATTTAATTTTGACTATTAAATATGTGTTTTCTTTCTCTCTGTTGGGTAGGTTCTTACATTTGCCTGCTACCTTGCTGCCACGATTGGAGTGTACAGACACGCCGATTTTGACGGGAAGGAGGACAAATACGACCACGAAAAGAAGGTAAGAAGGGGCTGAAATCAAGTCTTTTAATTCATGAAATTTGCCAAACTTGGTCATGTTTTTAACGAATACAGGCTGAGTAATAAAACCAAAACCCAAATGTCGGGACTATTGTTTTAGTGAAGTTCTGCATGTAGCACTTTCAAAATCTAGTATATGAAAGCACAATTCATAAGCTTTCTTTTAGTACAACAATCATTACAATCATTTATGTACTTTTCAAGTTACGGAATTTTAAACACAACCACTGTTTTAAAGTTCTGTCTACGGATCACAAAAAAGGTTTGCGTTCTTTCAGCAAAACGAAAACATTTCACACACATCCCTATGTGATTTGATTTCGTTTGCTGAAGAACACTTACCTTTTTGTGATCCGTGGACAGAACTTTACAACGGTGGTTGTGTTTAAAATTCCGCAACTTGACAATTACATGAGTGATTTGAATAATTCTTGTACTAAAAGAAAGCTCATAAATGGGACTTTCATATCCTAGATTTTGAAAGTGCTACATGTAGAACTTCACTAAACAATGGTCCCGACATTTGGGTTTCGGGTGTTTTTTAACTCAGCCTGTATTAGGTATGGATGTTTTGGTCATGTCAGAGACAATGTAGTCTAATTAACAGAACACCTTTTCAGTATAAATTAGGCGTACACACCAAATCAAGATTGTGTTAACAGTAAAATTACTCTCGAAAATTCACACGGATTTATTTATAGGGGTTTAGAGCCCTGACCCTGAGTACGTTTCTGTTTATCAAGGTCACCGTGATCTGCGCAACAAGCAGATTGTTTTGGAATGACGTCATTTCTATAAATATCGGTACCGTGAGTGGTAACGCCCACCTATTCTTATCAACACAGAATGGCGACATGAAGAATGGGCTGGAGGGCAGGTACAACAGAGGCTACGATAAAGAAGCGGAGGCGGGGACCCAGACCGATATGACAACTTTTTGATTGAAACTTGACATTTGACCAAACCGCTTGAATAAAGCTTTAGAAAACACCTCCCAGATGTCTACCCTTTCAAAGGAATTGCTGAAAAAGAAACATCATGAGTTAATACAAATAAGTCAATTTTTGAAATTGAGTTCAACTCGCTCAAAAAACGTGAACAACCAGATATTATACATGCATAGACTCCACGACAAGAAAATGTCAGGACATGTAATTTTGAAGTTATATTAAAAAGGTGTACTACTTAAATTCTGATAATTCGGATCCAACCCTGTATCGTATTTAAATTTGTCTTGTGTGTCTTATATCCAAAATAGGAGGTTCAATAATACAATCATAATACACTTCAACAAAAACAAGGAGTTTAAGGAACATATTAAATTAAACAATAACCAATTAAATTGTACATCAGATTCGAACCAGCCAACCGGTCCCGCAAGCTCGGTGGTCGAGTGGTTAAAGACTTCTGCACTAGAAAGCAGGAGTTCGTGGGTTCGAGTCCCACCCGAGTGATTGTTTTTCCAACCTTTACGCAGGAGGTAACACATTGGGTATACATTGTTTTTATAAGTCGGTGAAGGGCAAAACCTAACATCACCCAGATGCAAATTCATCTTATGAATACTGAAAGATATAACGTTAAAAATAATTTGTCTCCTCTCGGACTTGTAATTCTCTTCATGGTGTCGACAAAAACTAAAGTGTTAAAAAGTATACTTAAATTTAACCTTTATCTTTTATCGTCTTTCTTAAGAAGCGCTTTTGTTACTGTACAGTATTCTTTTAAAAACTACCCCTCATCTTGTTTATATTTACACATGCTAGAACTGTTGTAATATTTGTGTGGTTTTTTTTTTTAATTTAAAAATTTGAGTGAGTGATTTAAAAAGATATTTTTTATATCTGAGTTGGAATATATAGTATTGAATAAAAACCAGTCAGCTTTGTTTACATACTTTTCTATTTAACATGTATCATTTTCCTTATATCTTCAATTAAAATTATCCATTATCTTTATAAAGTTGTTTTATTAAGTTTTCTCAGTAGAGTATGTATTTAGTTATATAAACCAATTAGAAGTTAAAAATTCACGGGTAATTGGATCTGAACCGCTATTTTATATACAAATGCACGCCACCTAATTTATAACGAAAGAATGTGTTAGGAAGGCTTGGATTAGTTTTGTATCATCAGTTTTGGTTCTGTATATAAATTCACAATCTATATTATTCACGGTTGACCTAAAACTTTGTGAGTTTCTTTCCATATGCCTTTTGTTTTACAGAATTGTAAGACGATAGAATCGGTCCCCTGCTCTCACTTATGCCCCTGCAGCTTGTCTTAATCACCAATGTCAACCGTCACTTCGAGAAATTGTTTGGTTTTGGTACCTTTGTCCCCTGTCATTCTCATGATCTACTGCCGTGCTTCATGTTCACATTGTATCAGCGGCGGCGGAACGCTTTTCAAACTGGGGGAGGGGGGCAACACCAAAATGGGGCACTTGCTCAGAAAAGGGGGCACCTTCCGTCGGTGTGAAAGTAAAGGAAAAGAATATGGTCCCGTTCATTTCGCTATAAACCTATAAGACGAGGAACAAATTATGAATATGTTGTCCATCTTGCTCTTTGTGTTTCTTTTACCTAGTAATGTAAAGAGACCTAGAGACCTTTTTTGTTTATAACGAGAGTTGCACTCGTTCAAGTTTTGTTTTCATCTCGACGGAGCACATTTATAACCTCTAGATGGGCATTTCTGTTGGCCTGGGATATTCTTAGGGGAAAGTGCCTTAAAGGAGCCGGGTTATTTTGACCATCTCACAGACGGGGGGGGGGTGGATTCCGCCCTTTCCCTCAGATTTCGGCCATTGATTGACGAAAAAATATGAAACTCGGTGCAAGCATAGAACAATTTAATATAAAGATACCCAAGAAATCTCATTACTATAGGTTAAAGGGTTTTGGAATTATCGGCTAATTTATTATCCATATGCACCAATAGTTATTCTGGTGTGTGTACACCACATATGGGGACATTTAGTTTGCGCGCAGAGCGCCGAAAAAAATTCGCTGCGCAGTAACCCATAGTCTGAATTTTATGGGTTTTTTGGGGGGGTATCCAAAGATGCAAAAGACTCGAGGCTAAAAAGTCAGGGAAGCTCGGGTTGGGGATTGTTTTTCAAGGGTATTGTAAAGAGATTCTGCCCCGGCCATTTTAGGGTTAAGTAAGTAGGTTAAAATTTCTGTCAAAGTGGGTTTCCTTCTTTATGCACCACCCTGTTTATACCAGTGTGGAGCATATTTTGATGGCAGTTAGTTTTACAACAAAGCGATTCGGGTCCAAACTCCAATTTTCACGGCGCTGAAAGCCAATCACGCATAGCAAAAATGCCATTCAAGCAATCTCCACGGGATACCAACCATACTATATCGGTAACAATGACTTGTAAATCAGACCAACCCTGTTATTCAACCTGACACAAACGTTTAGTTCCGATGTTTACGGATGAACAAGAATTGCTCGAGTTTAGCAGTACCATGGTGGGCATATCACCGCATGCAAACAGAAAAATCTAGGCAGAACTTGCTCAACTTGTTTGAATTTGAGTTTTCGAGTGGCCACTCAAATTCAGTTCAATATTTCTTCTTCAAAACTTTTAAATATCTGTAATGGCTCTAAAGGAGCGTTACTAAATAGTTAATGCTTCTGTGTAAAAATACAGGGTGTCCCAAAAATGTTGTGCAAGCAGATATCCTTTAATTTCTCAAAAACTACTTGACATGAGTATTTCACCTTGATGGAGCATATTGATTGTACCCTTGTGTATATTCAGTAAAAATGCCCTAAACATCCGTTCATGCAAACCAGAGATCTAACAGATCATAAAATGCTATGAGTTTCTCACCCATTCCAATGAGATGGGATTTACACATTTCAATTAATTTACATCGGAGTGAAAAGGCCCATGACAATCAATAGCCTTTTACAATCTGTTAGATCTCTGGTTTGCATGAACGGATTTCCATGGCATTTTCACAGATTGTACTCAAGAGTATATTATTGATATGCTCCATTGAGATGAAATACCCATGTTGCGTTGTTTTTGAGAAATTAAAGGATATCTCACTGCACACCTTTATGGGGGGACACCCTATATATCGCGGTAGTTGCCCTCTAAGGCTCATGAACTTTTACGATTTCCCCAAAGCAATTTTCATGATAGACTCGTCTTGAGACTTCAGCTAGTGCACAGGCCCATCGTCTGCAAGAGAGTATAACTTGCTGTTACTTCCGCCAAGGAGGTTATGTTTTCATCGGATTCGGTTAGTTTGTTGGTTTGTCTGTTAACAAGATAACTCAAAAAGGTTTGGACGGATTTACATGAAAACATTTGTAGGGGTGGTACTAGGTACTAGTACAAATCGATTAGATTTTGGAAGTGATCCGGATCTGGGGCTGGATCCAGGATTTGTTCTAAGGATTCTTCACCATTTATGCAAGTATTTCTTTTGGCATGTACTGACAATATAGCGGGGAATTGTTTAGCCTTGGCGGAGGTTTGCGCTCTCTGAGTGCTTTCTAGTTGAAAAGATGGAATCAAAGCACAACAGACCAGCAGGCCAAGCGCAAGTAGTTGAAGGACACCTGTATTTACCAGAGAAAATGCAAAATCGCAACGTCATAGCCTTGGCCCAGAAACATCCCTAGATGACTTATATTTAGAAAACAACAAATCTGGTACCCAGGCTTATTCAATGACAGTAAAAAGAGTTCATCGATTGACGTAAGGGACCACAATCTATTCAAACCTGGGTCAAAAGTATCTCGCGTGCCACGGGGTCCTGTTAGGTAAGGCTTTTGTGTATATGCACGTAAGTTGTTTTCATTTCAAGCGGCTCGAATCGTAAATCAAGGTTGCTAGAACAAGCCGAGGTCACTACAGCAAATACAATAGACGCTTTTTTAGACGGTGTCCTGGTAAATTATACATGGCATACCAGAACTGTATACCGCTCGTTGTTGTTAAAAGGAGGACAGTCCTTTACAAAATCCACAACAAGTTTGGGGCCGGGGGGGGGGGGGGGGCAAAGCCAACAATGGCGCACCAAGATGTTGTCTAGTGGTATCCTGAAACCATAATCACCATAAGTGACATCCCTAATCGTTCACATTCTTTTCCAAACACGCCTTTTAACAACTAATCTCTGCGTATTATGAATTATAAAGTCTACAACATCTGACATAATCTCAATGGACAAGATGGCAAATTCACCACTCAAGTTCAAAGTACTTGATGTGATGTGGCGTGTCCCCATTCGAGAATCCGCGAGGCGAATCCCTCTATAATATTCCATTCAACAAGTTAATTAAATTTCCTTTCTCGGATTGGAGCCGTGGTCCTGAAATAGCTTTTTATTGATTTTTATGACCAAACTGTTTGCGCAACTTCTCTGTTGTCCTTTGTCATACACTACTTCACACCAATAATACCCCATTTTTCAAGGTTTTTTCAATTCAAGTGGGAAACTGGCCAGAAGTGCAATCACAGCATGGTACGACAAGTGTCTCTGTGAGCAAAAGTGCCACTAGATCAAATTTGTTTAATTCAAATTCAAACAAAAAACGGGGGCAAACGTTGTTTGCGAAGTTGTAATGCTCACGCTACGCATATGATTATTTTTTACCATGATAACAATAATGAAAGCTGGAGTCTCTCCAAGAAAGCTTCTTGATTTGTCTTTAATGTAACTGTTGGTATTACAAAAGATTTCACTCTACTTTCATTTTTAAATTCAATAGCTAATGTATTTGTCTTTGAAATCACAGTCTATAGAACACTGCTTTCCCCTCCCCCCTCCCCCCCCCAAAAAAAACAGCTTTTACACCAAATAATGACAAACAAATGTGTCAATATTACACTACTTAATGATGTTTTGATCAACAGTTTTAAGCACACGAAACACGGCACGGTATACAATTTCCAAACAACCAAACGAACGGTTTGAGATTCCAGGATTCCCCATTTTTAAGAGGAAAAAACGGTGTGGGCTACCATGGACGCTGTGTGTGGTTTACTGTCCCACTCCTGCGACTGAGTCAACACTGTAGTCTATAAAGACGCTGGTATCTCTAGAGCAATTGAACTTGTGTTGATTTTGACGTTGGACAAGGTCGCATTATTTTCATCTTTACATTACAGGTGTTCCACAACATGGGGGTTGAGTTTAAAAGGGTTGTTCGTGTCAAAGACCGCTTGAGCAATCTCAGTATCATTGAAAATAATTATGACGATAGACGAACAATTCCTTCTGGTTAAACAGTGACATTTTTATACGAAACTTCAACGCTTTCCGTAGAATACAAAGTTGTTTTTATGCTTACTAACGTACAAAGTCTGCCTTGTTTTGCTAAATTCTAGATTTCCCTATGACATGCACCTACACAGCTGTGTACATAGCTGGAAGCGTAAGTTTTAAAGTACATTGTTGATTATTTTCCATTCATATTTGAGTGGAGTTTTCAAGATTGTTTGTTTCACTAGAAGCGCACTAGCCTGCAGCTGCTGAGTCATTGCTGTCAGGTACGCTTATAGGAATGTCACACACTAAACGATATTAGGTCCACAAAACCAATCGCCATAATCGAAAACATTTTCCCAAAGAAAATAAGCAGGGTCTCAGCAACAAAACGGTGACAGATTCGATATAAATACTGTTTGATCTCAAAGCAGTAACTCGGTGATTGATTGTTCACTATTATGTTGTCTGAAACCCTGAGGCAGCAAATACATTCATAGGCCGCGTTACCTGTGACGTCAATCCGACAGACAACCACCCGGCAACCCAAACATTTCAGCCTCTGTTGCAAATGGCCCACATTAAAAAGCACATGTCAACACGTTTAAACCGCTTATATTTCAATAGATATGTATGCGGTGCAGAAGAAAACTGATTGCATCACGTGATCACAAACCCAATTTTATAACAAAAAATAAAATTTAAAAAAAAATTGACATGGCCTATACAATAGTGTATGTTGCATAAAGTACATTTTGAGGACCAAATAAAGCATTTACGGTCAGGATCGTTACGACGGATGGTGTACTTTCGGAGCAGTAAAGTTGCGGCACCAAGCTGTGCAAGATACGATTTAATTCAGGATATGGAGCGTGTCGGTTGGCCCTACGTCATTTCAAAGAGAAATTGGCTGTTTGAAGACCAGGGAGTAATTTATGGCGGTGGTACCGCATGACCTCTTCAAAGCTGAGGTGTTTACTCTAGAGCTAAATTTCGACCAAGGCCAAGTATTCTGACCTAATTGAAACAAACTTCATGATATTAAAAGAATCATTCAGATGACCCAATTTCAAGACAGGCGAGGAAAACAGAACAAAAAATATAGAATTGATAAGACGACCAAATACCAAGAAAGGGGTTGGAAGAAAAATCCAACCACATCATACCAATTTAACATCAAAACACCTGTTTTGACAGTTCACTTGTTGATTTTGGCTTGTTTACCTCTATGTAGATGGATACAAACTCATACACACACAAATATATACTAGAATATGCCTTTATCCTTAAAATATATAAACAGTTAGCAAAGTATGTAGGGTCTGCGGTAAAACCAGGTGAATTTGATCTCTTTTGAGTTGTGCGGTTTTGAGAAGAACCAGTTGTTTTAACTCGACGTCACCAGTAGTGTCTCCTTGACGAACAGAGCACACTTTATTCGAAAATTAGAGTTATAACGGCTGGTTCTTGTCTGAAGCACACAACTCAAAAGAGATGGTGTTACCGCAAACCTTCCATACTTTGTTCATGTCAGCATGCAAACCTACAAGTCTCATAAATACTGTTGTAAAGTGTCGACGGAGGCTGTTTATTCTGACCTAATTCAAACAAAACGTCAGCGTAAGAACCGTTACTGTTCTTCAGTATGTAATTTTTGTTTCAAAATGGCGTGCAAAGACTTCAACAACTAAACGCCTTTATGACCTTGCCGTTCTGGGGGCATGATATCTTCAAAGGTTCAGGGATTTTGAGGGTGCTTTGCAGGGCTCTGTACGCCACCTAACCTAATATAGCTCACTTTGTCATGGGCACCACTGTTCGGCGATGTGAAACTCAGAATGACAAAGTGACTCGAAGTCTGAACAATACGACGTAAAATAAATATCGTTTTTTGTTCGCCCTGCAATCCACTTTCAATAGCCGAGCGAGGCGCGCGTGGAATTAGTTTGCCGGTGGGATTACTGACAGTATTCCAAGCTAACTTTCACCATTCGCATTCAGAGTGAAAATTGGTTTAAGTTCAAATCGTTTGCTAACAGAAGCAAGATGAAGTCGGCTTTTGATGCTTCCTGACACCAAAAGGAATTCTGAAGACTATTTGCAGGTAGTGAAGTCATGTTTAGTTGTTGTGCAAACATTTATTGAATTCCTCTTTTATCTGCCGGCGAAATGTATTATTTGCTTTGGAATGTTTACCACGTCCCTCTAGAAATTCAATGGCGCTATAAACCTCTGAAGCGTCAAGTTCGGGCTGGAGTAAATAGGCGTGGCTTTGCCCTATCGACAACAGGTGCATGTAAGTCAAAACCTGCGCATTAATAGGACTGGGTACTTCTCTTTCTGAAAACATCGGCCACTCGACAAAGTGAATCGAAGCCAGTGGCGGTAAGTTGTGTCTAGCACACGAGGTCAAGGTATTTTGTTTATATTTTAAAGGTGAAATTAAAAGTTACTTTACTAAAACCCCTTTTAGATTGGGGTTTCGTATAATTGTTTTTTTTTTCTATCGTGGCAGTTGCCTAAAGGCCATTCATCAAACTTGTTTGTCATGAATGCGTTTCATGTACAACAATGTCGTTCATTTCCATGGCATGTTGTCAACATTATAGCAAATCCTACTTTTTGCGCAGTCGTGTTCAATGAGTTGTAGTGGTGTGATATTTTGAACTAAGTAAATTAACAAGCATGACCGTTCCTGACAGAACTGAAAACTTCTTAATTACTTAGTAATCTACATGAACTAAACGTGTCCAATGTTTTTAATTAATAGGTTCTTCATCACAGGAATCATCTTTAAAAATTGAAGCATTATATAGCTTCTTCACGGATTTGATGCATCTTCCCATACTGTGTTTTTATGGTGAAATGTGAAGAAGAAAAAAAGTACATGCATTGTTGACAACAGTCCTTGGTGCTCCGACTAAACAAGGCTATGATATAGTCCTTCTGTGGATGATACCCCAATTTATACTGTCAGTAAGTCTTGGAGACTTTTGGGTTTTTTGCACAATGTATTAGTTTGTTTGGGTATCACTAAACAGCATTTATGTATGTATGAATACATAAATGGAAACAAACTAACAAGCAAACAAACAAATATTTATACAACTTGTATTGAATATGCGCACCTTGGTTTACTTTCCAGGTTCATCGGTTACAGATATCCAGTTATTAATTGAGGGATTCCAGAGCATCTCAAGATGTGCAGCCTCTTCCACCGTCCGGCCTTCTTCGGCTTTTGCTTCACCCTCTTATTGATCCTCCAGGTCAGCGTGGGGATCTACATCGGCGGGATTCTGACCACCCTGGAGACGCAGTACCGCATCAAGTCCGCGGTTGCCGGCATCGCCGTCTCGACCAGCGACATCGCCAGTCTGATCTCCATCCTCGCCGTGACTTATGTGGGGAAGAGCTGGCATCGGCCGCGGATCATCGGGATCCTCGCAATCATGACCGGCCTGGGTGGGATTCTTAGCGGGATGCCTCACTTCATCTACCCGGCCTACAGGGAAACTGGATTCTTTTCCGCCGGAAATGTGAAGTAGGTTTTCTTTCTTTTTTTGCACTTTTAAATCTAGTGTTCAACTTTTGAGCACATCATAATCCGTTGTTTGCAACAGTCTATAAACATTTAAACGCGTTCAAGGGGTAAAGGGGACGAACTTGTGTTCACAGAGTGCCCATCTCTCTTCAAAGCGATTAGGCCAGACTCCTCCATGTAATGCTGCTGTGGGGACCGTTACTCCTCCACAGCGAGTCTGTTACCTTCCCAGCATTTAATATACCGGTACCCATTTAACACCTGGGTTGAGAGGAGTACTTGAGATAAAGCGCCTTTACTCAAGAGCTCAACATGCGGCAACGGCGGGGCTCGAACCAACGATCTCACGATCATGAATCCTGCGCTCCACCGCACACGTGCAAAGGAGAAATGTCATTATTATAGTAAAAGGCCTAGATTAAATTTTGATTAATTCAGGAAGCTGCTGCCGTGTTTGTTGGAGTGAATCACAATGCCGGTACTATTTTCTGTGTCTGAAGCTGTGGTTTATAGAGTGCTGTGCTATAGAGTGCTGTGCTATTTGGAAGTCTGATTGTGGGCAACAGCTTTTCACCACACTTTTTATTCATTCAAGAACTGGCTAATATGAAAAGCGCTGTTGCCATATATTTGTATAAACTTATGTTTAGATTGAAAGAGTATGCTTTGCATTAATTGTGAGGGAGTCATCACAGAGAGTGTTATCAAGCGTCAATGTTTGACATAACAGTTTTACAACGAATGTGTTAGCTCGATTTACCGCTCTATCTTTACTTTGGAAACCATGGTTTAATTTAACAATTTTGTAGTGAAGTGCCATTTTTCCCTCTATTTTTGCAGTACGAGCATCACTCAGTGTGATGCCGAGCGAGAGGCCCCGGAATGCGAGGCCGGGGAAGGGGGGTCCCGGATCACCGAGATGTGGGCCTTGTTTCTCGGTCAGGCTATCATGGGACTGGCTTACGGCCCACTGTTCCCTATCGCCCTGACCTACCTGGATGATCAAGTCAAGGGAAGCACCACACCGTACTACATATGTAAGTAATGGCAAATTTCCATGATTGTTCCTACAATGCCATACACTCTTAAACGTCCCTGGTCAGATTCGACCCGGAATTCGGGTCCATTTGATCCCATACTTTTCAGGATCCAAACTAAAACTTTTCAGAATCAAAGCTGACACTTTTCAGAATCAAAGCTGACACTTTCCAGAATCAAAGCTGACACTTTTCAGGGTCAAAGCCGACACTTGTCAGAGTCAAAGCTGGCACTTTTCAGGGTCAAAGCTGACCCTTTTCCTGGTCAAAGTTGACAATTTTGTGAGCCACAGTGACACTTTTCAAGAAGTGTCTGGATATTTATGGGTCAAAAGGACCCTGCAATTGATTCATGAAATGACGAAGGTGTCATTTTGGCTCGGAAAAGTGTAAGTTCTGACCCTGAAAAGGTTCAGGCCAAATATAACCCAGACATCTGGTCATTCTGACCAGAGTCCTTGGTCAATCTGACCAGGTGTAACACCACTACTAAGGAACACCTGACTACAATGTTAAGTATTGGCTAAATCCATTATCAGATTATTACTTGTAAACTTTTCCTACAACTGCCATAACGCCAATACCTTACCGTTCTTCATCGATATTGATATTGGTAGGCCTACATTTCCATGTTTAGATGCTATTCGTACACTGTCATAACACCACTAGGCCTACTACACTAGTTACTACAAGTATTGGTAGATTTAAGTAACTGTATAGGCCTCATTGTTATTCCTCCTTTGCCAAGGTATCTTGGTAAACTTTATACAAAGTGTTGCTTTTGTAAATTTATCTTTATAGGAAACACCTTAGAGTTATTTAAGGTACCTTCGGGAGACAGGGGCATAAGGGCTAACTTTGATGTCTCCCTAATGCCACAGGAATACTCTAAATAAGTTTCTTGTCGTTTGTTAGTAAAACTAACAAAAGTTAGTTTTTCTAGGTGTGAGTCATTTAGAAATAGGGAAAGTTGGGTAAGGTGATGTCAACCGGGTCAAATGTATTTGTCAAAGAACATTTGTAAATACAAGTCTATGGGAATGTCTTCCTAATGTATCATTCCCGGGAATTATTTTAAGTTTTAAAATTTTCATTCTAGGGTTTTGCTTTTCACAGATATAACTTTAAAGAGCATGTTAATTCTAAGTCGCGGTTTTTTTTAAATAGCAGGAGCCTACATCTAAACTAGTGTATATACCAATATAAAAGAAAGTGCCAGCACAGGAAATTCTCTCAAACAAACGACACGAAAAAAAGACCAGAGAGTGCCAGAACAGGCAATTATCTCAAATGACACGAAAAGAGACTATAGGTGATGAGTCAGCGATACCCTTTCCGCATATGTTTCATATAGTCGGCAAAGCATCCCGGGGGAAGCATCACACCAACTTAGAGAGAAGACAATAAGAAGAAATTACAGTTTTAGAGGCGGGAGGAAAAGCCCAGAGGAATATTCTGGGGAAAACCACGGAATCAGGTAGGGACTGAAAACCCAATCCACGTACTGGCACAGGCGGAATTGGAACCCGGGTCACAGCGGTGGATGGCGAGGAAAGTACTGCTTAGTCAATCTAATCGTCCTGAATCTATTATCTTATACACTTAGAAAATATATACATATATATTGATCTATATCAGACACAAAGTAAACAAAACACCGAAAGAAAACTACGCCTACATAACTAGAAAACATGCCTCCAACAACCAAGAGCAAACGACTTACCCCCCGTCCCCTTTGTGGCCTTTCAGAAAGGGTACGGTAAACCATCACAAAAGTATCAGACTCAGGTTTGGTAAACAAAACCATTGGATCCTTTGTTGATTTTTACGTTTCGCATGGACGATATCGATAACCAAAAGTGCAAAGAATATTAAGCGAACGTGACTTTGTTAGAAGAAAAAAAAGAGGAGTGGTAAAGACTAATACGGACGTGTATTCAACATTGACGGGTAAAAATAAATATTTGTCTAAATTTGCATTAAAGATAATCTACATCACCAGAAGAGGTAATGCTTCTGGGGATACTTAATCAATTTCAGTGCCTATTTACAATTTAAGTGACAGGCAAAAATCACCTATTTACTGCTTTATTTTTGTTATCTTCTTTTAATAGAACTAAAAGATTCCATTATCACACGGGTTGCTAAAAAATGTTCAGTTCTTACTCAAAATAAGGTACATGTATTAACATAAGGAGGAAAGTGTTCATATTTCGAGGTAGGAGGAAAATCACAGGTTGATATTCCATTGAATTGGTCAGCAATGACAAGCCCTATCCACAGGCTGGTTAGGGTGGGAATTGAACCCGGGTCACACAGGTCAAAGGCCAACCTGACTTTCGTATATCCTTAGTAATATCTCAATATTTTGAAAAGCAAATTAATGCAAGCTGCGGAAAGTGTTTTAAGTTACAGACAACTTGGAATAATTTTTGTCACGTTTTTCCTAAACAATTGAATGAATTTGGAAGTCTCCTTACTGCATCTGTAAAGTACCAAAATGCCAACTGTCTGCCTAGAATGGCTTGACGTTTCAGAGCAGATGTGTAAAACGACGACAATCACAAACAGATTGCAAAGGACAATTTATCCACGCAAACAGAACGCTGATTCAGGGATTAACTTTAAAAAAAAATTCTGTAAGTGAAGTGAGACAAAACACTTGCACAATATTTGTGAGTGAAAGTACAATAAGGCCAAATAAAAAAAAACATGTTTAGCGTCCCCACCCGATCCCTTTTTGGAGGCCACCTCCTTTTTTTTAATTGAAAAAAAATGATACATTTTAAACAGTGACATTTTTTTCCTCTTTGTCCGTTGCATCTAGGCCATATAAAGCTGGTATGTCATTTCCTGAGTCCAAGTGGCGGCCATTAAAAAAAAAAATAGCTGGCGGCCATCTAGAAAAAAAAGCCGGGCCGGTCATTCTGGAAAATGGGTCGGGCGGTCATTATGGAAAAAAATAAGGGGGCCTCCTCCTTCCTTTTTTTTCAAAAAGGAAGGACACTAAACATGTTTTTATTTTTTACTCGGCCTGATAGGCAAGCAAGGCCTGAATTAACCTATGTGCGCAAAAGAATCCACAACCTTGTCAGGAAAGCGAAATTTCTCATGCACCCAGACGATTAACAAAAGAATCATGAGGTGATTCATTCTTTTTTGTTTGCAGGTTTCTTGTGTGACACAAACTTTTATCACCCGCCATTGGAAATGTCGATCAAAACAATAAAGATTTTGCCCCTGGCGCTAGACGTCTATCAGCCGTACTAAGTGGCACCATGCACGAGACGAGTGAACTTGAAAAGAAGTTCACTGCTTTGTCATGTATGATAGACTCTTATAGCTCTGGTTCACTATTGAATGAATGTTCCCTTTGGTCCTTCCTCCACCTGGGGTAGTCACTTGTCAGGCCCTATTGTCGTGTTTGATTTGGCGGGAAAAGTACTGGGCTTATGCCCATTTCATCCCATGTGCTTGTGTACAATTGCCCCTGTTGACATGGATTGAAATGGATTGCCCCTGCTGACAAAATGGAACAGTCTTTTCATATCCACCCGGCAATTCTGTGGTTTCTATGTCTATTGTGGTCTAAAGGATGCCACGAATGATAGATTGTGGCTAGTAGGGGGTTGGAAGGCGGGGAGGCTCAAATTTATATTGCGCTAGGCAACTTTTCCAGGCAGTGGCCAGGTATATTATCAGTAGAATTACTCAACCGGCTCCCCGAAGGATTAACTAAAAAATCTTTTCGTCATTTTTAAATGTTGGCCGATAAAGAAAATACGACAATTATCAGTTGATATAATAAAATACAATCGGCTCATTTCCTAATAAATAGTAGCCTGTCTTTTAAGTTAGTTCTTAAAGATAACTTTCCGTTTTTGTTGGTTTTTTTTTTCGCGTTTCACGCAATAAAAAATCAGAGGTTTCTTTTTTTTAGTACTATTTTTTAGAGCATTACAAAGCTACTCAATTTGTGTAAAGAATTAAGGTGCCCCCTAACAACATTGATAATGCAGGGCACGGGAACCAAGATTCGCCAAGATTGTTAATGTACATGTACTTCAAGAAAAAAAGGTACTTTCGCGTAAAGGAATCCCCTACTCTTCTTTTTCGAAAGTGGTGTACTCGTCGTGCAAAATGAGTAAAATATTTCACTTGGATCTATCCACAGCGTTCTTCTTGACGGCAGGTTCAGCCGCCACTATAGTCGGTTTCGGCCAGGCGTTCTTGTTCCTCACACAGTTTGTCAACTGGCCGGCCAAGTTCGACCCTACTATTCACCCGGAGTGGATCGGCGGCTGGTGGATAGGTTTCATCCTGGACGGCATCATCATCCTTGTCGTCGCCATCCCGTTCTTTTTCTTCCCCAAGGAGATGGATGTTTACATCAGGGAGGAGGACATCCCGCCCGAGAGACTGGCTAGGGAAGGAACAGGGGGCCAAACAGTTACCCAGCTTGGGGTCAAGGGTAGTTATGTTTTTTTTATTATTTTTTTTTATTTCTTTCTGGTAATGAAATCAAGGGTCCCTCAAAAGTGCCTTTAGCACTGTAGCCCGAAAGCCTGAAGAAACCTGTAGAGAGAAGACACTAATGACAGTTATAGAGGTGGAAGGAAAAGCCCAGAGGAATATTCTGAGGGAAAACCCACGGAATCAGGTTGGGACTGAAAACCCAATCCACATGTTGGCCCGGGCGGGATTCGAACCCAGGATTCGAACCCGGGTCACAGCGGTGGAAGGCGAGGAAAGTACCGCTACGCCAACATGATTTAATCATACAAGGATTGTATTATGAATCATATGGTTCTTGTCAGAGGGGTGACGTTTGGATTGGATTTTTCAGGGTCAATGGTTCAAGCTACTTCAAAACAGCACTCACAGTGTTATTGCTAATTGTGAATAGGAAACTTATGGAGTATGAAATTTTGACCGAAAAATCGTGAGTAATGAAACGTTTCAGATAACTGCACTTCGTTCTGGAGCATGATCTCACAGTAAAGTTAAATGAATCTGAAGGGGCAATGTAGCTCGAAAGCCCGAAGAAACCTATGCGGAAAAATTGATGACGATGTGCTCAGTTTCCGAGGTAGGAAGACAAAAGTCTTGGGACTACTAGGGTTAAACAAAAGAAACGTTCTGTGTTGCTTAAAGAGTAACCAAAGATATTGAATGTAAAAGCTTCCTCCATTATAAAATTGACATGAAGAACTAATATGGGTGCCTATTTCTGTTGTATGAGTTTTCTGTCGAAAATTACACATGGTTTGCACATATTAAAAGTGGTTTGTGTCCACAGGGAAGTACATTTGTAACTGTAGCCAAAGAACTAAAGTTTGACTCAAACTGTTACTCTTGGGTTTTTTTCCCCGCCAGATTTCATGTCCTCCACCAAGCGAATCGGCACCAATGCCGTCTTCATGCTGCTCATGACGTCAACCATCTTTGAACTGGCCGTCTCTGCTTCCTTCGGGTTTTTCCTGCCCAAGTTTTTCGAGATCCGATACAACGTTGCTCCTGCGTTTGCTGCTTTGCTTGTCGGTGAGTGGATGATCTTAAACTTGTGATTTTACTGAACCGGAGGGGCCAACCTATTGACCTATTGCGGTGGAATCGCGTCAACGCAGCTTGTGAAGTATTGTCCAATTATACAAATGGACGCGGAACGCGCAACATCAATTTAGCGTACAAAAATGCCATAGGGGTGTCTAAGGGGCGTGGCTAACTTGCAAACGGCGATAGGTCAATTGTCTTCTGACTGGATGAGTCACTGACTGCCTGACTGAGTCTCTCCCCTATAGACAGACTATCTGACTGACTGTAACTGTCTGACTGACAGCTGGAAGCTAGACTCCGCTTTTGCAATTTGTAGATGCGTAGCCGGCTGTCTTAAATCTACAAACTCCGAGAGCCTGCACACACTACATACATTTCTGGCATCGCGCCACAGAATGTCCGGATGGCAGTAGCCAGTAGGCCGAACGGCAGAAGAAAGTCACAGATGACACACAGTCACTGTTATGGGCACACCTCCACACCAGGCTGACTCAAGTCATGTAAGACATTCTGTCAAGTGTAGAACCCCTTGACAACTCTCCAGCTGAGGAACGCCTGCTCAACGCATGGCAAGGAAAGCTCGCCAACTTCACATGAAACATGAAAACTCTAGTTGCTGAATAATTTTATCCAACAGCACCGTCGTGGTACAGCTTTGCGCCCCAAGACCAATTTAAGTAGGGCACAATAGATTGTTAGATAGATACGGACTGACGGAGTCAGTGTATGGAAATAGATGCTGCAATGTTCTTAACTTCGACTTTCGAGCTCAGATCGACTAGACAAGCCTAATGTTGCTTAATTTATTATTTCGTCTTCAAGCTTATTTGAAATCAGAATTCAGTTCGCAACGTTCAGTTCGCGGGACCTAACTGACTGACTGACTGAGTCTCTGAGTATATTCCTGAACTGATTTTTTGATTTCTTATTATTGATTCCCCTTTCTCCCATCTTAGGCATCCTCGTGACGCCCGGAGCAGCTATGGGCAATTTTTCCAGCGGCTTCATCGTCAAGAAGCTCAAGTTGACCTCCAAGGGCTGTGGGTCCATGATCTTGGGCCTGACCACCATCGTCACCTGCTGTATACCGGTCATCTATTTCCTAGGCTGTCCGGAGGAAAACTATGTTGGTTACGTCGATGGCGTTTTGAGGTAGGATTTACCGCTGTTACGTTAAGTCGTGCACAAATGGCCCGTCAGGCTGGCTTGTATCCCCGGTCTCACTGACTTAAAACGACTGAGAGTAATTTAATTCCCACTGGATGGGATACCAGTCCATCGCAGGCTACTCCCTAACAAATGCGGGTACCCACTCATACTCCTTGGTGGAAAGGGGACAGTGTGTGTGTGAAGTGGCTTGCCCAAGGACGCAACATAGGGCCAGCAGCTGGATTCAAGTCCCTGACTACTGAATCTCTGACAAATTTACAAATAAGGGTATAATCTTACCTTGTGGACCAATATACCTCAAGTTTCCTTATAGATTATTTTCTGTTTATTCGCCCCCAACAAGGCTAAAAGCCACTCGATGTAAAAAGGCCAAAGGGGCTGGTCAGGGAAAAAAAGAGGAAAACTTGGAAGCTGAAGGTACGTGTTTACATTCTGCTTACAAGGGAGGGAAACAAGTAGCAGGCACAGAATTCCAAAGAGATGCAACACGTGGGAGGAAGCTAAAGAGTGGGAACATGCATAAAACCTGAAGGACCCAGGTCAGATAGACCAGTGCAACATTTGCCATGGAGGTACCTATTGAACATAGAAAGAGTGGACACAGACCTACGATGTGAGAGTGACTGTACAGAGGAGCCAAACTCATCACCACTCAAATTAACAACGACTCTGCACCTTGTCTAATAGATTCCATTACAAGATCTAAACAAGTCAATTACTAGTCATCCGGTCTCAAGTCACAAGTTATTCAACTAAAGCCAAGTCAAAAGTTATTCAATTAACAGTGGGAAAGGCATTGCATTGTTATTATTCATCCCGTGTTGCTTGTGCTCAGAATTGAGTTTAAGAACTTGTGACTATTTTGAACTTGGCAATCTGACCAGACTTGGGTCAATGCGATCTGTGATAGACTCGACTACAATACTGCTTTCCGCAGGATTCCAAGCCACAAAACATAAATTAAGTAACACTTAATTTATGGATGACTGGTCATTCTATTTAGCGCATCACAACCCATTCAGAAGAAGGTTATAACCATGGAAATGCAAATCAGAAGCACAATGGAAAAAGCACTGAAGCCTGTACATCCAAGACATACACAGACGTACGTGTACAGTTTCATTGATAGTTGTGCCTGGAACAAGACAGCAGACATTTTCTGCTTGACAGAATCAAATTTTCACCGCCACTGCCCCACCGTCCACTCACACAAAACTTGTTATTAAAATCAGTATCACTCGAGGGTAGAGTTCTTATAATGTCAACAAGGTGTAGATTTATAACAAGTAGCAACTTAAAGTAGACACTAAGGTCAATAATCTTGTAAATCAGATTAAATGATGTATTGATTCTATGTATTAAAAAAAGCTAAAGCAAAAGATGTGATAACTTTCATTTATTAATATAGTAAAAGTTTGTTTTTTTAGAATTGAATAATCAAAAGGACTCCTTAACCCCAAACTCATGCTGTAATTCAAAGTTACTTGTTTGGATATTGATGACCAGAAGAGACATAAAAACATTATAGTGTACTTTCAGAATAATAAAAAGTAAAAAATTGAAAAATATCCTTCAATTTATATTGTTTTGTTATGCAGCATTGATACTGAGTGCAATATGAACTGTGGATGCACCATCGATCAGTTTAAACCCGTCTGCGTAGCCGACGAGTACGCGTACGTCACTCCGTGCTTAGCAGGCTGCACCGGCATACGCGAGGAAACTTCAAGGACGGATGACCCTGAAGTCAACCTAACGCTTACGGTAAGAACTGGGCCCAATTTCATTAAGCTGCTACTACAGCGGAAACTTTGTTTTCGAAATTGACTCGTTAGAAAATCAGCGGATCCGGACAAACTGGATAGTGTGGTTATTGGATTTACCTTGGATTTACCTTAGATGCCCTACATCCATCTTTACACCGTTGTGATGAAGACGTGTGGCTGGGTTAATTATAAGAGGGCTTTTCTACCCATTGAAAAACCCAAATTTTGAAAATCCTGCTTAAAGCAGAAGGGTGTAGTCGCTTGGGTGGCATTCTCTGGTAGCTTAATCCAAGGCTCCACTACAGTCTGGCTGTACACGAATATGCGTGTGTCAAGTCTTGGTCTTGTCTGAGTAAACTTTTGTGGATGTCCTACGGTGCTCTGGTATGGGTTGATTTGGTCTATCAGCTGGTACATGATCCTGTATGTCTGGATGAGGTCCCTCCTATGTCCTCGTTATTGAGGCACAAGTACTGGTAAGCAGGTGGTAGCGGTTTTTTTTTAAGTCTTTGCTGGACTCAATTTCATCGAGATGTTAATGCAGAAATATTGAAAACACATTTATGTGCTAAGCAAAAACATTAATCTTCAATGAAGACGGGTCACATTACACAACATCACTTGACATTTTGGCTACTTACCTGTTTTAATCAGCAAATATTTTCAGTGCCGAGCAAATTTCTGTGTTGATCGATCTTTGAGACCTCATCCCTAAATTCCACATTCTCCTTTGGAAATATCCTTGGTAGATTAACACTGGATGTTGACTTGGTACAGGCCTACGATCGTGTCGGTTCTTTTCAGAGGACAAGCTTCGAGACTCTTCATCTCCTCCGAATTCTTTCCTGTCACATAATGTTTGTACAGAATTTGATTATTTTTGTTTTGGTCAAGTTTTCTCATTTACCCTTGGATTTTTGTCCCCCAGTTTTACACTGGATGCTCTTGCACCGCCGATTTGGAGATCGCCAGCGGGCCTACCTCGGAGGTGAGCGACGGCAAGTGTTTAGCTACATGTGACAAGATATTCTACGCTTGTGCGCTGCTCTTCCTCATCGTGTTGTTTGGTTCTATGGTGCAGAATCCTCTTGTCATCATGCAAATGAGGTAAATCATGACTAGAAAGTCGGGAGTCGGGTTGGCGCAGTGGTTCTTTACCCGCCGACCGCCGTCCACGTTTATGGTCCTGGTTCGATTCCGGTCCTGGTCTACATTTGGATTGGGTTTTTCTGTCCCTACCTGATTCCTTTTAGAGTTTTCCAAAACTGATGTTTTTCTCCCAAAGTGTTTTTTTTTCTTCATTGACTCCTCTCTATGGGTTTCTCTGGGCTTCCGAGCTACAGTGCCTGGGGCTCTTGTGGGGAATCCTTGGTTTCATTACCAGGAACTAAATTACTATAACAACAATGCTCTATTCTGTGAAAATCACAGAGGTAAACTCAAAATCAATTGTGTTCCAACCTTGGAACACGCGCCCTCCCTTAAAAGATGGGTATATCTGCAAGATAAGAGCCGTTTCCTAATTCAAAGCCCGTTCGAATACGGGACATAGGCCTAAGGTTAGAAATTTTAGACGAATTTGGTACGGGAATATATCTGAAACTTCACAATATGCAATAAAGACAGCACTTCTAGTGATCCCTACCTGGACTTTTGTCCCTAATGGAGTGGTCTCATAGAAGCAAGATGCAAAGAGGGAATACTTAACCTTCCACTCGTGTTGTCATACTTGACATTAGTCAACAGAATACTTTAGTAAACCGAATATGTGTGACCTCTTTGATAACATTGTACCATAGAGCTATGTTGAGTATTGCTCTTTGCGTTGGTCTCAATGTACACCTGAAATTATTTGCCTTTTACAGGTATTAGAAGTAGGGCACAATTTTTAATATTTAGGAAAAGGGCGGAGGAGGATCGGCCCAACGAACGAAATTCCAATCAATTACCTGTATAATTCAACTACAGAAATATTTTGAATTGGCACTGAAGCCGAGGGCCCTATATAGTGTTGTTGTCTTTTGTTGAGAGGTTTTCAACAAGAAAAGGTCCTCAATTCACACATTGGGTTAGCACTACGAGCCGAGTTTTCAATGCTAGATTTCAACAGCTCCTACCCTATTCTTTTGTGACAAAAAAAAACCCACACAAAAACATCAATTACTACATGTTACCCTTGGCTACATGCAGACGCCTCCATTAGGATAGAAAAAAGCCCCAAAAAATATTCCTTACCTGTCTAACCTATCTTCGAAAGCCATGTAATTGGAAGCAGAACTTTTTTGGCCTTAGGTCACTGTGTTAATGTTTTTGTTTTCTAATAAAGGAAATACATTTTTTTTTTCGTGCAGAGCTGTTGGAAAAGACAAAACGTTCGGCCTCGGTATCTCAGCATTCTTCAGCCGAGCTTTAGGTAAGAACATAGGAGCCAAACAAAATATACAAATGTAATCTGGCACTGGACCAAACAGAAACAATTGCTAATCAATTTCATGTGCCATGGAAAGACAAGTAGAAAAACTCTTATCACAAACCAAATACATCCCATGAAATTATGGCTGGTAGCTGTTTTTGTTTAGCACATTATCGTCCGTGCTTTATAACAATGTCTTTGCAACTTCTTGAAGTTGGCACTGATAGGTTCACGCGTGTGGAACCTGCCGGCGCGCTAGCTTTGTGCAATGAGAACTGCAAGGACAAATGCACAGTTTCATGTCCGGCAGGCTACATTGCAGTGATTTAATTTTTTTTTCTCACACAGTAATTTATTACCATTCGTCTTTTTTGAGTTATGGGCACAATAAAACAAAACAACAATTGTTGAGTGCTGTGATGTTGGATATGTCGTTTAAATGCGCCCCTCAGGTGTTAAAACAACCCATCCCACATCACAGCAGTCAACAATTGTCATCTGTTTTACAGTCAAACCTGCACTCTTAACTGTCCCGGATCAGAGTCGACGTGGAATCCGAGTCAGATTTGACCTGAACTCTTTTGGGTCATAAAAGGCAATAATTCGTGTAAAAAAATGTTATTTTTGGTCAAATTGACCAAGTTTGTGGTAAATGACATGTTTGGTGGTAAAGTGACAAGTTGTGCGGCAAAATCAAGTGACTATATTTGTGCGTGAAAAAAATATACTTTTTTTTCGAATCTAACGGCCCGAAAAGTGATTCAGAAACGTAATATTTTGCGCCGGAAAAGAGTCAGGTCAAACCTGACCTGGGACATTAACAAGTGGGACCACACTTTGTTTAGAGACCACACATCCAAACAATTAATTGGCTCAAGCAGAACCCCCTTACAAAAAAAGGTCTAATCAAATAAAACTCATTCCTTACCCTTTCAACTTCCCAGGGTTCCTACCAGCTCCATTGTATTTCGGCGCAGCTATTGATGGCGCCTGTGTCCTGGAACGCGATGAGTGCGGAGAAAAAGGAGATTGCCTCGTCTACAACTCCGAACTCTTCAGTGTGACGTTCCTTGGGATCTTCTATGGCCTGAAGGTAAGTTAAAAAAAAGCCACATCTGTAAAAGAAATCAAGCTAATGAGTTGGGAAAACATGCACTGGAAAATAAAACAACATTTTTCAAACCTAATGTTTACTTTCAATAGGTACTATTCGGCGCAGCTATTGATGGCGCCTGAGTTGGGAAAACATGCACTGGAAAATAAAACAACATTTTTCAAACCTGATGTTTACTTTCAATAGGTACTTGTAAGGTTAAAGAAATAGTTGCCTTTTCAGTGGTACATTCATGACAGCCCATAGAGAAATCATGCACCAGAAAATAAAACCCAACATTTGTAAACTACTTCAAATGAATAATTGTACAAATACATTTAATGATATGGGCAACAAGGTGTCGCTTATATAGCGCTCCAATGCTAGGTCTCAAAGCGCTTTACAGGCAATGAGACCACTTTTCTGCAGCCGAGATCAGCGCAACATGGTCTCTCTCCTAACAGGTACCCAATTATACTCCTGGGTGGAGAGAAGCAATTGTAGTAAAATGTCTTGCCCGAGGACAGCACCATGTTGCCTGTCAGGGTCCAAACCCATGTACCATGGCACATGGGTCGAACACCGCAACCGCTGGACCAAGGTGCTCTCGCAAAATTCTACTCCATTTCTAAATTGTATTAAAACACCTCCAATAATTGAAATTTTAATATCAACCAAAATAAGAGAAAGAAAAGCACTGCAATAATTTTGTTTAAAGTTCTATCAATATAATCGAGGCTCACAGAGTGTGTGTAAGTATGACTTGTTATTGAGTCTGTCACAGGTGAATCGCAATTTAATCCAAATCAATAACAAGTCAATCACAAGTCAATCACAAGCCAAGTCAGAAGCTAGTACATTAAAGTATACTAGTACATTAAAGGTCATCATTATCAGAGGTAATTGCAAGTAAAACAAGTCAATCACAAGGCAATCAAATGTCAATCAAAAGCAATCACAAGTCAATCACAAGTCAATCACAAGTTAGATCACAAGTCAGATCACAAGTCAGGTCACAAGTCAATCACAAGCATCACAAGTCAATCACAAGTCAGACAACAAGTCAATCACAAGCAATCACAAGTCAATCACAAGTCAGATCACAAGGCAATCACAAGCCAATCACAAGCCAATCACAAACAATCACAAGTCAATCAAAAGCAATCACAAGTCAATCACAAGTCAGATCAGAAGTCAGATCACAAGTCAATCACAAGTCAGATCACAAGTCAGATCACAAGCCAGATCACAAGTCAGATCACAAGTCAGATCACAAGTCAGATCACAAGTCAATCACAAGTCAGATCACAAGTCAGATCACAAGTCAGATCACAAGTCAGGTCAGAAGTCAGATCACAAGTCAGATCACAAGTCAAATCACAAGTCAGATCACAAGTCAGATCACAAGTCAGATCACAAGTCAGATCACAAGTTGTCATAAGTATTAAAATGGGCATGAACACTGTCAAAGTGATTCCACCTAGCCTGTCTCTAATTGACGAGCGATGACTTACTTTACCTTTTATCTTGCCGACGATAAACATTATTTATTTGAAACTATTTTTTCTGGCTTTGCTTTCTACTGTGACAGCTCTGCAACCTGTTTTTCTACCTCATGGCAACACTTGCTGCAGTCTGTCGGGACAGAAATGCAGCAAAGGAGGGCGAGGACATCAAGGTAGGATAAAAATGTAAAACTTGAGGAGCACAACTCTTGCCGAATCCATCACAAGTCCATCGTATGCTCTGTTAAAAGTCAATCACAATGTCCGCCACGAGTCCAGTCACAAGTAACAACAAGATGAACAACATAACAATTGTCACAGTTAAAAGCTTGGTATGTTTTACCTCAGACTTGAGGACTTATAATCGACAGACTTTTACATCATCGGCGACTTTTTTTTCCCTTGTTTCAGAACCGCAAAGATATCGACGTGGAAGTGGACGGTGTAGATAACAAAGGTTATGATAACACTGCATTCTGATTCCATGCCATCTCATAACAAATTGGAGTTTAGAGACGGAAGCGCCCTCTGTTGGTATGAATTGGGGAATCACAGTCAAAATAGTCTTGTTTAATACCTACACTGAGCGTTTAATAAGCCCATACAAAGTCTTAAACAAACCCAGGCTATAGCCGTCGTTTTGTTCTGAAATATAAGATTTATGCTATTGCCCAACATATTCTCATCTATTTCTTTTTGAATACATAGAGAAGTTATTTTATACTGTTGATATATTACATCAATATTATGCTATCCCGTTTGTCAAAATCTCATATTTTGGTGTTTTTAATCTTACCGAATTACTTTGTGTTAATGGTTTTTTTTTATAATCTTTTGTAATTTTTTGGTGATAAGGAACTTTTCATACTATAATTTGTTGAAAGAAAAATATCGGAAGTAATTGTGGAATTTGATTGTGGCTTTTAATTTCTGATGTCTAAAACACTCTATCATTTTTTGTAACTAAACATTTTTTCCGTAAAAATATAACCATTTTCTATATTCCATATTCAAAATAGTGTTTTGTTTTCTTACAAAATGCGACAGAACACCGTTCATTACTGTTTTGTATAAACTCATCGTCAAACAAAACAATAAAGTCGTTTGTTGTTGGTGTACTGTGAGCAAAATGAAACAAATATTTAACGACTTTAAGTAAATATGTATTGAATATACTTAGTTTTATATAAATAAAAAATGAGTACACAGTGAGGAGGCAATTGATTTCATTCATATTTTGTAACCAAATTAGCCGATGTAATATACGTTTCTATAATTGTACACGTGGAACATTGAGTGAAGTGGCAAATTTTTAAAGCTCATTTTATAAGGGTCTATATTTCAGAAAATCTTCTTATTTTTACCTCATTTTTAAAACTTTAATAGCTGTAGATGTTATGAATAGGAGAATAAACCATATTTATTCGGGTTACAAAGGTTTTGTAGAAAAAAAAAGTCTCGGTTCAGTTATTTTAGAGGGTTTTTAATCTCCTTTTTAAATATCTTGTTTCGAGTGCCGGTAGACTCTTCTGATGGATATCATTTTCCGGCATGACATATTGCAAAATCCCCAATCTTCCCAACCCCTAAAATGAATAGAGTGCATGCTGAGCCGACCCAAAAACTAATCGCGCCTGCTTAGTTTTGAAGGATCAACTGGCAATGACATGTACCTATAACTTACTAACCCTTCATCTATGCTATACATGCAATTATTCTTTCAGACTTGAAAAGTTTATTGGCAAAACAAATTCAATGTTGGGCTGCAACAGATTCTGAAATGGCTCTTCCTGGCACCATGAGACCATTTAAATTACCCCGAGTCTTGACACCTGTAGACACTCGAGAGGCCAATTCACCTATGTATCCCCTGAAGTGTATTTGGCCCGACGAATATGTGTTTTCTTTACCTTTCATTTTGAAGAACACACTTAGCATTTTTCAATCGTTAGTCTTTGATATCTTATCTGATCACTCATGTGACAGGGTAATTCAACCATTTGCTTTTGACATCACCGTCATGGTGCTTGTAGACAAATGTTATCGCCAATAATATCAGAAGTGTCTAAGCACGCCATTGTTGAAAAACGGCAACGATGACACATGGTAAATGGGTCTCGTTTGTGAAGCAAATATCGTGTGCGAAACTGCTGAATGAGCGGATCCAGAAAGGGTTGAGGACCCAGCCACTACTTGAACTTGAACTTTGAACTTGAACTTTTATTCATCTCTTAATAATATTTTACATGAGTACAAGGTAATAAGCAGGTTTTAAATACAATTTATAGAGATGCAGAATCCATAAAAGGGCTTAGCTTATGGGTATGGACCCCGAGATGAACACGATTATAAACACAAACAACTAGATTATAAACACAACAACATGTAAGTAACGAAGTAATGGGGATGGAAGGCAAACCGGACAAATGAAAATAAACTTCAAGAATAAGTAGTTAAAAATGATGATAAAACAAAATCATCATCAAAATCAGGAAAAACACCTCTGATTAGTAGCTAAAAGTAAACAGTGACAGAGACTCAAAGTTGAACAAACAAGAGAAAATTGATTACTCAATCAGGGTGAAAAGAAAGAGTACGTACATGTCAATAATTATATTAGAATAAAATGATCAAAAATTTATTGGAGCACTTAAAGTTCAAATTATGACAAAATAAATAGCGAACAGGGATTAGGCGTATTTGTTAAAGAGGAATTGCTTGAATTTGTTTTTGAACATAATATCAGATTTGGTTTTTTGCAAAGGCCGCTGGAGGGGGTTCCATAGCTTTGGACCACTGATGACATGTTTTCATTAAGAAAGACGAGCAAGACCCCCCCCCCCCCGCCCCCATTTTCCAGCACCCATCCCCCAGCAACCAGAACCCATCCTCCAGCACCCAGCACCCAGCACCCAGCACCCAGCACCCAAACCGGGACAAATGATATCAGCGAGCACAGTTTTCTAAGCCTGGGTTGGTATAAAATCTGACAGCCTGGATTCCGAGATAGCAACTGAACGACAGATGGCCCTGATGTTGTTTAGCGTTCGGAACCAGAACTTAGATCAAATTTTCCAAAACCTACATGGAAAAATCTATAGTCTCGAACATTTTCTTTAAACTAATGGTAATCACTGAAATGTCTAGCCACTGATGAAAACATGTTTTCATTAACCCCCTAGTAGTTCCTCAGGACTACCCTGCAAAATCCAACAGAGTCCAACCGGAGTTTCCTGCTCAATCCACTGTGCCTTATTTTCAGTTGTATGCTAAATCCAACAGGAGTCCAACTTGGCGTTATAATGAGGTTCAGTTGCCTGTTGAATCCAAATTTTGCATCAGGAATGTACACAATGGGTATACTGCTCAATCAAACAGGCTCCATCGGGTATATGATACGGTTGGATCCTGTTGGATTCAGCAGAATTAGGTTCAAGAAAAACGGTTGAGAGGACCGGGTTTTAGATTTGAGCGCCCTTATTTGCTGGGCGGGTCTGATCATACAAGATTGATTTTCCATAGATAAATACTGTATCGTAAACACTTGATGCTTGGCAACCCAATGACGTAATAAAGTGACGCCTACCAATTTTTTTCAATAGGATGAGTGTTTGATGATCAACTTGAACGCCATTTGGTACGACCCTAGACTATTCTGTACCCGCACAATGCGTTAAAACGGGTTTCTAAGCTGCAGTGAAGTGAGGAAAAAACTATCATGAATCGGCTGGGTGGACACGAGGGACAAAACTTTGAATACAATGTACCTTCCGACAGCTCACTACAGTGGCACCAGTTTCCACTATTTAATCAAGGAGGGCGTCAGTAACAAAAGCAGGTAGTCATCAACACACCTGTCACGTTTTTGAATTGGTACAATCAAGGAGCTCAAATAAAATGATTACTTATTGTGACGGGGTAGTCATTTCATGCGTTATTTATAATTTTTTAAAACATACATAGTTAAAAGATAGCCGAAGCGTTTATAAACTTCACGTATTATGTGAAAGGCTCCATCAAAGGTATTCTTTTGTTCTTTTTTTTTTTGGCATTTAATAAGCAAAATGCGTAATAAGCAAAATTACAGACAATGCAGCAAGAAAACCTTACAAGTTTACAAAATATAAAACTGCCTATGCAAATGTCGATGACGTGTCATTACAAAGTCGACCCTACGCCCAACTTGTTTCCAAGAGACTTGCTTTCAAGATACACTTAACTCCGATAATACACACTTGATACTTGGGCCAAAAAAAGTCTCCGGTTTCTGGTATGCGCGCGCGTCGCCGTAGCCATGCGCGTTGGCAAAATGAAAACGTTTTTTTTTCAATGAAAGATGATGTCTCAAAACCGCCAAACTCACTGGTTTGACTGGAATTCTGCTGCTGCACAACTTTAACGTGTTTTTAGGTGGGGTTATGGTCGAGAATAAGCTTTATGTGGCCCTTCTGGACTCCCAGTCCCATACAGGCCTATTTGTACTAAGTTTAGTCGGGCACCAATTGCAGTCATCAGCCGACATTTGGAGCAAAAAAAAATTAAAAAAAAAAAAAGCCGCGTCGCCGCACCCCTTTTGGGGCAAGCTCCATACCAGAAACCGGAGACTTTTTGTTTTTGGCCTTAGGTGAATATCCTTGATTGATGTACTTATAGGGTTATACCAATACACGCCATCTTGCCTAGAACCTTTTATAAGACTACCAGCATTTAAAAAAAATCATTATCAGTTTGTCAATAAACTAGGCGAGCCTTAAAATCAGTCACCTCAATAACAAGGGGTGCAGAAAAGTTGAGTACAAAATCCATACATCGCACAGGTTATTCGTTTTGAACATAATTGTTCAATTCACTTTAATATTATTTAGGAGTTTTTTTTTTCGACCTTCACAAATCATACTTAAACTATCGGGATTTCTTGTGACTCCTTAATCGTGAGAGTTTTTATTTCCTTAGAAATTAAAATGCTCACGGATGATTTATTTTCAATTTCTGTTCCACTGCAAAATGGTGCCATGCTGAATGGAATCTCATATAGAACGGAATCTCGCATAAACAAGCTAATAAAGAAAGAAAAGATGTATTTTATAAAACCAACGAGTGGCCAATTCAGCTGTCATTTTACACCAAGTTGCCCCTTGGACTTGCTCATCATTTTACCAAAATACATCAAAGCTCCGCTGTTTAACTAACCCCCCTTTGTCGAAGTACAATTGGCCATAAAACCCACCCTTTCGTCTTATTACCTTTTCCATTGAGTTGGATACTTCACCCGATTGCATTGTTGGTCTTGTTTTGTGTGCCCCATCCCTGGTATATTATTAGCAGTGATTTTGGAAGCAATGCACTAGAACTTGTTGAATTAGTGATAAGCTTATCTTAATAATCCACACCGTCACGGCAATAAACGGGAATAATTTGGCCAGGGGCCGGTTCAGACATCTCCGAGTTCATAACGACTCGGCTAAGTTAGACTTTCTCACGCAAAGTCCTACTGGATTCGCATGTACTACATTCGTGCATAACCATCATTATGGTCGTGGGTTCGAGTCCCATCCGAGTGATTTTTTCAGCCTCTCACTCGGGAGGTAACACACTGAGTATGCAGTGTTTATAGGTTGGTGAAGGGCAAAACCATATTTGACATAATCATCATCTTGCTGTACTGTGCAGAAACCTCCTGAGGAGTATACTCGCACATTAACCCTTCTATGCAATCATACATTCTGTGCCTAGTTGTCCTTTCAGTCAAAATCAATCAAGTGACTGTTTTCAACAGTTAAGAGCTCCCATCCTACATAAAGCCTGATTGACTGGCTGCATGGGCGTCGCGGGGGGGGGGCAGGGGGGCGCTTGCCCCCCCCCCCCCCCCCCCCCCCCCGAAAAGAAAAAAAGAAGAAGAAGAAGAAGAAGAAGAAAAAAAGAAAAAAGAAAAGCAGAAAAGAAAGAGAGGCGTGAAGTTATAGTGGTGTAAATTTAATGAGTTGGGGGGGGACAAATGTCCCTGCCCCCTCTAAAACTAAGAAATCGAGAATACGTTGAGAAATACAGGAATTTCTTTTTGAAAAATATGTTTTGCCCCCTCTAGAAAAAATCCTTGCGACGCCCATGACTGGCTGTGACTGTTTACGTAACTTGATACAGCTATCCTTTGACTGTGGTGATTGATAAGCCAGCTGTGCCTACCACTTGTCTGCTATTGTTTGTTGACTGAATTTGACTAGTCACAGTGCTTGCTTGAAATATGATCTGACTGTTGGTCACTAGCCTGTGTAAAAGGCACGGCAGGGAAAGAGGATGGATTTTGTTTTACTGTCTGTGACTGTTC